ATCTTATGTTGTGAGCATGCTCTGGAATGTGTGGGTATTGCCAAGATTGATGGCTTGTCCTCTTTCCTTCTGTTTTGCTTGGTTCTCCTAGTCATACTGATTTGGACATAACCACACTCACAGGGGAATCCTGTTAACCACATAATTCAGTGTACATAGGTAGATAGTATGCTTCCACAAACTGAGATATGATCCTAGCATAGTCTTATCCAGGAAACAGAAATACTAAACTTTTTGTTTTTGTGTGGGAGTGGATCAAGTAAAAAGTATGGCAAAAGAAATCAAGTTCTCCGACCAAGACAACTGACTCTCCTGTAACTTAATGTTCAGCAGAAGACAGTGCAACTTTGTTTACCACTTACTCCAGAATGAAATGAAGTGAAGTGTATTGATGGCGATGCTCTCTGATATACTATCAAGGGCCAGTGTTTTGATGGTTTTCCTGACAGCCTTCACAATCTATAAAATCAATCAGAAAACCCCTTTAAATGACAAAGGAACAGTAAAAGTCCAGTTTAACCAGAAAATGCCGAATCCTTTTTTTTTGTGTACATGACAAAACACATGTCATCAAAACTTAAATAATTTGAATTGACCGATGAGCGCATGCCTGAAATTGAACAATAAAATGAAACAAAGTCCATAATCGTGTGCGCTAAGGCATAAGTGCTAACTAAGTCCTTTCTAAGGTTTTTTATTAATTCCATAAATGCAGAAAAGGTTGCAACCGCCAGTCTTCATTAGCTGTTACCTTGACAACATTGCTAGGAAAGATGGAATAGAATTAACAAATAGAGAAGCCTTGACTGTACCCTGTTCTGTTGCAAAACAAGTAGGGAGTGGCTAGAGCACAAAAGAAGTGTCGGTAGGTTAGAGGGAAGTCTAAGAAATGGTAGGACATATTAAAATTTGGCAAATGGCATGACAGCTTCAGCTTAGCTCCATGCTTTCTACTCTGATAGAGCACCCTCTTTCAACCAATGACAACATGTGTAATATCCAAACTTTATCATAAATTCTAATGGTAGGATTTCCATGGTACCAATAACTTTAGAAGAGAAGTGTATCAGCCAACTGTCAAAGGCACAACTCACAAAAATAGCCGGGCTCAAATCTTTGAAAAAGAAGAAAAAACTAATCACAATGGGGTGTCAAACACATCACATGAAGAAGACCAGAAGTATGCAAACTAAACATTGCTCTTGTCAACTGAAGAAATGAGAACAAGAGATAGCTGATAAAGTCTAATCATTAATCAGGCTGTTATGTATCAAAGAAACCACTTAATCTTTCCACAGAGTTGATTCACTTCTCCCTTTTAAGAGGTATTCTATAACATTAGTAATTAAAAAGGGATGGATCAAGAGGCACACAAAAGCAAAATCAAAAATAATTGCAGTTTATAGGCAGTGATTAAATTATTTAAGATATGTTTTGGTAAATATCATATTGTTTTTGTATTTTAGGTACTGACTGAAGGCTTTGGATATGTTGAAGACTATACAAAGACAGATATTCGCTTGGCTATTTGTACCATTTCTTGCTGCTGTGCCCTCACTGCCTTGATATATGACTACCTTTACCCTTTTCCAGTGTCATGGCCAATACTGATCACATGTGTGCTATCGTATCCACAGAAAAATAGTAATAGCAAATAAAATTTATGCTTAAATCATAATTACCCCTTAAAAGTAAACCAAGAATATAAAAATTGCTGCTAATCTTTCTACACCATGTGAGTTGTAGAGTGGGGGAAAAGACAAGTAATTGCAATTCTTCACTGTCTGGTCCAAAGGTATTAAGCTAGATAATCTTGCACAGATAGTAGGTGGAAAAGTAAACATGGAACTAAGAAGAGGGAGGTGAGAGCTTTTACCAGGATTAAGTATGCAATGTACTTAATCTGCATTTGCATTAATAGAAAGTGACAAAGTTGTTATCATTTCTTAGACCTTCCCAACTTTTACTGATTATTGCATATGAAGAACACTTTACTTGACTATCAAAAGATATTTTTTTTTGATGACTGTGCTAACCATCTTTACCACGTTTGTTGAAAAGAACTACATAATGTTTGCAGTACAGAAAAGTGAAGCTGGGGTGGTAAGTGTAGTCACAATTGTATAGTATAAATGTAGACACCATCAGACAAGCAATTGATATATACCCTAGAGCTTTTGGTGTGTGCTTCTAATACAGTTGACTGATAAATCTGAATACAGCATGAGAATTCTAAGATGGTAAGAGGACAAAGGTCACACTCAGATCAGGTACTTGGTCAAAGTGCAACATGTTTCCCCCAAAAAGAGTTGTAAAACTCCATGGCTCTGAAAGGTTTTTGGGCTCTTTAAGGGTAATTTCTTGCCTGTAAAAAATGTTCCTCAAAGTTTCCCAAAACAGCTGATGTCTCCTCTGATATTTTTTCTTTTATTTTATTTTTTCCTTTTTGATTGATCACTACAAGGTATTAAAAAATGTTCAAAAAACTGATTTAATCTTTCCAGAGCTTGTTCCAATTCTTGTAAATCATCAGTCGTGTAACCCTTTCTGTTTGAGCCCAAACAGTTTGGTTGAATACACTTCCACCCAATAATGTTATAGATTTCAGTGAAAATGTTGATAGACTGGAACTTGACCAATGATGTACTGTAATGACTTGATTTAGTACCCTTCTTCTAATAAGCACCCCCCCCCCTCAAATTTTTTTTTGTTAATAAGCACCCCTATTCTCATTAGCACCCCTATTAAGCAAGCATCCTCATTCCAGCAAGTGCCCCCTATTCCAAGAAATGCCCCTGATCTGTTTCAGTAATAACACTCTAAGTGTTTGTGGTCCATCTTCCTCTAAATGCTCACTTAAAGCCTCACAACAAAAAAAGTTGTATTCATCTCAGTCTCATCAAAACTCTGTCTCACATTCCACTGTTTCTCAAAAAAAAATTATAAGTGCCCTGTTTTAAAGACACCCTCCCTTGTGGTATCAGAAGTAAACAAGTTCCTAGGGTGCTAAATGGAATCAGTACAATAAGTTGAAAAAGTTTGTTATTTTTCCTTTACAGAGCACTAATAAATCACTGTTTTCATAGGGCCCAGATAACTACTGGCGTTTGCATTCAACTCTGAAACGTTATGACCACAACTATTCCCTCACTATCATATGTAAGGATGGTGACACTAAAAAAGAAAGGCAACAGACCATTTCTAAGTATGATATCTAACTATAAGTGACCATTAATGCACTAATGTACTGACAAGCAGACAGGTACTGATAATGAAGAAAATTATGGACTCACTGACATGGAAAGCATGTGAATATATGAAAATGACGTGTGAACTGTGGATTCAAAATTAATATGAGAGTGATCTTTGCAGTAATGAAGAGAAGGCCTGAAAAAAATTCAGGCCCATATGGGATTTAAACCCATGACCTCTGTGATACCAGTGCAGTGCGTTACCAACTGAGCTAACAAGTGATCTTCACAGTGATGAACACCACTAGGCAGGCCTTATTTTCACTACTGCTTGAGTAGTCTTCATCACTGCAAAGACCACTTTCATATTCATTTCTTAATCTGCAGATCACTTATTTGATATTCAGGATTTTTATAAACCACCATAATGACCAGCTCTCAGTAAACAGTTGCCACTTTTCTCAAGGGAAACACTGTCTGGAAGGCAGAAGGATAACTAGGGACATTTTTTTTCCCTTTAGGGTTTGAGATACTTATTAGAACCTTTTTTTGTAAGGCAACGTGAACAAATTGCAAGGCAAGATGGCTTACGAAAGATTAGATCAAAATGCATTTGTGATTAAGTGTCGCATTTAGCAAACTTTGTGAGGAAATACCCAACTGGATTGTTCAAATGTGTAATGCTACAATTTCTTGTGACGAGAGAATTCATGCCATTAAGGAAACTTTTCTTATGTATTTCAGGTCAGTGGCTTCATGGTTTGATGAAGAAGGGACACTGCTTAAGGATATCATGGAAAAAGATGTTCGTGAGCTTCACAATGGAATTGCTTCAGAAAAGAAGGACAAATGATGTCAACAGTACCTGCTTTTTAAGTAACTTTATGTAACTTAGAGTGTCAAAAGTAAATTAGTTGTTTATAGACAAGAAGAGATAACTTGTCACCTTTGAAACACTTTTGATTTAAACACTTAGCACCTACAATAAAACTGACATCAGGTGAAATTTTTGTAGTTGTTGTGGGATTGCTCAATGTATTTTGCTACCCTTTTGATCAATGATTTTGTCCGTGTCTGTGGAAAGTTAGAGAACATATCAGAGATTTTATCCACAAAGGAGGAGTACTAAAATCGGGTTCATACTCCCAGGAACTCATTACACTCCCTGACTTTCATTGACCTTTTCAAGTTCTCTTTTGAGAACAGTCTTGTGATTTAGCCCTTTTTATTGATTTCAAATAATCACATGAATGGTTTAGTAGTTTTCTGTGACCCATATTCCAATTCCATGACTTTCCAGGCTTGGATAATGGTGTTGTGGAATTCTATGAGTTTCTAGAATTTGCATGACTCATTCAAACCCTGAATGTAATGAACCCTTCGCACCCCAAAATCAGTATAAAAATTCTCCATACTGTACTCCATACATTTCCTAATGTGCTGAAAAGGATAATTTGTTTAACAACCAAGAGCTGCTTTGGTTAGTGATCATTTCCTTGAATCTTGTGACCTTAATGTGTGACTGATATTGTAAGAAATAAGATGCTAGTCACTCTTAGGGGTTTAAGGGTTAAGTATGAAAGAAAATTAAAGTTTGAAGCAATTTATTATTTTTTTGCTGTCCATTCGCTGGTTACATAGTGAACAATACTTCATTTGCTCATAATATTCCATATCTGCTTCCTGTTAGTTGGTTAAGAAATAGACCACATTTGTATATGTTTACTGGCTTAATAACCTTTATAGGCTTAGGGTTGGTAATGATGATGCATATTGCACCAGCTGTTGCTGATCAAACATGGAGAAAACAAAGGTAAAGTGTTTGAGAAGCTTAACTTTTTGTTCCCTCCACAAAATTTCAGTCAACCTTTCCAGTTTGCAAGACAAAGAAACAAAAACAAGAACAGGTAAAATACCACTGGGGCCCAAAAATAATGAACAATATCATTTACAACTTTGGTCATTCTGGGATTTGGCTGCATCTGTATTTTACTCTCCTGAAAGTAATTAATTTCCTGCAAATCACCAAAATCCATTAAAATTACATACCATCAGTGTGTCCAAACCACAAGTTTACCTTAGGCATTTATAATGCATGACCACAATATAAATTATACATCCAGAAAAACACAGCACTTTTCCATTCTATTCTTCACTCTGCCAGTGCATTAGTATCCTAGCTGATTGTTCCTTTTCACCAATTTTGTTCTTTAACTCTTATTGCTTGATTTCAAGTCACTAGAAAAAGCTGGCAGGTCATGCTTCAGCATGATTTACATAGCAAACTAGATTGGCAAGAAGCCACATAGTTTATGTGGTCATTGTCTCAAAAGAAGAAGCAACCATACTCAACCACATAATGTTCACATTGAAATTGTTTATTGAATTGTTGTGCTATAAATCCTAAGAGTGATTTTAGAAGAATATTCCACTTTGTAACTAATCTCAGCATACATCTAGCCTTGTAGTCAACTAATGAATCGTACTTTAGAGTAATTACAAATCAAATTACAAACAATGCTATAGTACATTCTGTAAACCCTATTATAAACTAAGATTTATTTTTTTTTAACTTTTAGCGCATAAGATGCAAAAGAGAGTCTGTTTCAAATTCTTCAAAAGGATTATTTTTCAGGCCTACCTAAAGGAGACACCACAGTGTATTGTGCTTCAGGTGTCAAAGAGTTAGTCATTTTTGGAATTGTATCTGACCTAAAAAACTGAACATCAAAGCTTTCTGAGTTCACTCCCTTAAACAGAAGCATTCAATTTAACACAGTCACTTGGATTTACCAAGAATTCATATATTCATAGTGTAATATCTTCTACTAGTTCTCCATTCACCACTGTACTACAAGTGTACTTGTACCATGCATTCTACTAGACAAGGTAAAAAAACCATGACCTTGTACTTTCCTGGATGTTCAACCATCAAAGTATCAGTATCCACACAGGTACATCAATCAACCCAGTTCATGACTTATCATGCCAAGATGAAGACTTGATCAAACAAATTATACCATAAAGCCTGAACAGAATCTTTTCTTGATTTCAAGATGATTCACACTACAATGTTTGAGATAATCAATATATAATGAACAATTAAAAGTGAAAACAGAATTAGAGGTTTTGAAGGGTTCATATCAATTGATAACATTAATGCCTCATCTTAAACAGTACCATGATGGACAGGGCACAGACAGGTTAATTTCGTGATAAAATTACTTAAAGCTAACCACATCAAGTATAGTGTTGCATTCCCTTTTATTACCAGAAACAGACACTTGCATCGCCAAAAATACTAATTAAGCGCATCATGCTGAATCAAAAACTCACCTGATATGTGAATACTTCTTACCACACACCACAAATAATAACTTTGTGGTAATCAAAGTTTTAATCCTAGATAAATACATCTCGTAAGTTAAGTTAAACGTACAGAAGGACTTTTTATGCACCCCATGTAATCACCAACATATCAAGTATTGTTGACTTTGTATCTTTGCAAATAACCCCAAGCAACATGGTTCACCTAAATAATAACAATGGAAGAGGATTTACGAGCCAAGTAATGATTACAGATGAAAAACTGCAAAAAAAAAAACAAACAAAAAACTTCATTAAAACCTTATCAGAAGAATGTCTAAGCGGTGAAAACCCAATATAAAACAGCCCTCGTCTCTTAATGATACGAGTTTACTACTACTCTAATAGTAATGGGATAACGTTCCACTTCGGTCGATCATATTGTACCTGTTTCAGTTTTATTTATTTCTCAGACATTCCACGCACTTCGCCTTCACGTCGTAACTTATCTAGCTCTCCTTTGGTTTTTTCTTCAAGCTCTCGTATATCTTCCATGGTCATTCCGAACCAAAGATCCAACCAACAAAACAACTGCCGGTGAAAGTTAGTGAGGAGTCGCCTCACAGCCTTAAAGATAATGCTCTGTACCTTGGTCTGGAGGCCCCACCATTTAAACTGTACTTGGTAAAGCTTGTAGCACGTCATTTTAGGCCAATGGTCGTTTTTCTTCCACTCGCCTTCACAATCAAGAGGACCTCGCCCAGTTTTCTTGGAGTGAAATTTAGTTGGGTCCTCATCTTCCTTGTAGTCCGATGGAGCAACACAATTGTTGTCAGATATGTCAATATCTACTACAACTCTGTTTCCCAGTTCTTCCGCCGTTAACTTGTGCACATTTTCCTCGCCTTCTCCTTCCCTATGCCATGTATCGATATAGATATAGAAATTGTCCGACATGTACGGGTTTGAATACTCCGTCCTGCAATACGGATAAGCATTCCACGCTTTTTCGTGAACTTCCAACGAACCCTTAGGTGCCAAAAGTCGAATTACAGATGGAACCTTTTTCGATAAATGGAAAACTTTATGTGTGTACTGTCCGCTCCCATACTTTGCGTGGTCTGAGTACGGTTCGTTTACTAGTACTTCGATTCCTTCCCCTCCTCCCGTTTCGTTCTTACTTGCTTCTGCAACAGCGTACAACTGACCAATTTTATATTCTTCGACAGATACGGGCAAAGTTATTCTGTACTCCTTGATTTCCATTGAAATTTACTCTGCAATCGAAAAAAGAGAGGGGAATGTTCGACAATCAAATACAGAAAATGTCGCCGGCAAGCTGACATGTGCGTTAGTGGTCTTTACAAGAGTGACGTATTACGTACCATAAGGCCTTGCGAGATATCTGGCGTTTAACGTCATCAGCCTTGTAAGCAACTCACTTCCTGTCCCGATTTTGATGTCTTTTATGTTGTAGCCACCACAATTTTAAAAGTGCTTTTCTCTACAACATCAAGATAGCACTAACACTCTCTGCACTTCCTTTTGAGGAAATCTTCTTGAAATTTTTACATTTTTCTTATAAAAATTATACTTGGGAAAACTAACCTAAGTTTTCAGAATTTTCCGCGAAAAACTGTTACGTGGTCACATGCCAACCCATGAACCAGTCAGAAGGCGTTATCAACTGTGTGGCCTATGAACAAGAGTTCTGTTTCGTTATCGGGCCTCTCTCGTTCAGTACAGCAATTACGTGATGACTACTTGAAATCTTGTTTCACCTCTTAAAGGGAAAGTGCCTGCATAAATGGACACGCATTCAGACAGTCTTGCGATAAAGGTTAAATGTTACCGATTTGAAAATCAGACATTTTTCAAGAGGAAAAACGTGCTGTCTATCAAGTGTTAATCATTATTGATGAGGTGTCGATATAATGGTAGTTGTTTGTTGAGGTTGAGTCAAATAAATTTTAAACCAATCAGAGGGCGTTATGAACTATGCCGTCAGTGCATAAGTGTGCTCTTCCGCCTACTACCTCTGCTGACTGCGTACGCTAGCAACATCTTGGGGGGGTGCAAGTGAAATGCTTTCCAGGATGACGTCTTCCAAATTAATTTGCACGTCGCTTTTCCTAGCCGTTGTTGCAGCGGCATCACCGATGCTCCTTAAATTAAACGATCTCTCTCACTCAGTTTGGGGAAATGCTCTGCCATTGTTTTGGACGAGGAATCGAAACTTTAATATTTGCCTGCTGGTAACAGGTTCTCTCCTCTTTGCCTACCTAATCCTGAAAGTATGGAAGTTTTTATTTCACCCGTTAGAGATGCAGCGGAAACTCCACGACATCGGCTATTTCTCAGATGAAAAGCGTCCTCTGAAAGACGTTGCTAACGAATATCGAAAGCGAAGAAAACGTGGCGAGGTTCCACCTGTGTACCCTAATGGCTGGTTTCACGTACTCGCTTCGAACGAGCTAGCCATGGGTGAGGTCAAGTATGTTTCTATTTTAGGCGAAGATCTTGTGGTGTTTAGAGGAACTGATGGAATCGCGTATATTGTGAATGCTTATTGCCCGCACTTGGGCGCTAATTTAGGCATCGGTGGACAGGTGGTGGGTGATTGTCTTCAGTGTCCGTTCCACGGTTGGAAATTTCGCGGGAGCGATGGAAAGTGTACGGGTATTCCTTACAGTGAAAATATTCCTAATTTTGCGCAAACCAAAGCATGGAACTGTTGGGAAACTAATCACACAATTTACATTTGGTATCACGCAGAAGGAAGTGAGCCTTCATGGTATCCTGATGAAATCGAAGAGATTCAAAACGGAACTTGGACCTATCGAGGCTTTACTCAACACACTATCAATGCTCACATCGAGGTAGGCTTTACTTTACTCATGTTTTTATTTTCGAATTTTTGAAATAGCAAGTTCAAGTTCAAGTTTATTAAGTTTGCAGGAAAATCTTTGTACAATAACACCTCCTGCAAATAGCGAGCTAATCTAGGCAGACGGTGTTAAGGACATACAACACGAATTACAAAAACGCGAATGCGAATTACTCGATTTTGCATACATTATTTGACAAAAGAGGGAAAAGGTGATAAAAAGTAAATTAATATATTATGTTTGAATTATAATTAAGATGCCTTTTTTATTTCAGAAATAAGAGTGCTAGTGTCAGCATAACTATCCAGACTTCCTAGAGTTGCAAATAGTAATGCTTGAATTTTCTTTTTGAATATGTGCTTCGGCAGACTTCGATAGCTTTCGGGAATACTGTTCCAAATTTTAGCCCCAACGATAGAAAAAGAGTTTTTATGATGATTAAGCCTAGAATAGTTAATATAGTAGTTATAGCTGCGACCAGGATTTGTTATGATATAACTTTGCAGCTCATCGATTACATGAAGTTCGTTCACATCTTTGAAACGCCTTGGCACTTATTTTATTGTAATGAAATGTTACTTATTTCACGAGAATAAACTTCTCTATAAACGGTTTGCATTCTTGGAATTGTTTTGTTCAGTTCCCTTAGTAACACAGAGTTGGAATTCTACTAAATTTGCTTTAAGAGTAATAATTAGTGCTAAACTTATGAATTACCGTGAAACACGATAAACACATAATTTATTAACCATGCTCGAATTGCCTGTAACAAATAACCTTTTAAACTTGGAGTAAATTTTTGAGTTTTTGATTTTATTGGCTGAAGTTTTTGATGGAAAGTTTTCCTCTCAGAGTAAAAAGTGCCAAAAATTCAGGGAAGCTTGGTGTTTTTATTCCATTTTTGATTTCCATGGAGATTTCGCATTGTTTATTAGTCGTGCTTTTCGTGTTTCAAAATTAGAACTAAATTTGTACTCTAGGGACTCTCCTTTACCTTTGTAACTCGCGACTCCAAAATAATGACATTTTTCATGAATGCCACTTTTATTTACTTTGAAAACAGTTGTTTGCAAGAAGATAAAGAGTGAAAATCCTTGATGCATCTATTAGCCCTTTGTAGAAAAGCAAACTTGTTGCATTTGTGCAATGTTTGTTTGTGCTATCACTGTCACTCCAGTTGGAACATTCCCTGCTTAAGTCTAACTCATACTCTGGTAAAATATTCCAAATAGTAAAGGAAATTGGTTGCAAACTTTAAAGTCACCTTTTGAAGCAGTGCACAAGACTGTACGATGAGACATTTTGCTTCAAGGACATGACAGACAGGGAGAGAATGAGGTACTTGAAGGTCATGACTCAAAAGGATGATGATTACTGGTACTTTACTTACATGTTAACATCATTTCAGCTTTTGTTATGAAAAATCTGAAAAATGGCTTGCAACCTCTTGGGAACCAAAATTATCAAATATAGGAAAATATGGTTTATTCAACTATCTTTTCATTGTGGTAAATGTATGTTAATATCAAATCAGGTGGAAAATTCAGTGACTCACGAGAGATGAAATTGAAAGAATGTTAATAATGATTCTTAACAAGTGATGAAGCTAGATTTCTAATTTGATTTTGGACCTATTATAACAAGCTCTTAAGATCATTGTCCATAACTTTGGAACTGATGTGAATGATCCCTTGCAAATTTTGAAATTGATTTCCAGCTCATTTATTTTTTGTTGCTTTGGGTTAGTTAATTGTTGATGAATTGCAATTCCTGAATTGTAGATTGAATTATTTGAAAATTGCACCAAAATATTGTTTCTGCATGAACTTCAAGAAGCAAAGTTTTTCCATCAAGTTTCTTGAGATAATTTATCACTGTGATTTTGTTTTTAGTTAAAGTTCTGAGATATTCAGTGTCACAAATTACAGTTAAAAACAATACAGTTGTACCAATCTGTGCTTACAATGACTATATAGCATCCAAATATGACTAAGAAGTTAAATGGATTTCTTCGCTAATTATTTATTGTAGCATCTATCATGATTTGTTTGAATTAAAAGTGGCATTGGCACAATTCAAACCATTTTATGTTGCATTTGAAAAAGTTGTCTTCCTAATTAGCCTCTTGACCCTTTACACCCCAACATCAGTGTGCAAACTCTTCATACTATGCTCTACACATTTCCTAAGGTGCTGACAAGGAGGATTTGTTTAACAATCAAGAGCTTCTTTAGTTGATGAGCATCTCCTTTATTCTTGTGTCCTAAATGTGTGACTCAGGGATGATAGTATTAGGAGAAATTAGGTGCCAATCACTCTTAGGGGCTAAAGGGTTAATTTAACAATTTTGTTACCTCATAAACATCTGTTTTGTCAGCATTTAGTCTAAGCTTTAATTATTATTAATAAAGACAAAATTTCTTTTGGTTCAAGCCCAGTGATACTTAGGGCTTCTGGTGATGATTTCAGACTAAATGTTATTTGAATAACATTTTGAATGTTTGGAAAGATTGATTTTCTGTCAAGCTATAGCTGATGTTTTGTTGCAGAAATTGGCTCTATCTTCAGGAGGTTAGATCTCTGTTATAACTCTTTTCTGATTGTGATTACTAAACTTAAACCTAACCCTAAGCTTAATTATCGGTATTATAATTGTGTAATTAACTGTATCCCGTATGTATTTTCAACTAATATGTACAAGTCTGCAGTCCCATAATGACTGATGACTTCTTTTTTGTCACTGGCAACTGAATCCAGGAGATTCCTGAAAATGGAGCAGACCTCAACCACCTTGATCATCTTCATAGCTCACCAGTTCTGAGTGGGGTTGATCTGAGGCATATTTTCTCACATTGGTGGCAATTTGCCAGACACAACTGGTCTGCAGAATGGAAACCTCTTGAGGATACTAAGCATGTTGGATGTCTGCAGCTAGTGACCTCCTTATCAGTCTTTGGATACAAGATTCCCTATTTAGACTTACATGTCACAGCCAGGCAGGTAGGTGTTCACTCTCAGTTCAGATATAAAAGATTCTTTATATATTATATATATATGTTAATGTCGGGGTTAAATTACTGTTGTGACCTGATAACTTCTAGTAACAAATTTTTTCACTGAAACAATTTGAAGGTTTCATGAAATTGATACCACAGCTACAAATAAAATATATTTGGAAAAAATGGTGATCAGAAATCTTCCCTGAAAGTGCCTGAGAGAAACAAACAACCTTTTTAAACATAGATAAACATGGCAATGTTTATCTATAATTTTCTATTTTCCCAGACTTACAACTTCTGGGATTCCTTATGCTTTGGGTTTCTAAGGCCAGCCCATGTACCAGACAATTGCATGACAAAATGCAACCCTAACCCCTTCAAGCTACTTTAAATGAGTAACTTGTGACTTCTCATAAATTCAAGTCTTTTTTTTTCAGTAAATGACATGTGCATATTTCAAATTATTACTGACTCGGTTTGTTTTATAATTATTATTTTTTGGATCTTTTCCCTGTCAGACTGGTCCAGGTCTGGTCTTCATGAAATGGAGCAGCAGCTTTGGTGATGGAATTTTCCTTCATTCAGTGACTCCCAAAGAACCACTTTTGCAAATCATGCGCCACTCCATTTATGTTTCCAGAGGTGTCCCCACAATAGTGGCCAAGTTTCTCCTATATGCAGAGGCTATTCAGGTAAAATCTGAATTTTTTATTATAAGCGCTGTACTTGAGTTAAATGATAAATTGATCATTAATAATTTGAATTATTAATTACTGGGAGTAAACTATTCTTCTTTTAAAGTGCACATGACACGGATTTTTTTTGCGTAGTACTATAGTTTATCATATGTACAAACCAATCCCGATAGAAGAAGAAATACAGACAAAAAAATAAAATCTCGGTTTTTTCGGGCCTCAGAGTGCTCATTTTGTCTTAAAGGTGTCCTGTAGACTGGTAACGAGTTAGCGGGTGATGACGTCGAAAACTGTGAAAACTTACAAATCTCTTTCATCTCTTGTAATTTTGTATTAGTCAGCGTTGAAATACTCTTGAAATAATCCGATAGTGATGTATTCCTACCTTCAGCAGACTCTACCGAGATTTTTGATACATCGTAATTAAGTAGTAAAGAAGAAATGGAGGTTGAGTGTACGGTTCAGCTTGCGAACGGGAACCGCGTGCATCAAACGAAGATTTCGACGAAGACTGATGAAGACGGTTTCTCGCCTGCGGTGTTCAGGTCAAGATTAGAACGGAAAACTCCCATTGCTGAATGTTTATTTCGTTGCGTTCATGTTTTGTTTTCTGTGGCGGAGTCTATATTAAAAATTGGAGGTTGTGTTTGTTTCTGTTACCATAGCATATTCTTCCTTTGCGCTAAGTGCGGCAAAGGTTCCTCTCGGTCAGCGCTCTAGAGTTTCGTTGCTGAAGAGTAATTCCCTCCGCAAACCAAAGCTAACTTTTGACGGAAGATTCGAAATAATCAGCTGTATGACGAGGCACAATGATCTTTTTGGCCGAGAAGTCATCGGGTAGTTACAGTGCGAGTTGCTCCTTTCCTCAGAGATTGCAAAGGCAGAGGCTATCACCGTCGAGCCGGTTAAATGGAAAACGATTGAGTTTATTGTCCTCTGATTCAATTTTATCTCAAATAGGTATTTATATTGGAGGAAAACGTCTTTATTTTAGATACAGCATTGCCACATGACCCATTTCGCTTACTGGCAAATAACCGATATCAGTGTTGTAAATGAATATTTTCGATATATTTCGATGCATCGACTTTCACACACCACTTGGATTCGCTACCATCTAATTCAATAATATTTGTGTTTCACAATTTATCTCATTGTTGTGCTGTTATCACAATTATATTGCTATTGTTGCTTCATTTAGTTTCTTGAGGGCGGGGGATCAATGGCTCGTGTGGTGGATTTTCGGAAACCTAGGTTAGGAGAATACACGGCCCCTTAGTTGCCAGTATCCTCCAGAGGTTTCGCACCATTCAGGTAACAGGATGTCGGTCAGCTCAGGAAAGGGCTTGACCTTTATTGTAAGGGATGTATTTCTGTTATTAAAATACGATGGAAACTACGAATGGTAGGATTTTCGTACGAGAAGAAAATTTCAAATCTAGTCATGTGGAAAGACAAGGAGTTTGAGTATGATCGTATCTCAAGCGCGTGAAGTAAACAACAGTAAGCAGCTCACCATTCTTCGCTTGCGAAATGTCAGCTGAAAAGAATGTGGAACAATCGTATCCGATTTGGAAACAGGCACCTTAACCAGGATTCTCTCCAGCTGAATTCATTGGCCATCTTCCCCTGATTTGACCAGTAGTGTGTGTTCGCAACAGCCGTCTTCAAAGCCGGGATGGAGCATAAGGTCGACGACTTTGAAAAGTAAAATCTCCTCGATGTCGACGATCGAAACGCGTCCATTTTGGCCATACAGCTACATCCTTTGGATAGTAGTGTGTAGAAATTACCGGTGTATATGTATCATTCTTGTACCTAAAATCACTTGTCGACACTTTGCGCTCCGGCCACGCAATACATTCGTCCTCTTTCCTTAATCTCTCATTTCGCCACCATAGTTGCCTACATATCTTCAGAGTTTTCTACGTCACAGCTATGTAACATAATTGTTTCGGCCGGGGTCACTTTATGGCCATGTACTTTCAATGCGCAAAAAATGGTGTAGGAGAACTCGCTAAAAGCTGAGGTCAATTCTTTTTAAGTTTTTAATTTTCAAATACGGCTATCAATCAGAAAATGTACATAGTGTGGCAGATAAGAGTAGTTTTATAAATTAGCAATACAACAGTTGAAGGTGCCTCAGGTGATTTAGAGGAACAACACGCCTAAAGGCGATTTTGTGGGATGCGTTTGCTACTGAACGTACCATTCATTGAAAGGTGCACGATTAGTCATTTAGATCAAAGAAGAAATTATTGTAGAAAGTTTTAGTGTTGAAGAAACTGTGACTGTTTATGTAGTTGAAAATAGCGAAGAGTGGCAACTCAAAAACCTTTGGACTTTTCTGAAACAAATTGGAACTCGACCCACTGATCGTCTCGTGTTTATGCCAGTATCCGCTAGAGGTTTCGTACTGTTTAGGCAACAGGATATCGGTTGGCTCAGGAAAAGGCTTGACCTCGGTAAAAGCAAATACCATCTCCGCTGACAACGAATGCTTCCTTTGGGGACGTATATTTTAGGCCGTCGTGATTTGTTTTTCAAAAACGTCAATATAAGTAATTAAACAGGCTGTACACACTTTAATACAACTAAAAGACTGAACTGAGTTATTTCCTAGCGAGATGTAGTTAATTTTGTGATATTTCGAGACCATTGTCGATTTCAAAATAGACCTTACGCAAGGTGAGAGATTAATGTCGTTCATCTGTAGATTTGATTACATACTTTCAAGTTAACCACACAAAAACGTACACTCCTCTCGGAAAAACACAACCTTATTTAATGAATATGGATTAAGGTGTAGTTGTTAGCTTGTAATTAGTAGTCTTACAGCAATGCAAGGTTGCTCTTATTTCAAAAGCTGAGATCCACGACTATGGTAAACATCCAACTCCGCAGAATAATTAACGTAAACACAGCCTACAGAAACAGCTCAAACTATTATCCTGCGTTTATCGAATTTCCGTTTGCAAAATTCGTCAAATTTAGCCGCTGGAATCCAAATCTTTCCTCGCCTGCACAGGCTGAATTCAAATATTTTCCATTCTATCACAGGCAGCCCAAGCTCCAGCCGTGAGATGGTCATCTTCCGAAATAAGAGTCGTGACGAAAATTTCAGAGTTTGGATGGGAATATTTACGGCCGCTCTTAGGAATAAAAGATGCTGACAAATTCTCCATAAAAATACCTCACCTTACTTTCACAGTGCAATGCTTGTTTTGTGACCGTTTACTTTGTTTCAACGGGGTCATTTTAGCGCGTTATCTATTTCTAGGTTTACTACTCCTAAGAGAAGGACCTGGAAATGGATAACTCGCCAAAATGGCCTCCTTATAACAAAGTGAGCGGTGAGACAACAAGCGATGCAATGTGAGGTATTTTTATTTATAATTTGACTGAATTTTAACCTCTAAAGAGCGGTCGTTAATATTCCTAGCCAAATTCTTATATTTTCGCCACGACTTGTATTCCGCAAGATGATCATCTCATAGCTGGAGCTTGGGCTGCCTGTGATTCTATGCCACGTTTCGCCTCAAAGTAGATCAATATATATTTGCATTGTAACGCAATGATCTTTGCTTGGACGGTTTTCTCTTGCTTGTATCTGATGAGTGTTCTACCTCGAGATGAAAATACCTTAGAACGCACTTAATGTGACCGCTAGTTTTAATCAAAGATATGCGGAAATAAATTCCACATGTCTTCTTTGACAGGATTATTTTTGTCCGCCTCTGATCAATCCAGTAGCCCATGTTTACATAAGCTAAAAATCGATGAAGAATTTACGCACTCCTTTTGGCTATCTTTGCAATTTGTCCATGCAATAGGGAAGAAACCCAGGCGGATTTCCTCACGGAATTAGGCGTTAAAAAGAACATCAGCCAAATACCAGGAAACAGCAAGTTAGGTTATGAAATAAGTGTTCCGTGATCTGTAACTGTACAAACCTATGGCAACATGGAATGTATTTGTTTTATCTGATAACAAAGCAAAAATTTGTTGAGGATGACTTCATCTACGCGGCTGCCCTCCAGTAGATAAGTAGGAACCAATCAAAATTCGTATATAATCACAGGCGTCCCAAGCTCACGCCTCGAGACTCTCGAGAAAAGGGTGCGTGTACATGCGCATTCTCGGACACGTATGTATTTATTCATGAAAGCGTCGCGCTTTGTGTTACGAGGAACCCGTCATAAGGAATTGTATCGGAAACGAAATACAGACGATTTACAACGCCAGAAATTCCGAGATGTGAACACTTTACACCCAAGATTAATAAAAACTACTCATTCTTTGTGTTTTCTGGTGATCTCTGCCGTTTTCGGCCAGCTTTGCCATCACCGTTATTCCTGGAAATTCTCAAATAAAAGTACTGCAATAAAATTCTCCATTAGATATTCTTTATCTTGTTTACTACAAAATGTTCGCGAAGACCAAACTATGTTTTACAGTCTCGGGGGGTTGGGATAATTCTCGTTAGTTATGCAAACCGGAGACGCAGTCGATAGTTTGCACAACGTTTTCGAATTCTCTCAACTCCTCCTCGTGTTGGGACACGGAAAAAGTTCCATATTGCTTAACTGATAAAACGTATGTTTGCTATTTAATGCTTAATGATTTCGATTTAGAACACATTTTATTTTTCCAACAGGTTGAACGTGATATAATGATTTGGAATCACAAAACGTATGTGCCAAAGCCACTTTTAGTGAAAGAAGATCACTTAATCAAGAAACACAGACGATGGTACTCACAGTTTTACTCCGAGAACAGTCCTCGCCTTTCAATGAAGAAAGAAAACCTAGATTGGTGAAACCATTAACTGTTTCTCGTATGCTGTTCTTTTTCCTTCAACCCTCTGGAAGTTGTTAAACCTGTCTTAGACCTTTACGCCCAAACATCAGTACGCACAGTCTCCATACTGTTCGTCATACACTTCTCAAGGTGCTGACAAGGAAAATTTGTTTGTGGTGAAAGGGTTAAGGCTGCATACGTGGCTAAAGTTAAGCTGAAGTAAGTTACCAGCTTAAGCAGTCATGACAGGAAAGGTTTCATCGAAAAATGAATTTGTGGTTTTGTGTTAATTTGTTTACCGTCGACAACAGCACCTGACTTCATCTGTTGTGTAACATTTGAAAGCGTTCACTTTCAGTCTAAAATTTTGTTGATTTGTCGTTGGTACTCTAGGTTACGAGTAGTCCCTTCTTTTCGGTGAAGTCCGTCGCACGAGTCAAAAAATGTAAGCGTAAAAGAGAAACTTAGGTTAGCTCACCGCGCGGAACTCTGGAGGTGAGGTGCACGGAAAGTAGCCGTAAAAAAGGGACCGTCTGTGTATTGGTATTAATTTTCTTTGACTGTGAAAAATTTGGTTATTTCACTTTTCTGTTTTGCAGAGGAGCGCTAAGAAATGTTGTAGAACACACGTGTGGAAGTAATGTTCTGTCCATGATATCATTTGTTTTTTTCTCTGTCATATTTTCTTTGTCGCCGCCGTCGTGGTTGGCATAAGGTTTCTACTTCTTAACAGATCGAGCTCTTGATAAGTCGAAAACAGAGGTTACGTTGATTGAAACAGGGAAAAGTACTTTGCACTTTTATGCGTGTTGACGAAATGGCCTTTTAAAACTGGGAAACTGAACGTCTCTGGATTTCAACAAACAAAGAATAAAACTAAACAAATTCGAAAAAGAAAATGGAATAGAAAAGAAATTTGCTTAGTAAGGATTTTGCGTATGGGCATCGAGTTGCCGTTATGTATTTCTAAGGCCTTTTTGCAGCTTCTTTGATAACTGTAGATCAGATTTGAAAATTTGAAACAAATCCTTTGCAGTTTTCAGCTGCAGAACATTGTAAATCATGTCCCAATATCTTGACATACTGTCCTGGCAATGCTGGCCATTGTTTTGTACTTTAAGGCTGAACAAAATTAAATAAATAAATAGAGAGAAAATTCCAGCAACTCTACGAAGAACTCAAACAGTGGCCATAGTCTACAATTATTGTAATTATAGCCTCCTATGTGCAACATCAGTATCATTATCATCATTGACATCTATGCAATGATCAAAGCACTTAAGCCTTAAACTCCCAGATCAAATTTATAATTCTTCTTACTTTCAGTCATACAATTCTTATAATATTAGTTTTGAGAATTTAGTATTGGATCAACCAATTGTCCCAAAATTGATATTTTTTTATTCTCATCACCTATCTGGTTGATATTGTATTGATATTGTGAGGAGAAATTCTGTCTTGGTCACTCATGGGAGTTAAAGGGTTAACTGGGCTCGATTTTAAGTGGCCATGCTCCCTAAGATTTACATTGCATGTTAAGTTAACATCATGAAAAGTCAGGGAATTTCACAGGCAAATTTAATTCTTTGAAAGGAGTCATGGAAGAGTAAGGTTTTAAGTAAATATGAAGTCATTTAACTTTGGTTAAGCCCTCTAACATGTATTTACATTACATTGAGTTTAACTTGTATTTACTCATGTTGATATGTAGACTGCTAGCCATTAAATTTTAATAAGTTCTAATTTAATCAAGCTATTAGAGTGAATAAAGAGAGTAAGTTTCTAAAGAAACTGTGGAACTGCATTAGTTCGGTCGTTGCAAGATAAGTTAGTTTTATCAACTTGAGTTGGTTAAATGGCTGCCTTAGGGGTTAAAAGTGTTTGCTATGCTAAGTTTTGGAAACTAGGGATTCTATCATGCTAAATGGTCTAGTTATTTACATCATAGTTTATAAAAGTTGAACAGGATGTACATATTGTCATGATATTCTTTTTTGATTGATAAATCCTTCTACACGTAAGAGCCTGACACCCTCCTTGCTGCATGAGGTACAAATTGTTCATTAAATGAGTTCTCAATGATGTTTATCAAAGCACAATAACGGTGTCTCAAAGTAATGACATGGTCTATCTGCTGCCTATACTCTTTTGTCTGGGAAGAGCAAGGTGTTGGTTTTATCGCATTTGAGCAGTGAGGTTGCTAGTGTGGATTTTTACAACCTTGTCAGTGAATCTTTTATCATGCAGTTGTTCATGTGTTTAGGCATGTAATTGGACTCTCTTCATGGTAATATGGGTTGAACTTGAATTTTTCTTGCTTGTAATGTTTCAGTAGCCTTGGTAAGGTAACACTTTTTGTCAAGACTGATGGTGTGGGATGTAGCCTGGAATTGTGACATCATAGTACAACAGTTGAACAGGAACCCACCAGAACCTGGACAATGTCATGATCCATTGAATGTTTTTAGACATGCCCATGTATAGTTCAACATTTAACCTACAATTTAAGAGAAAAATGAAGGTTAAAATTTATTATCTAAAGGCATGCAGAGAGCTACCTTGAGCACCAAACTGTTTTGAACCCAATTTAAGCTAACATAGTGCATATGATCTCTTGTTAAAGATGGGAAATCAACAACTGCTGCATCTTAAGAGTCACCTTGAAAATGATGAATAGTTTTTGCACCAGCTGGTCTTGATAGAAATTGTCGGCAAATAATTTTCACTTGACTTTTCTTGTTAATCCTGAATTGTCTAGTGACCTCCAAAATTGGTGTCCAGTTTTTTTTCATATTCTCCTTGTGATAAAGATGGCAGTTTTCTTGGCTGCCAACGCTTGGATCAGAAAAAGACACCCATGTAATACTTGGTCGGCTAGAGTTCCCTATGCTTTCTATAATACATTCTGCACCACTAGTCAAACCATCAGTGACATCAATATTGGTTGTTAAATCACATTTTGCTGTTGTTGCTCTTTGGACAAGTGAGTATAAGCTCATAGTTTTAGTTGGGTCATCTGGGACTTTCGCTCTCATTTGCTTTTTAAGATCATCTGAAATATCCCCAGTGACAATGTCTACTGCTTCGATCTGTCCTTTATCGGTATTATATGAAATACATATATTGTTATTGTGGGAGTTGACTGATACATTTATAGTGAACAGATAAGTGATACTTTTTGGATACTTCTGGAGTCATATTATGGAAGACAAAAATAGCCCCTGTTGGGGAGGTAGATACGCGGGCTCACTTTCGAAGGTGCAAACAACTTAGTTTGGCCAGTTCATTCACTCAATAATTCAGCGACTACATTGAAGAATATAATGTCTCCATAGGGTGTTTTATATTGTCATTTTTTTTAACCCAATAGTATGAAATTAATAGATAAAGTATAAAAATTGACATCAACAACAGTCGAAACATCTTATAATCGCTTCTAGAAGCTCGTCGCAAAACGTTCGAAAAGTAGTGTTTCATTCACCGTTCACTCGCCCATTTATCTCTTATCTAATTCTCAAGCATATTCACGAGTAAACTAACTTGGTGTGCATGTTTTTAAAATTGCATGTGAAAATTAGGTGGTGCTTCTAAGGTGACACAAGAGATCATAAACTCGTGGGTGGTGGGGATATCCTAAGTTCAAGCTAGAGTATGTCCTGGTGATAGCTAGGTATTCAGTATCCACAGTTTTCTCTTTCGTCTTTCTGAATTGTGTAAAATAACAGCTGAAATACATAATAGCTAACACATTTTCGGGTCATTATTTTCAGTGATAGCCTCGTTTCTACTAACAGTGATGACATTTTCAATGTTTTAATCATTTTCCCTCGTTCATTTTTATTTTCCGCCGTCCGCATCCTTCTTTTACAATCCCACTCATATTAGTTTCCGCTTTATCATTTTTCAGTGGTGTCTTGAAAGAGTGAAACAAGTTTTGCTAACCCATCTTAGATTGTGGTGAAAGGAACCCTAAGTGAAATTCTTGATCACTTACGACGAAACCCGATAGTCATAAGACACGAATGAAACCTAAATTCATGCTACATGGGTATATAACGTTAGTCACGACTGACATAAAATGGATAAGCTTCTCTCCCTAAGCTCAAAACTCACCGTCTCTCTTATTCTATTTATAACAAAATTCTCGAGCGGGATTGGCTATCACCAGTCCGATTTATAATGGTCAAATAACCATAACAAATCGGGCCGGTGATAACCAACCACGTTCGAGAATTTCGTCATAGTTTTGATTAATGTATAAATCAGAATAAGCTGTAGACGTCCACAAGGTCGGTCTGCCAGCCCATTGTTATTAGGTAAAGTTGGGAGATGAAGTCATTTTGTTGGCTGAAGGAAAGTGAGGAATCCAGGGAGAACCCTTTCTACAGATACAAGAATCTTTAAGATACTCAGCACATTGTTAACCAAGGTTTAAGAATGGAACCCAGACCACTAGGCTTGAAGGCAAGCACAGTCATCAATGCACCATCACTGTTCCCCAAAACATACTCACTTCAAGTGAAAGAATTCTGTCCACTTTATAACAGATCAGCTATATCTCATACAGAAAAGTCTTGATGCCACATTGAAAAAATTTTAAGACTCATCATTTAATCATGATATGTTAGCTTTAATTTTTACTTCAATTGTTGACATTTAACATCAATTACTGGTTCAACAATATTTTATATCTAATGCTACTGTATTTGGACAGTTTAGAACAAGGGACATCCCAATTTGCAAAATGATACAAAATTGGCACAAATTAGCAAGTATTAAAAAAAAAAATGTCAGCAAGCAGCTTTATACTTTCACCCTTGAGAATTGTCAGTACATGCAACTTCTATTCATAAGAAGTAAATTATATAAAAATTTTTCCTAGGAAAGCTCTGATGCCCCAAGTATTGATGCTAAACAGTCAATGATTCTCAATTGAACATAAATCTTATCTTTAATCTACACATGGTTGGTTTATGTGAATGTTATATTTTGATGTTCTTAAATAGTAAACAGCATTTAAGTTTTGTCAGACATACGAGCAGACTTCAGACAGAATGATCAGTTTTCCATACTGTCTTCATGACAGCTGCATATGATAATACTTGTCTAACAGTCCTATCACGTCGTACAGTAACATGTCAACTATGAATATGAAAGGAAAAAAAACGCTTCTATTGCAAAACTAGCATAATAAAAAACAAATGTTGGTAAAAAAAACAAAACAAAAACAGACCACCGATTAGTAATCTGCAAAATGCTAAAAAAAATTTTTTAAATCCCAACAGGGTCAGTACAAATTTTTTCTGAGTGTTGAAAGTAATCTAGGATCGGGTAGGTTTAGTCTGTGATTGGTAACCATCTTAATGACAAACCAAGAGCTAAACTAAAATATATGTGGCAAAGTGACTGACACAAGAGCACTCTTGATGTATCTGCTTGGTATTTTCTGTTAGTGTACAGACTTCGAGTCCTCGTTGGTTCATTAGGAAGGTTATCTCTGCTCTGATCCCCTGAGGCTATAACTTTAATTTGGTTCAACAGCACTCAATAGGAAAGAGATCTGAACACTTCTAGTTTGTGATTCCTAATTGACTACACCCCATGCACTATTGGAATTTCCCATTTATTCTACTATCTTATACTCACAGCAGGGTATATGTTTTAATTCAGATTGCTTTTCAATCAATTTTTTTTAATCAATTTTGTCATCATTACAATATATTTTTCAACAAGGAAAATGTAGTTGACAAGATTGATATTGGCTGATATATTGAGTTAAAATAATCTTAAGATTCCCGTATATTGATCAAAATTATAAATAACTGCTTGCTGAGGTAAAAGCAGGATTATATACAACACTGTGTAAACTATTTTCGAAATGTTCACAGAACAAGTTTTGTTTACAGAACACTAACTTCAGTCAATGGTGATTCAGAAGAGCGTTCTCCAATTTCTTGTTTTTGGCTGCCTAGTCATTTCTTTTCATCTGGCAAAAATCTGCTCAGAAAGTCAACGGGGAGTGGGAAAATAATAGTGGAATTCTTCTCAGCTGAGATGGATGTCAATGTCTGCAGGTATCTCAGCTGAAGAGCAGAGGGTGACTCGGAAATGATGTCAGCAGCTTCCTTCAGTGCACGAGATGCATTTTGTTCACCTTCAGCAGCAATGACCTGAAATCAAACAATGGTCAATAACATAATTTCCTTGGTAAAAGCTTTTTCTTTCTTTTAAAATATAATCTCATTGTTTGATTGACATATCATACTGAAACAAGCCTTTTCAGAATTTGGCACCGTCCTCGACAAGTTAGCTGATATCTACCTTTGCACGAGCATCACGAGTAGCTTCAGCCTCTGCTGCCATGGCTCTCTGCAGCTGTTGAGGAAGACGCACATCTTTCCTACAAGGTTAAATGAGTACATATTGCTACTAAGGATGTTCTGATGAAAGTTGCTAGCAAAAATAATTTCTGTTCTCAAGAATTACAGGAGGTAATTTGCATAACCAAGGACCCAAACTTCACACTCAGTCACATTCACCAAACTCATGTAACATGCATTGATACTTTTCCACACTTAATCAAAACTGTGAAGAAAGAGAAATCAAGATGGCTTCAAAGAGTCATAGTTTCATGTTAAAAAAAAAATATATATATATATATTTTTTTATATCAATAATTTATTTTCGAATCTTCTATTACATCATCACTAATAGCAGACAGAAAGTTCTTTCAGAAAGACTAACCAGTTCACATGTAATAAGAAGTATATCCCCTGTTTTAAATCTGTACACAAAATTGACTCCCATAGCTCCCAGATGGAGAGTAGCGCTTTTTCTTCCCACTTGGATGGTGATTCAGTATTCTTCAAGATAACAATCTATAATACGCACTCAAAGCTCTATGCTCAGAAATTTTAGAGTGCAAGAATTACAAATTAAAGTACTTACACTTCAACACGTTCCACTTTTACACCCCAAGGATCTGTGGCACTATCAAGAGAAGTCTACAAAGTGTAACAAACAAATAAATCCCAGTCCACTAATTTCCAAGAGACATAAATTAATGATTTCAAAAGTATGTCTGTACCTGCATAGCATGGCTGATCTCTTCACGGTCTGCCAAAATTTCACTGAGATTTTTGGTGCCAAGGAAATTTCGCAGTGTTGTCTGTGCAAGCAGACGAGTTGACTGATCAGCCTTTTCCACATTAGTGACTGACATGGTTGGGTCACTGATGCGGAAGTAAACAACTGCATCCACTGCAACAGTCACACTGTCTTTGGTCAGAATCTGAAAGCCAATGTTGATACTTGGTTATTATCAAAACTAACAGCACTGTCACTATAGACCACTCTTCAAACAACAAATCATACAACCAAGATAGAACTGTCAATACCTCCTGAGGTGGGACATCAAATGACACAGTCCTCAAATCCACCTTCTGATAAGAGTCAATACAGGGCAGAATAAAGAATAACCCTGCACAAAAATAATGGTAAGAAATGATCAGAGGATATAACAATATATGATACACAAAACAAAGTCTATTGTTTATTTAAAACTGGAATTGATGATGTGGTCTGATCATTCATGCCAACCCAAATCGGAATAGTTGCAAGTGACAATCACTATTCATTTCTTATGGTTAGCTTCCATATACAACCTATTACTTTAAAACTGTACCAATATTAATAACTGTGAATAAACCAAAATCATGCATGTGAACTGCTGACTATGTAATGAATACGAAAGCAATCTTCACAGAAAAGGTTCACTTCCTAGGTAGTAGAGAATATAAAGCCCACACTACTGGCTTTCATATTCATATTCATTTTAATTCAGTACCAATATTGTTCCACCATCAATCAAGAACAAGATAAGGATCTATACAAAACTCTAATCAGATATGATACCAATTTTCTATTATTACATATATTATGGTCTAAGATTTACTTCCTATTCCTCTAAGGCAAAGCTTTTTGGTTCAAGTTATTCTTGTTTTAGTGTTGCATTTTACCTGGCCCTTTAGCTCCTCCAGGAAGTAATCTACCAAGACGGAACATAACTGCTCTCTCATATTCCTGCACAATCTGTAAACAAAATCATCCCTTATTATCATAAGTTTATGCATATTTCTCACTGAAAGTTGTCTTAATTACATTTATATCAAGTATGATGAAAACATATAAAGCTAAGTTCAAGAGGCACATACCAGAGCACTCATGATCTCAAATATCTTACTACATTCACCAATTTGCTTACCTTCAAAGTAAAACACAATGAGAAAGGCAGAGTACAAATAAAGATAAGGAAAGACAAAATTGTCAGAACATAGTCACAAAACCCTCTTGAAACATCATCATCTATAAAAAAAAAACCAAGCAAAAAAAAACAATCAACAAAAACATTTACCAATTCACCAGCTCTGATTTTAATTTTTCCAAGATACATTACAAATGAATAAAAAAAATTGAAATTTGCAAATTCAAGACAAAATACAACAGCAAACCACTAAGAGATCATATAAAGAAAATGCCCTACACAAGGCTGTAAAACAACTACACAGCAGAACAGACTTCATAATGAAACACTTGACCAGTAGATATCATTGCTTACATAGGAATAGAGGTAACTCAGTGGAAAGGTCATAGTCAACACTGTAAGTGACTTTACTGATAAACACTCCATTACAATTGCAAAAGATACAGTTGTTAAATTGTTAAAATATTCATCAATCCTAAACAATACAATGATATACTACACGTACACAGCTACTCTGAATATATTTTTTATCTTACCAAGGAAGGTTCTTACCTAATAACAGTACAAACTATCTGTGGAAGATGGTTTGTAGCTTTGATTTTCATAACAACACAATGTACACAAACGAATGAACCCAAATATTATGCAACCTGAAGCCACTTTAGCTTGAAATTAACAAGTGCAATGAATGAAGTCAGAGAAAACTATTTGAACTATTATAAAAGTTCGAGCGATTTGAAAACTTCAATTGCACCGCCTCTGATATCATCACCACCATCTTCAGTTTCACAACTACTGTCATATACAAACCTAACATGCTCATGTTGAAGCAACGTATTTAATGCGCACCATAATTAAACGATTCTGCAGGTTTCATTTGTTGCAGCAATTTCCTACATGATCCATGTTTAGCACTTACGACATGCTTAAGTTCATTAACGACCCCACAGTAATGATGGTTCCTCTTTTAACCATTTTCGGTACAAACGCAGGGAAGGAAATGAGGTGATATTTCAAGAAACGCATGTTTGACCGCACATAAATCATCGAGCGAGTTAGGATCGGGTAATGTTAATTAATTTGCAAGTAGCAGCAGCATCATTCACTTCTGGTGTTCTGTTATGTTGAAGTGAGATGGTTTTTCAACATAAGATTTGATCAAATTTTCTTGAAACGACATGATGATTCGAGTAGATAATCCCAGAACTTTGTGCAACAACAAACTTGAATGGTATATGTTGAAGAAACGATTAACTTTTGCCTCAGAGTTAGCTAAAAACGGAATTTTCGGGTCGCTTTAACGATCTTAATCCATTTTTTACCCCCATGAAGTCTAAAAATTGGCGCTGAAATTCCACTAACATGAAATTTAATTTTCTCATTTCTTTTAACCTGAAAGAGGACTTTAATTCTTACCTTCCGAGGCCATTTTCAGGGAATTTGTAGTCGTAGAAGGCAAGACAAGGCAAGCTGCGATTGCAAACAACTCAGACTTCAACCCAGCTACATCACGTGATATATACTCCTCCCGAGGGACAACCAATCATATCCAAAGGTGTCAAAATATCAATTTCTCTATTTTTTAGTTGTCATGGATATATCTAAAATATTTATAATTTTGGCAATACAAAAGTTACAAAGCTATTTTCGTTTCTTTGATGAGGAAATCTCAGTTGGTAACCCTGAGAAACATCTTTCACTTTTACCCCCTGTAAAACGTGCGCAGGTGACACTAAGCGAACTGCATGACCTAAACACAAATACATAAATTAAAATTTTAACACAGTAACTCAACATACTCACACGCCAAAATTAATCCATCAATTCTATTTTAATTAAAAATAGGGTTTCTTATTTTGTTATCATCATACAACCAACCCAAATTTGTTCTTTTGCCCAAACAAAATTATAGGTAATGTACAGTTTTACAAGTGCCTCTGCATTTTTCCCCCTAATTTTAGTTTGTAATTCATTAAGAAGAATTTCCTCATTGAATCATGAGTTGAACACAGGACCCTTACATCAATACTACTATCTTGTCATACTTCAAACAGTTTTCAGTTCAAAATTTGCTACTTTTTAATGGATCCACAAGTTTTTTTCCCTTATTCATGTTTTGGTCTGGTAAAAATTTAAACAGAATAAGTAAAATATCATTTAAACAGAATAGGAATTTTCCCTTTAACTCAAATTAATCTGAATCTTGAAAGAGGAATGATGTAAATCATATTAAGGATTTACAGCTATGAGACTCTGTTGTACATGTGTGAAACAAAGGCCTGGATCAAATTTCTATTGGACTTTGGCATTTGTCAACTGATTTCTTTCTTGAGACTCAAACTAGACCACAACAGGTTTGTGCAAGGCAGAAATAAAGAACAAACTATGTATTCACACTGTCTGTTTGAAGACTGCTAGCTGCAACTTGGAGTGTAAATAATGATATCTCTTTTAATAAAGAGTCAATTCTAGGCTTCATTGATTGTCTCCACATTGTAGGATAACACAAGCAATTAAAAGCATTGTACTTAAACCAAGGAGAAGAGATTGAAATTCCTGGTGAAAATGAATTGGGACAACCATAACATGGCATGATTCTTTATATGTTTATTATGCTATTATGCAACACAGCATGTCTACAATAGATGTTTAGGCCAGTCTATGAACCAGCCCCCCAAAAAAATTACAGCTCACTACTTTTACGTGTGATATGTTGGTGGAATATCTTTTTGTGCCCTTTCAGTGTCTGATAGAATAGAGACCTTTGAATTTTAACAGTAGTGTTCCAGCCTGACAAGGTGATAATCTTAACACTATACATCAGTAAGCACATACATATTCTCAATTCTAACAACATAACCACATAACATTAACTTTAAAAAAAGAAAGTAACACAACTTTTTTCTACTTGAAAACAAACTAGTACAGACTCTTAGAGTCCTCTGATCAGAATTATCCTAATTATCACATTTCATAATATTTTCTATTTACTAAATCAATAGGAACTGTAAGCCCATCAGAATTGATTAGATAAAAATGCTATAATTGTATATTGCATGGCCCTTGCCATAGGACTGTTTCTAGCATGTCTGTTGAGATGTTCCAACATCAATCAATTTTTGAACATTACACATTTCTAAAGAAAAAGTTGAGAAGTACATTAATTTTATTCAACATCCATTGTTAACCCTGAGTAAATAAGCTTATGTCTAATGCAGAAATATTACTCATATAAACTGAAATATGCATTCAGAGCTCAAGACTAACTCCTAAATTACTCAGATGTTGGCAAGCACTACTAATTAACAAGTTAGAATGGCTATAATGGTCACTTAATTTTTGGTGGGGATCTGCACTTTTCATCCCACTAAACTAGATTTGAATAGAGCTCATAGACACTAAAGCTGCAATCATGTGGAAGGAATAAACTAAATAAATGAAATATCTTTGAAAGCATCTATCATGTTATTTCTGTTTCATCAGTAAAAGAATCCATAATCCAGTCCGTCCTATGATGGGGTTGTCACAGGCTTTGCCCAGTTTGCCAGTACACGAGAGAAGTAGCTGGCTTACCATAAAAGGCACTGCATCAATCGCGATCAACTGGAAACACGTTTTTTTTTGGCTCCATTTGCATTTCTGTTATACTGATAAAGAATTGTTTCTTTCACAAATCTGTACAACAGAAGAAATTTTAAAAAATCTGGCTGCTATATAATGTGAAATTATCACTACTACATGATTTGTTCTTGTTAATCTCAAGCTCTGAATCTTCATGTTCCTTTATGATAAAAAGCACTGATATCTATTTTGAATAATCAACTATTTTGCAATGATGCAAGTTTTTTCTCATTCTTTGTTCTCTCAATTTCATTAACCTTTCCTGTCTGGTAAGAATCTGCTCATGAAATCAACAGGGAGAGGAAATAGGATTGTGGAATTCTTCTCAGCTGAGATTGTTGTCAATGTCTGTAGGTATCGCAGCTGAAGAGCAGAAGGAGACTCTGAGATGATGTCAGCAGCTTCCTTCAGTGCACGAGATGCATTCTGTTCACCCTCAGCAGCAATAACCTGAAATGAAAAGAACACCTCACCAAATGATATTTTTTCTAATCTTACAGCTTCATCTATTGAAGTATCTTTGTTTTAATTTTACTTAATTTCTGATATTCAAAGTCATTTAAGTTCAGTATCACCTCTTAACTAAACACCAATAACCTGAATATACAGATCACTCAATTTTATAATCCAAGTTACGAGTTATAATACAAAAGCTTGAAATTAGAACCGAATCTATAAATCTAGAATGACTACTTCACGTCAGCTTCCTTTGTAATCAAAGGGAGCCTATGTAAACTTAAAAAAAAGGCAGCTCTTACATATAACTAATTAACTGTAACACTGATGACCAACCACAAAACTGAGATTTCTTATTAATGACAAAATTTCATACCTTGGCGCGAGCTTCACGAGAAGCCTCAGCCTCTGCTGCCATGGCTCTCTGTAGTTGCTGAGGAAGACGTACATCCTTCCTGTAAGGTACATGTTATGTCAGTCATTTTTATTCATTTATTTTCTTTTTTTTAAGGGGGGAGGAGCATTTTCATGTACAGCTTCAAGTTAAAACTAGGAACCAATTTAAAAAGCTGGATAAAGCTTTAACTTACACTTCCACACGTTCCACTTTAACACCCCAAGGATCAGTTGCTTCATCAAGTGAGCTCTAATGAAAAGAAAACACAAGATATGATCCACACAACTTTTTCTTCATGCACAACATTCAAGTTACTCAAGTTATCAAGGGTTTGATCATTATTTCATGAAAAATCACAAATGACTTATTTCTGCTGTTTATGTACACAAGACAAATAGTTCCACACATTACACAGCCTGTATCAAAATATTAGCTTCAACTTGTTTGATTGTTAAGGGTGATTCTTGCCTTTAAAATGCATTCAAGAATGGCTAATATAACCATTGTGTCAAACTTAGGTTTGGCAGCAGAAAAATTATTGGAATCTTCCAATGAAGTCAGCAATTTGCTTGCCATTGATTTCTCAACCTGTTACAGCTTAAAAATTCTTAATTAAAACATACAGCAATGATCCAGACTCAGATTCTGTTATCACCTGCATGACATGACTAATAACTTCCCTGTCAGCCAATATCTCACTGAGATTCTTGGTTCCCAGCACATTTCTAAGGGTGGTCTGAGCTAGCAGACGTGTGGAACGATTGGAATTTTCCACATTGGTGATGGACATAGTTGCATCATGGATTCTAAAATATACCACAGCGTCAACAGCAACAGTAACACTGTCTTTTGTCAAAATCTATAAAAAATCAAAGGCACAACCAGCTGATCAGATTGGAAGTGGCTAAAAAATACACTAAGTGCCACATATGTCCTACAGAAAAAAATTCAACCAAAGGGAACACATTATAAATGACATCATTATACATTAGGCTTCTTATGAAACTCCGATTGGTCAAGAGCATACAGTCAATCTACAATAGAGTGTGAAGTTAATGTGATAACCCAATATCTACACCAGATAATGGGTTGTAATGTCGAGTTTAAAATTTGCCTAGTTTCCAAGCTCCTCATCTGTGTAGTGCTCACAAAGTTTTGCAAACTCAGAAAGAAGTGTCTTCTTTAGCAGACTGTTTAACAATATTTATATAATATTTGGTACAAATTTCTTAGCCCACAAAAAATTTGGTCATGCAACGCTGCTTGCCATCCTCCTTGCCAGCTATTGTAATATCTGGAGCTCACAACACCAATCATGTGCTCGCTACTTGTTAATGTCAACTGCATGTGCTTACAGTCTCTGAATGCAAGGGGTCTGGAAGGATCCTAATCTATTACAATAACAAAACAACTATTGAATTTGTTTTTGCATGATATTATGAATTATCAAACCTTGTGTCTGTGTTATCTGCCTCAGCCTTCAGCTTTGGCAGGTAACTCACACCTTGACATCTATAACTCATGAAATCATGCTCAACCTCATCCAAAACTTACTTATTATACCCAGCATTTTTCATCTTGTAGGCTTAAGTTTAGAGTTTATTTCACATCAATTTAACAATGTCCATGAAACAAAAGCAAAATAAAATCATTTGAGCCTGAATTTTTTTCAGCTGTGCCTCACTAATTCTCTCAAGCACTCAGGTTTGTTAGCCAAAGGTTACATCACTATCAGCAACTAAATCATTTTACTAAAATTTACAAAAATGTTTCAATGAACATTTCCAAAAATCATCATCTCTCCTGCAAATGCTGTAAACAAGAATTTACCAAACCACTAGGCAAATATAAACATAAACTTTTTTTGTCATGATTGTAGAGAAAATTACTATTAAGGATGACTGCATAAGCACTTGATTCTTACACTATCTTTACCACAACTGTGGTTACCTCTTGTGGTGGAACATCAAAGGACACTGTCCTTAGGTCAACTTTCTGATAGGAGTCAATACAAGGCAGAATAAAGAAGAGACCTAAAATAATGCCATAAAAAATTACTATAAAACGCTCTGAAAATTATAAATAAAAAATTATCAAGTATACAAAGGTTCCAAATGTTTGGAATATAGCTAAATCAGACCACTGATAAAGGAAAAGACATTTCCAAAAAGTATCACTTTGCTGATACAAGGTTAAGATCATATACAAGTAGTTTTGTGTACCAAGCTATGTTCCAGCCATTAACTGTTATTTACCTGGTCCTTTGGCTCCTCCAGGCAGCAGACGACCAAGGCGGAAGATCACTGCTCTCTCATATTCTTGTACAATCTGTTTTTGTGTCCACAAAAGAAAAAAAATCTAATCAACTTTTTCATTTCATGAAACTTGTAACTAAGTTGTTATCTAAATAAAATCTTTAAAAAAGGGGCTTACAATAGAAAACTACCTCTAGTGAACTTACCTTTAAACAAAAGAATAAAGATAATGGCAAAGTACACACAAACAGGATGATAGACAAGCCTGTGAGTAAATAGTCACAGCAACCACGGTCACCTGAATCCTCTGAAAAAAAAGATTCATACAGGAAACTTAAGCTACGTTAAGTCAAAAAGTAAAGACATGCAAGCAATACCTATATTAATTTTTTGTTATTTGACAGCTTGTTCACATTTAATGCATTGAAATATCTAAACACCCCTACCAAGCTTGCAGTTCATATTTTTATTGCTAGACTGATTAGGAGGAAAGTATTTTGGCAAAGAAGAATTTAAACTATAACCAATAATACAAAGCCACAGAATTTGATTAATCACTACTGGTCTCGTCCCACTAAGAGGCAGAGAAAAAAAGATGAAGTTGTATTATCAGAATGAATGACTGTTCTCATTAGCTTTTCACTGTAGCACACCATTATCATCAAAACTTTAATGAATACAGAATATGGTTAGGGCGCTATGTTGATTTACAGACATTCAGGCACTATGGCTGAAGCTAGATATTCATTAAAAACCATTAAGATATTTTCTGGAATTACTAACTCAGCAAGAGGTGTGAATGATGGCCACCTTCTGTTCACTAATGGCTTCACTACCTTTGTAATGCCTAGGTTCTCCACGAATTTACAGTTTGAAACAACTGATCAACAACCTTGATTGACCAAAGAACTCTTTACATGAAAAACATCCTGAAGGTGATTTTCCTTCATAAATAATTAAGCGGGGAAGTTACTGACTAATGTAGGGAATTCAGATGAATCTTCCCTAGAATTAACAAAGAAAGACCATTTCTGTTTTCGAGACACCTTCTCTGACAGAAAATGATGTAATAAGGTTTGGTAAGGAATTTACGAATGTAAAACTAAGAAATCTGGGTGCACTGTGCAAGCTCGTAAACAACCACTATACCGTTCCGATGAGCATACCTAAATGTGACTCTGCAGTCGAAACAAAACTTGAAAGCTTTACAAATGTGTGTATTAGAAAATACACACGTTTGAACTGTAATGGATCAATAAAAAAAAAATATTTTTCGAGGCTCACGTTCCGTTAAACGTTCCGTTAACATGAATTGTTTTGAGAGTGAATGGCTTCCTAGCCCAGAATTTTTCTCGGCTTCCATCGCTTGGTAAGCCAGATAAGAAGTTTGAACCGGTTGATCCTAAAAAGCTATCTTTACAGAAGCACGTAACTGATTAAATCAGTGTTCGATGTTTAAAGGTAAAGAATCGACACCAGAGCTGAAAACGCGTAAAGCGAAAATTTGTTACCAGAAAAATCGAATGACGTCGACAAGACTTATCGATATAAATACAGCACCCAAGTTTACCGTTTGACAATCTTTCAAAGTTAGACAGAAGCTTTTAAAAAATAACTTAACGTTCACTTTTACATTCAACGTTAATTGTTTGCTAAAACTCTAATAAACATAACTTCTTTGTTATAATTTTCACAACATCACCGCGATGAGGATGGGTAAATAAGAAACGAGTGCGGGGAGCGAAATAACCATCGCGCACCTTTAAGGTACATCTTGGTCGTAAGCAGGCAAGTTACCCCCGTTTATCCCTTTAGACACCGTTAATGACTCACCTTCAGACGCCATTAGCGCCGTTGACGTTTCTTTAGCGTTTGCCAGATTTCAGATATTTCAGAGAGTATGGAGAAGGCGAGCAACAAGCAACCGAGGGAGTGCATGCATCAAGGTTTATCCATTACCTAATAAGGAAGTATAGTGCTGGGATCCTTTCCAGGAGAGGCTAAGTTGTCTTTTGTCACACACCTGCCTTTGCCGCCACGCCAACGGAAAGGGTAGTTTTTAATCAGTTTCCGACAATAATCCTGGCCCGGCGAAGCCACAAATAAACACAAATCCTAATGCAGCTCAATTAAAGTTATAAGCCCGTTTGCGATGGCTATAAAACTTAGCTGCGTTCCGTGATCATCAGTCGCTTACCATTGTTAGCTAGTTTGTAGTTATTACCTTGCAGGGGTTATTAAAAGGTACACATCAATTTTATCGTGGTTATTAAGTATGCAAGACTGTATTCATCAAAAACTAAAAGGGAAAAAAGAAAAAGCACCATGAACCAGTCCTCTGTTTGACAATATCTAGTACGGTTTCTCAAACTAAGCCAAAAAATTTCCTTGTAACATATTTAGTGTGACTTTTGCAGAATGGAAATAATACGTCCAAATTCTGGGGCTGTCCTGGTGTACCGGTACACGAGGGAATTCCTTTTGTTTTCATAACCATACATGGAGTTATGACGCAGTTCGTTAATGTTTCCTTCCTTTGTGTACCGGTACACGAGGACACAACCCAAATTCTTTCCTTTTGACAGCTAAGACCCACGATAAAGAAATCACTTTTAGATTTTTGAGGCCATGAAGCAAGAAAGTTATGCGTTAGTTATTTATCACGTTATTTTCCACCCAAAGAGTAGAGGGGTTACTAGATGCCGGTGATCATCTGATTGGTCAAAAATTTATTAATATGAAACAAGAGTGCATTTTCCCATAATTTAGTAAGACGCTGGTATAGCATCACTGTTATGAAAAATGTCTACAACTGAACCTCTTCCAGTTCCTCACTCATCTTCAATGCATGACCACAAACCATTGCATCTTATCTGTGAGAAGAGTGCTCTTTATTCAGCAACTTGACCTTTGATATGAGTACTTTAAATTTAATCTTAATTTCAGTTGATGGAGCTATAGATTAGTCTAACAAACCAAAATTAACCTCAATAAAAAATTCAAGTTACTCCTGAAAGCTTGTCATTTTTCTCTCTCTTAAAACCCTTTGCATCTCCAGTCTTTAATTTAGCCACAAATCACCATTTTAAATGCAGATACTATGACTAAACCTTAGAATAATAAGTCCATGGGGAAAAGTAATGGGGAAAATTAACCTAAAACAAGAAAAAGCCTTGAGTTGCATAGCAACCTAGGTAAGTTGAAATAATCACATGCTCAAAAAACTTATTTATTGTTGTTACTATTATTCCTAGAAAAAGACTGTCCAAAGCTAACTGTTAGCATAGTGAATATGTCTATAGCATTTACAACAAAGCATGGCAATAGAGAATATCTACTAATAGAAAGGAATATCATAAACAACGTGGCTACTGCTCCTTAACATACGTAATCTATATCTCCTTAAATAGTAAGACAAGTTGCAAGGCTAACAATAAATAAATTTTTAGTTGATTCTTCTGCTATATACACAGTGTCATCCATTTATTTCTATATCTACATCTTGTGTTGGAAATAAACATTCATAAGCACAGAACACTAATTTCAGTCAAGGATGAACACTTCCTTCTTTCATCTACTCATTTGTTCTCATTTGGAAGAAGTCTAGCCAAAAAGTTGACAGGGAGAGGGAAAATAACAGTGGAATTCTTCTCTGCTGAGATGGTTGTCAGTGTCTGCAGGTATCTGAGTTGGAGAGCAGAAGGCGACTCTGAAATTATGTCAGCAGCTTCCTTCAGTGCACGAGATGCATTCTGTTCACCCTCTGCAGCAATGACCTGATGTGAAAAGTACAACTCATTGTGAAAGCTTTCTCTGAAGAATTCTCTTCTCTCTTTTTTCATTTCTAAAATCTGAATAGAATTTTTTTGAAATTGGTACTGTAATGAAACAATACAATGACTTCAAGTAACTTTTTCTAGTTGAAGAGAAATACAAAGTTACTGATCAGAAGAAACAATACAATAACTTTGCTAAATGTGAACTTTGGTGGAGTACCTTAGCACGAGCTTCACGAGAAGCTTCAGCCTCTGCTGCCATGGCTCTCTGCAGTTGTTGAGGAAGACGCACATCTTTCCTGTGGACAAAAATCAACAAGAGACATATGAGATTTTAGAATCTCGTAAAATCAATTAACAGTTACTAACAGGTTATCAAAAAACAGACATTTATGCAAAAAATTGATGTTTAGCAGACTTTGTTAACAATATTATCACTGTAAACTTCACCATTACTGGTAATGTCAGACAACACACAAATGTGACAAGGACAACAGCAACTAGAACATTAAGAGCAATAAAAAGATTGTGAATGTTCTTACACTTCCACTCGCTCAACCTTGACACCCCATGGATCAGTGGCTTCATCCAAAGAAGTCTGTGGAACAGTACATTCACCCAAATTAACAACAAAATATAAACAAATTAACAAATTAAAACAACAAAAAATTTTTTCCCAGTTACTTTCTAATGTGCCTCAAATCTAAATACAACAACAATGCAACGTTTGATTCAAAATAAGCTACACAAATGGAAGGGTTGAGCCCTAAGGTGATATCAAGAATACTAAGGGAGGTTACTTACTTCTTTGTAACTTGCTTAGTCATGCACTTAATCACACAATACATGCATCCAACCAATGAAAACTTCTAACGTAATCAGAGATAAAAAGTAGGAGTTGATCTAAAGCATCTCAGACTTGGTTATAGTATAGAATTGCAATGGTTTTGCTTTACTATGAAGTTACATATGACATACTTGCCTGCATTGTTTCACTGATACTTTCTCTTTCACCTAATATCTCACTGAGGTTCTTGGTTCCCAGCACATTTCTCAGGGTGGTCTGAGCTAGCAGACGTGTGGAACGATTGGCATTTTCCACATTGGTGATGGACATGGTTGCATTGTATATTCTGAAATATACCACTGCATCAACTGCTACAGTAACACTGTCTTTGGTCAAAACCTGCCAAAATTTTTGTTAACATAAATACACATACTACTGAATTATTTGTCTTGAAATAACCAACAAAAGTCTTCCTCAAATCTACTGTCACCTGGAGTTCAGACCACACTTTCAGATCCACCATTCTTAACTAATATATAAATTACCTGTCCCCAAGAAAATAAGGTTGCTTCACTATGTTGTTCTTTACCTCTTGAGGTGGCACATCAAATGACACGACTCTCAGGTCTACCTTTTGGTAGGAGTCAATACATGGCAGAATAAAGAACATTCCTAAAAAATTAACAGTTTGCCAGGGTCAATCTCACAACCTACAGATGCTTCGTTTCAAGCATTATCATTCACAATGTATTTCTTGTGTCTTTATCAATTAAGAGAAGTTAAATTAGGGGTCTAATATTTGTCAAGTAGAATCCAAATTAATTTTTGTCATCCTTAATCAAAACTATAACAAAATTTTTGAATGTGATTGATTATCACAGCCTGATTTGAGCACTGCATAGGACAGTGTACATGTCATGCTTGTATTTGGACAGTGTAATAGGACAGTTAAAGGGATAGTTAACATGCCATGCCTGTGTAAGTGGACAGAATGGGTTATGTGCACATGCTGTTGTCATGCATTTTCCAAGTTAATTACTGTTTTTTGCTTAGGGTTACGTTTGATTAATTGGTAACAGGACTATACATTGTCCAATTCTGTCTGTAATCATACTTATGATTGACAAATCAGACTCTTGCTTTGAAGTTGTCCTATTTTGTCAATAACTTGCATGATTACAAGCCGAATTGGATTCCACTCAGTCCTATTGTTATTGCTTACCAACTTCAATTCATATTGATTTATTCTTTTTCATGTAGAAGTTTCTTCTATAATCTTACTGCACTAACATTTTGTGGTTTAATTGACATTAGAGGTAATTTTCAAAATCATAGCAAATGATTGGAAAATTTCAATTGCAGTGCCATGAAAAAATGACAGTTTTCAATGTGAACAATAATATCTAATTCGTAATTGTATAAACAGGTCCATAATTTTCACCTGGTCCTTTTGCTCCCCCAGGAAGAAGTCGACCAAGACGGAAAATAACTGCTCTCTCATACTCCTGTACAATCTTAATCACAAGGAAAGGAAAAAAATTGTTACGCCAGATTAAGAAGTTTGTTGACATAAAATAATAGATGTTTATAATTTTATACCTATGTGACAGTAAAGACAAAATCAAGAATATTAAATGCCAACAAATAAAAAAAAAACCTTTTTAATAAATTTTAAAAGAATCATTTTTATTTCTCATAATTCCAATAATGGAGCAATTTAAATTACAGCTAGTTTGCAATAGATGTGTTGTCCTTTCCATTTGTAATGAAAAGGAAAATGTAAAAATTGTTTACACATGATACAATTAACTCCCTGACAGAACTCAAAAAAAGATTAAGACAATAAAACCTTTAAAAGAAAACTACACCAGAAGAAAATCTGTTAAAATTTCTCCTGACTTTGTAATATGATTTTGTGAACTGATAAAAAATAACAATATTGGTTCCCTACAACAGCTAATTAATGCAAAAAAGTAGGTGAGTTGGATTAATATTAAGATTATTGTCAACAAAATAGGGCGCCTTGTGCAAAAATCCTCCAACCTGTGCTACTTCTAAAGAAACCATGGTTCCCTTAAAATATTTTTTGCAGTCGCATTGCCCTTTTTTTCAAGATTTTGTATTTTTTTTTTAAAATTAAACTTAACTGCTCTCTCTATCTAAAGAGCGATATTTTGAAAATTTTGAGTTAATTTTGTCAACAGTAACCTAAGAAGGTCATTACCTTTATACAGAAACACAGTGATAAAGGCAGCGTACAGATAAATATTAAGAAGGAGAAAAATGTCAGCAAATAATCACAAAAGCCACGCTCCTCAGAGGAACCTGCCAGTGAAATACAAAAATTAAACAAAATAATATTAATAACATCCAAACAAACCAAGTGGAATCAATTGATTTGTAAGGTCAGAATGGTTAGATCATTGACTAATATGCATTTGTAATTATTCCTATTAATTTATCTCCCTGACTGATCTAGCTTAAGCTTATAATTCAATATAAGTTGAATCGAGAGTGATACATTACTGACAGATTGCCAGACAAGAAACTGAAACTACAGGTCTAACATGCAGACATTACCATGCTCATCACCACTTCCACCTGAAACAGACAACACACGAATTCAATTTTTGTAAACATATTCACATGCCCATTAACCATGGACAATCCCTTCTTTGCTGATTTTCAAGTTATTTTTTAATTAATCCTTCCCCGCTGATATAATTTCACATGGAACTAAATGTTACTTTAGTCAATTTTCCATGCAATTCTCTTGTGCTTAGATCTTTCAGTACCAATCAATTATTGCTTTCCACTGCAAAATTATCTGGGAGAATATTTTTGAGGCAACTAGCTATAACAAAATAATTTTGATTTTTTTCTCCAACAAAGGAATGGCAGTAAGCATGTTCTTAGTCTATGAGCAGGCCATTGTTTGATCTTGTCACACAATAGGGGAAGAGAGCACATTGCTTGACAAGACCCAATAACAGCTGTAAGGAAGCATGGCAACAATGAAGTTAATTTCTGCTCAGAATTATTAAGACACCAGTGGCAATAGACCATAAAATACCCAAGTCTGAGTTTACTTCAGACGAGTAGATACTTTTTGGCCATTATTGAACAATATTTTCACTGGAATCGTTTGAAGGTAAATGCTCTTTCTCTTTTTCAAAAATGCAAACATCAGTTACTTAGTGTCCCTTTCCAAACCACCTACACATTCTCACACACACACTCACACACACACACACACACACACACACACACAAAAAGGCTCTCGCATACCTAGCATGCCTAGGTTTTGTTTTGTTCTATGCTTTGCATATAACAATATATGACATATGGGAACACATCAGTCATACCAAAATATGTAATCATCCAAAATACATATAAGTAAACCTTGCTGCTTCTTTTTGACTTTTAAAATCATCACCTTAACATTCTTGTCAAAAGTTAAGCACTATGACACTTTCAAGCATATCATTTTTTTCGTTGCATTTTTTTCTGATTTTGGTATAAAGATCACAATGATTGTTCACTGAAGCAATCAGTTATAAGAACTATCTAATTCCATATAAAACACATCCTTAACTTTCTAGTAACTTTCCCTTCTTCTCTCAGCAGCAGCTGGCAAAAAAAAACTTTCTGGTACTGATAAATGGTACATTAAGCATGTAGAATGCCAACACAGGAATAACGCATATTTCTTCTAAAATAAGCAACGTGAGTTACATTTTTGCATTTTCTTTTCAAAAACATGTTACTTAAGTCATGGCTATTTCTTCAAGCACTGTGAAAAATTGAATTTGCTGGAAATAAATGAGAGTTAAACTTGCTTAACAAAATGTGAAGTTACGTATCATAAATGTTAATTCCATCCCACACACCTGATTATGTCTGCACCCATCGCATAATCTATCAAATTATCTTTAATATAAAGAACAATGTTTACGAATTATAGGATCTATCCGTGGACAAATACAGAAGCAATAACCTTGTAATTAAGCTGACAGGAGATGATGTTTAAGTACACTGGAACAACACTTCATCAAAATCTCGAAAATAATAAAACGTCAAGAAGCCGATGCTTCTCTATAAAATGCATCAAGAGTTGTTTATTTATTTATTTTTTTACTTAAAAAAATGACAAGCAGACATTTTTAGACATTTGAACAATGCCTTTCTACTCATCTTGTAGAGGCAAACGTTGTCCAAAATCATTTCGATCTTCTTTCTCAGATAATTCATTGAATTTGCTTTCGTGTTTTTTTTTCTACTTTGATTCGTGATTGCACTCCGGCTGCGTTCCATCGAATTTCATATTTTGAAGCTTAGTCTCTAACCCAAAAGTGGTTGACATTAAAAATTCAAAGGGCCTGATAACTTAAAACTATCAAGTAGAATTTTCGAATAAATTATTGAATTTTCGAGTTATCGTTGTCTGCATAAACCAACGAAGGGTTGAATTAAATGAAAAGAAACTGATACCTCTACTTGCCGTGTTACCTTACCGAGACTTCAACAGAGTGGGCTTCCATATGTGCATACTGAAAGTAATCCTCACGCAGAGACAGTAATCTAGTAATTATTCTCACCTAAACGCCTGGAGCTACATATATGCGAAATTATGATGTATTTGTGATTTCAGCGAATAAGCGACTCTGCCTCGAACATTCATTAACAATTCAAAAAGAGAATAACATAACTGAGTATATTTAAAGTAAGACCTGAAGGCAAAAATACATCCTGCCCGAAAAAAATTTCTGCAGAAAACACTTTTTCCTTTGAACTTGATAAATATCATAATGAAAAACAAAAACTGTTTACGGGAAGAGATATTCAATTAATTTAGCTGGAAAGTTCTAATTTTTCGTTCACCTGCAGGGCAAACTTATCAAGTTACAACTTTGCGTAAATATAAATATCAAACGTATTTTGAAACACGAAGTTAAAGCGATGTTGTTTCTTTAACGGAAAAAAAAACTCACCAATACAACAAAGTTATTCCCAAAACAAAAAAGGTTTATGAATATGTTATCAACGTCAGGGGAGCAAAACGCTTAAAAAATATATTAATCCCATACCAAAAATGTCTCTGTTTTCGTTTCATTTTCCCCGACACGATCGAAACAGCATCTTGTGCCGAACTTATTTTGCTTTCGACCATTTTATTCTAGAAAGACCACAAAAAATTCTAGCAAAACCTTTCCGTAATAGAATTACGTACCTGGCTCTGAAAATCCGGCATTTTCCTTTCGATTTAACTCCATGAAGGAATAAGAAACAACCTTTCTTGTCCCTTTCAAAAAGAATTACCCAAGTCACGTGACTTAGTAGACTCACCTGCTCGCTGCCAGGCAATGATTATCAATCATTTGTAAAGGTACTTAAAGGAACGGCAAATAACAATCGTAGGCTTTAAAAATTCCTGATTTGAAAATTTGTTTGGAATGTTTAACACAAGTAGCTACACTACAAGGGTACTGCAAAGCCAAGGAGTTTCTCTCTGCTAATGCCACCTTACTACACATCTTTGTATCAATATAATTTTCTTTGGGAAACTTTATCAGCCAAATGCTTCTTGATGTCAAATAAAACCGTGAAAAGCTATTCATTCTTCAATTAAAGAATATGTAGTTACATGACATTGTAAAAGTTCTTTTTATGTCAATTTTGTAGCTATATAGGCAACATACTCCATAAATAACAGTTTAAAATTTGGGTGATCTACACTTTTATTATCATTCTACTGAAATCAAAGTCAAAACCCTCCTACTGTCTTGAATATTGTAATTCTAGAATCACAAGGTTACTTGAGGCTGTTTATCAATCAACCTTATAACTTACCCTTGTAGTTTCAAAGAGAGAAATAAGTCAAAATTCTACCCTTAAAATATTGTGAGAAGCAAAATCTGTTGACAGCTTTAACATCCTGTTCGTAACATTTATTTGTTGTTAACATATGGTAACAAAGTACATAACAAATCCATGTCTCAAAACTCCTAACATATGTACATGGTGACAGCCTGCAAAGGTAAATGTCAACTGCTGGCAATCAGATGAACAGTTTTTTTAGGAGCCTATGGTTTACTAATCACTACTCTCTGTTTAGCAGATCTATCAACCAGACTTGTGTTGGATATGGGATATATTTGGGAACTCACAGTGACATTCATATTTCATAAAAGTAATAACAAGATTTTAGTTGCAATTTAGTGGAAATATTGGTGTAAGTAAACTTTTCAAAGACAAAAAAATTGCAAAGAAAGTCAAGACAGACAGAATTTGATGGGGTACACTCACTGTTTGTAATTTGCACCCATGTTACAACTTTGCACTCATGTCAAATAAAAAATGCACTCGTTTTCAGCCAATCAGATGGCATAATTTTTTCATGTATGTTTTCATGTATATAAAATGTATTCTTCATGGACACAAATCTTTTACTGGTGTAACTCACTGACTCATATCATGTAATGTTTAATTCCAGACTAAACCTCCTTGTGAACAGTGGCAAATATTTTAAAATACCGATAATCCCTATTCCTCTTCAGCCTTGGCACTTTGCCCTCTTTAGCCCTAAGGGACAAACTGAGGGGTGTGAAAACATGTTTCCAATCACTAAGAGCACTCACATGGAAAACATGAGAACTGAAGTAAGAGAATCAAGAGAGTGAGGAGAATTTACATATAATATATATATAGGTACCATAAACGGTATATTAATATACTGCAGCTGCTTACATCAAATCCCTCGTTCAAACTGATCATGGCTTACAGCTCTTCAAGCTCGCAACAATAAGACAACCAACACCAGTCCAAGAGCAAAATGGCAATAATGCAAACTACCTACGTTTTTGTCTTTGGAAGTGGCATGTTCAGCGCAATTACTGATTTGCAAACACACTAATTACTGAAATCCACATTTACATTCAAATGGCTTTATCTTTTCAATAGAAAACACATTACATGCATTTGCCGATAGAACCTAGCTTGCTCTGATCAAATACTAACCTGTCTGTAAAACATTTACGAAGCATTTAAATTAAACTACAAATGTACAGAGGGATAAGTTGTTTTTCAATTTCGGGTACCACATCGAATGATCGTTCAGCCGACTGAATTGTTTAAAACTTACCTTCCTCAAGAAGTCCTCTCTTGTCTCCTCCACTGACAGCCCGTTCGTAGTTCTGAGCTACTGGATTCACGTGCATACTGGTTGAAGTACTGCGAGCAGTCATTAAACCTTACATATGTTTCCACCACACAGAGCCATTATTTCCTCTTTCTTCGAGTTATTCAACGCCTGTACGATTGTTTTATTTTCAGTATGTGCGCAAGGTCTGGGCGAAAGTGTTACTAATTAGAGGAGTGGTCGCGGGAGGGCCTGTATCAGCACCCGTACAGTAAACGATGAGAGATGCTTTCTCTATCTTGTTTCATGATCAATTATTTGTATATGAAAGAGAAAATATTTCAAACTTTCTTTACGTTGTATTATGACGTGTGAAAGGTACCCATAAGGGAGTAATGAGCAAGCAACTCAAGATAACAAGAATGCTTGCGTCCCGCACGCACGAGGTGACTGGTTGCTAGGAACTATTGTGACGTCATAAGTAAGCAAAAGGCATGGTGGTAAGTGAGTTTGTGGTTCATAGTTCTGTAGTTGATTTGGTCTTTTTTGTGGGAGAAAATGCCGATTAGAATAACACAGTCTATATCTTGACACTATATTCGTTAGTATACAAGGCTGTTTCAATACATAGCCATGAAAAGTGAAAGTTCATGTGGTGCTTTGTGTCAGCATCCTGAATGTTGGAGATCGAACTTGCAGAGAGTTAAAGATGCTGTTAGAGTAAGAAATGGAATCCAGCCTAATGATTCAGTGGAGAGTAAAGAATTCTATACTTTTCCTGGAAGGAAAAGAATAGACGATGAAGGTAAGAAAGGAGACAGAGATCAATCGGATGACTGTAGGCGCTGAATGCGTTACACGATTAACAATTAATGCGAGTTAAGAACTTAGCTTTGAAACATTTTCCGTAACAGCTGTCTTCAAGTTTGTGTGAATCGCCATATTATTAGGCGGGGGGCTAATGAATTAAAAAAAGAAAGAGTAGGAAAGGTTGGTGGTATTTACAAACTCTTATCATTTGTCACACAATTTCGTCATCTGACTGGGACACGATGACCATATCACAATTCTCTGCAGCTTTGACTGATTTTCATCCGGTGTTATTTATGGGGTGCATGTTTATTTTTTTAGTGGCCTGCTTTGGTATGACTCTCCTGATTATGTGTTTCTTAAGCGCACTTGACAACTCTTTTCTTTCATGGGATGCAGTTGTTTCGAAATAACTCAATGTCAGCTTGTGCTCTGAGATGTAACTTTATTCATCATTTTCCAAGAAGTTGGTTGTGCTGTTTCTTAACTCGTCTTCCAATTGAAACTTGAAGTGAGAGGGATTTTAAAGACCGGTCCCCAGTTTACTGTCCAGTTAGGCTGGTAGGGTGTATCCATTTTTTCAAACATGCTCCAAGCAAATTTTTGTTATTTCACATTGAAAATTCAAATTGAATACAAGAGGAATGATGTATTTGTAGTATTTATTGAAAATAAAGTTGTGTACAACAGTATATTTTCTGTGCAGGCTCTCTTCCAACCCTGAAAGTTGTTGATGTCTTTGATGGAACAAACTTGAGAAGTAACAGTGCAAGACATTGTAGTAGCGCATCACAAACAAACATATACCATCACAGATCAGCATCTTTACCCTCATTATCACCTGATCTCAGGTATAAAACAGGAATGTCTTATTTTTGTTTGAATTGAAGCTTAGCATGGCAATTTGTTAGATGTAATTTAGAAATTATCAACTGAGTTGATAGCATAATTATCCACTATAAAGAGTTTAAAAGCAGACAATTGGAGCGTTAGCCCTTCACCATTTGCTCTGACAAAGGGCTAATGCTCAAAATGTCAGCTTTTAAACTCTCTATGGACTCTAATTTTCATTATCAACTCTGCTGATAGTACTAGATAACCCTGTTATACTCTCCCACTGACACAGCACCACAGTTTCTTTAGAAACTTACCCCCCTTAATTCTTTAAAGTGTTAAGGGAATGTGTGATCTTAAAATTATTATTGATTGCATAGAGAAAGCTTAGATGAACCATCAAGTGAAGTGAAAAAAATCTGTTCAAATTGCAGTGGTTTATCTCAACCTTTATCAATCAAATTCTTGTTGATTATCAATTGAACTATGTGTTTCTCTAGCTTGACATTGTGAAATGACTGAGTCTTAAAGGCTTGTAACTTTACCTTCCTAAATATCTTTGCTAACATCTGCTGCAGAAAGCAGCCAAATATAGAGTGTTGAACTGATGTAATGAATTGTGGCAATTAATTTCCAATGATTGTTTTAAAACTTATTTGATATTATTATTCAGCTCTCATCGGCATTCATCTACATGCACTCCATCTGTGCATGTACCTCGCCCATCTCCTGTTTCGCCAACAATGTTGACAGATTACCAGAAACGTATGTTATGGAAGAAAAAGTTGCAGCCTGTCACAGAATCCACTGGTGGTGAGCTGAAGAAGAAAAAGGCTTCTGTTGTTGGTGTTCATGAGTTGTATGAAAATGATGAATTATTACAAGATTGGAAGGATGTATACATTACTTCAGCATATCTTATATGGTGCCAAACTAACAAGGTAATAACACAATCATGATGATTAAAATTGTGTTGGTTTATTTGTTAACCCAAATATTTTATGTGCTTGCAGTTACATGTTGTTAAATATCAAGCAACCACTGAACAAATACATCATACATGTATATTTTAATGTTGTGAAAACAAGTATAGGACTGAGAAGGATTGGAATAAGACAAAATCCTAACTTTTCTTTTTTTTTTTTTAAGTTATCATCATATGTATATTACTATTTTGATTTTTTGATGTTGTTCACTGCAAGTCCTGTAAGCTCACCATTTATCACTTTAATCTGACTGTTAATTTTTAGAGGCAAAGAAGGAAAGCAAAAAGCACAGGGTAAGATGTCTCCTGTTTTACCTGCTTTGAGTGGTAGAAATAATAGATTATTAATTTTGTGATCAGAAATATTTTAAATGTTTTAAGAAATTTATCAAAGTTGACATAAATTATTTAGTTCTAGTTAAATTTTGTTAGTGGCAGCCATTAATTGTATGTTATGAAAAAATATAGTATTAATAGTACCAGGGTAAAAGGAAGCACTTTTTGTTTTAAGGGCTTATGAGAACACACATGGGAGATCATGTGTGGAATCAACATCAGGGAGCTGTAAGAGATCCCACTGCTTTGTAATTTTGATAGTTTGAGCCATACATTGTTTTACCTAAGAAGAATAAAATTATTTTGTCAGTACCTAAAAAGTACTGATGTTCTCATAGAGAAGTTTTTTAAAAGCTAGTTTTTTAAAAAACTAGTTAAAACTAAGCACTAGTCCTGCAAAGTAACATAAAGATGATGATAACAATGATCATGTATTAAAAATAATAAGAATAATGTTAATAATTCAGTGGAGCTTTTATATTATTTCCACACATTTGGTTTCAGCTGAATAGGAAACTAATTGTCTGTAGCATGTAGGATATGCATTTTGCACTATTTGGTGTAATGAGTCTTGAACATGAATTTAGACTGCCTTATAAACAATAATTGATTTCAAAACCTTTTTGCAATGTGCCTCAGATACAATTTATAATTTAATTAAGGAAAGGGAAGGAAGACCTCTCAATAAATCCAGTTTATTTGTGTATCTTTTTGGTGTTTTTAGATCAATTTCAAGAAGGAGAGATCCTCACAGAATTGCTTTTAAAGATGTAACAGAGGACATGATTCCAGCAGCCATGGAAAAAATAAAACCAGTTAGTTTAAACTTTGGGAGTATATTTCAACCTTATTAAAGAGACTATCAATCACTTTAAAATATTGACTCATGTATCAATTTATTGTAAAGCTCAGATAACTTTGAACATTGACAGAAGTATATCATTGTTGATTTCCTAATTTGGGTACTAAATGTATATAAAATTCAGAGTAAAACAGTGAATCTCTTCAAGAGGCTTTAAGAGAAAATGAGAAAGTTTGTGGGTTTTATTATCAGTTGCTTCATGGTGATGCCTTTTGTTTTATGATGAATTTAAAAATCAAAATTTTGATCTTAATTGGTGGATTTTACCAAGTCAATTGCAATATTTTGCAACGAATAAATAAATCTGACATCCATTTGACAATTTTCAATGCATTTTTACCAGGAACGTCCAAAACCTCGCAGATCACCCACTGTTGGACAACCTTACAGTCCCAGTCGCGGAAGCTGTCATCGCAAAATGCATATTCAGGATTTAGACCTCTCCAGTTATGGGTATGGCCTTTGTGGATAAATCTAGGATATTTATAGATTGATATCCACTTTACATATAAATGTTGATTTGCTACAAATTTGGATCAAACCATTCATACAGGATGTTATATCACAGAATTTACGCCAAAACCTCAGTGTGTCAAATATTATCTTGATTACTTTAATTGACTTATCATTCTGAGGATAGATGCAATCCATAAAAACTGGGAAATTCTGAAACCCTTTCTAAAAATGAGGTAACAGTACCTTATATCACTCTCTCTTTCATTGTTTCTGGCATATACACAGAAATGTTTTCTCTTAGGTCCTCTGATAAGGCTAACAATTAACAGTTTGACCTTGCTGTCTTGTAAGTAGGCATAATTAACTCCAAGTAGTCAAAGGATTGTTCATGTTTCATAACTAAAAGATTGTATTGTGAGGAATATAAATTTTTAGCAGTTTACTTGACTACACTGTAAGTATTTGTATGTAAACATTAGTAATGTTGTAGTCTTCTATTTTTATTGTAATTAAAATAAATAATATAGTATATTGTTAAGTAAAAAGTAAGTCAACAAGTTTTCATACTTGTACTTTCTCTGTTTTTGCCTAATGTACTTCAAACTTGACTCCTTGAATTACCAGTGACTGAGCATGCTATGATTACCTTAAATTTGTTCCTCTTTTTGCAGACTGGAAGATTTTGGAGACTTTCCCAGGTCAGTGATTGCCGGAATCATTCAACACCTCAAACCAAGGTATGACACAGACACCTTTTTGTAGTATCCTCACACATGTAGAAATTGTCTGAATTCATGCCTTGCATAAGAAGGATAGCAGTTGACCAACATGTGTTTGTCAAACAATCTCCAATGAAAATTCATGTAGAGTTTTTAACATCAGTCCTCAATTTTCCACAGAGGCTTGAGTACATCTTAGTCAATCAGCCCCATAAATTTGTCAACCAATATATTAACAGTTATATGTGACATTGTGTCTTTGAGCTAAGGACCTTGTTCAAATTATGAGTTAGAAACGAAGTAAATCTGTAAATGAAAGTTAAGAGTATAAAAGCCCATTTACATTGTATTTATGTATTTTTGTCCGTCTGAAGAGCTGAAAACCGGCTTATTCATTTGATTAATGATCACTTACAATCCAAAATCAAACAAGCTGAATGTACACAGTCATATAATATTTCTGTTTTTTTTTTTTTTGGAACTCAAATTTAATGTCTCCCTAATACGCTGTGGTGACTATACCAGGTTTACTAGGCGTTATCCTTTGTGCCAATTTTTAGCCAAGTCGCTGTTAGTCAAGAATTGCCTTTGGGGTTAGAAGTTCAACCAAAACAACAGTCAAGTCCAAGAGCAGACAAGCCTACTGATCTAAGTACACAGAACAAAAGCGCTGAAAACTTACCGAGCGAAATTCTGGAACAAACTCTGCAAGATGAAAACTCGCGCATGCTGCTAGATGTTGATATAAACTCACACTTCACTCCCCCTGTGGATGAAGAACTTACTGATGAGGAGGGTGGGCTAAAGATCAACGGTGAATCAAAACAAGACACTGACCAACTGCAACCTCAGCTGATCAAAACAGTTGTTGATAAACTTACTGGCAAACGAGGTCGCATACTATTACCTCTTGCATATGTGGGTGTTCCCTTTGAGCGTTGTGCCAAGTCTAAGTTACATCACTGTGTCAACTCCATTCCCCGTAACTTGAATTTGGGCGTGGCAATGGAACCGGTTGACGTAGTATCAGTCACACCAACTCCTATCGGGACACCACAGGAAGAGTTAGAAGGTCAAGAATCTCAGCTGTGTGCCTTGGCTTCCCCAGGCGTGACTTCAGCCAATGCCAGTGAGTACATCTCACCTTGTGATGATCAGACGAATCTTCATTGGCCTGTGCGAGGTCACATGACATCTGCACTGAGGTAAGTAGCTGCTAAGTAAGTAACGTGCTTTCCTACAAGGATTATTTTGGCTCTGTTCACAGGAAGTAGTGGCATAGCTTTTAAGTAGGACGATTTCATTTCTGTGTCCAAAAGGCCCGGATGAGATCATCATAGAATTTAAAGAGGCTTTCACTTGTTCTAGGCAACTTTGCAGGAAGCCCACTATGAAGATAGAGGGAAAAGAAAATTAAACTTAAATGAATGAACTCGAAAAAAAAGTGACAGATGAGGGAACTGATTCCATCCATAATCAAAATCATTCATACCAACCTCCGTCACTTTTTAAACATCATCACAGGGCATCACAGGGTACATATGCACAAACTAAGAGAGGCAGTGACAAGACCTCTTGACTTTTGTTTTGTTGTCGTTGTAGATATTCTCCAGCTCCAGTGCATGCCCCAGCACCAACTCCCAATAGCCCAGAAAGACACGGCCAATACTTCTCCCGCACACCACAGAGTAGGGAACATAACAACTCGGTCACGTCTCGCTACATCAGGAGGCGAGAGACACTGACCAGTGTGTATGACGAGGACGAAACCATGATTAGCCGAGAGGCCTTGGGAAGTCCTGAGGGGGAGAGAGTGGGGGAGGAATTTGCTGTTGAACCAGTTTTTCTGACAGAAGGAGCTCTTTCTCGTGACCCAAGTCTGGTTTTAAACAAGAATGATGCACAAGAATGGCCGCAAGATAAAATGATAATAAATGTGATCGAGAACAGTGATGACATGCCCCGAATGGTTCGAAGTCCAAGCCCTGGGAGTAAAACATACATCCCCCAGGATATTCTCGCTGAATTTCATGGAGATCCTTATGGGAGAAAAGGAATGCATGTAGCAGGTCAAAAAATTATTGGAAAACCGAACATTGTGAAAGAGCCTGAAAAAACTGACTCGCGTGGTTACATGGCACCGGCTTGGAGACCTCCGCGCTCAAGGACGCCCATTCAGTTCGTAGATACGCCCTCCAGGCGAGCCCCAAGACCTCTCAAACAGCCCCCGAAGGAAAGTGTGCCGAAGTCCTTAACTGTAAAGCCTCTGGCGCAACGCACGCCTCGAAGGCCAAAGAGTACCCCTCCTCGTATGAGCTCTTCCAAGGATTCAGGAGATTTGTCAGTACATCAGATTCTGTCGGATTCGACACTAGGCAGTTTCATTCTAGATGACCCAGGGAAATATTCAATGGACGCACAGGCCACATCGCCCTCCGTGGATACTTCTGGCTCCATACCCCCTCCTCCTTCCCCAGAGGCAATACTGGTTACCTCAGTTGTTCCTGGTACTCCCAGGCTGGATCCTGTCAGTGAAGTTGAAGAGAAAAGCAGTATCACTTCAGCTGGTCTGGCTGATGGCGTAAGCCAAGTAGAAGGTAGGAATGTCGTGGCTAACCTCTCAGAAGTTGAAGAAGGAGACGAAGTTGATGAAAGCAACGAAGAAGTTGACCTTGGCCAAAATTCAAAAGACATCAAATCTGAGAGCAATAACGAAAAAGAGACAGATCTCGCAATCACTGAGGACACAGAAACAATTGAAAGAAGACAAAACGACGACTCAAAAGATACTCCGGATGTAAATTTGGAAGGAAAAACCGTTTCTTCATTTTTTGCCGGTGATGAAGCTACTGAAAAAACGAATCTACCTGTAACAGATACTAATAAAGAAATGCATAATAAAGCTGGACGGGATGAAAATGAGTCTGAAAAACAAAAAGACGACAAGTCTACTTATGAAGATACATGTACAACAACAGAGGAGTCAGATGAGAGAGAAAAGGAGAAGGACAACACGGATCCACCCCAGCCCCCTGAGTCAGGTGAGAGAGAACAGGAGAAGGACAACACGGATCCATCCCAGCCCCCTGCGTCACCAGATATCGTCAGCACTCCAGATTTCACTGAGGGATTAGACATGAACCTCGATTTAGAAGCAGAGCTTCGCGCGGCCATGGAAGGCTTGGATGATTTAGGTGACGGGGAGGAAAACGGAGAAAAAAGGACTTCCCCAGAACTGGAGCCTTGGTAGTGACCATTCCGTTGAGCTGTTCGGTCTTTTTTGGGTCGTGAATCATACTATTCGTGTGACATTCAATGACAGAATGTTGAATTACAGAGTAAAGATAGATTGTAGGAACCATGTAATTAGATAAAATTTTATGTTTTACATTTATCTTGCCGGTGTGTTTTATGTGTAGCGGAATATAGCCATATATTTTGGTCAGAGCGATATAGGAAATTACAGATCTGTCAAACACTTTAATTAGACGCGGTCAGGGGATTATGAAAACAAACACTCTGACATAAATTAAACTCAAACTATACTCACCGACTCGAATTATTGCGGCATTAGTCATCTTACTGTCTAAACAGAACACTTATGGATATTTGAGTAGGATCTAACATGCCTACTTTCAAGTGATGCATTTGTTTTCTCAGAAGGACAAAACATACAAACTTTCCTTTTTTTTCTCTTTAATTTGTTATTCATGACGTTCTCGAGCTTTCTTAAAGTACATATGGCAATAAATTTATGCCTCGGAAGTGTTGTGCTCTTACAAAAGAGCTATTGATAGTCAAATGACCCAAATTGTCAAAACAGAACAGATCAAAGGACACCAAGGGATCGATCCGTTGTTTGAAACATATTTTCGTAGCAGCCTTTCATTCTCTGCAATCAATAGCTGACCAACCTTCATTGACTGCATCGATAAGCGAATCAAGCCAAGAGTTTGCTAAAAACAGTTATGACATTTGTCCGTTGTTCGAAACAAGCGACCTAATTTTTCTGTAAATCTTACAAAGAGGCTCTTTGCGTAAGCCCAAGATGAATGTTTCCAAAGCACTTTTCGATTGTAGTGGGTCAACTTTTCCCGAATCGGAAAATGAAAGAGCCGTTTACGAACAGTTTTGCGGATGTACAATTCCTCCAGAATCATGGCACTCAATGGGCGAAGTGGTATTTAGTAAACTGTTCCTAATCATTTCAGTTTTAGGGAATACACTTGTTATATTCGTTCTACAACGAATGAAGCGCAGCGCACAATGCGGAGCCATGAAGCTGCTTATTCAACACTTGTGTTTGGCTGACATGGCCGTTTGTATCGTGTACAACATCAATGAAGCCATAGGAATCGATTCAGAGCACTCTAACACACCTGTTTGTAAGCTTATTGGTGGCTTAACATGGACTACACTCTCTGCTTCATCCTGTTTAATCTGTTGTGTTTCGCTGGAGCGTTACCTTGCTGTGGTGAAACCATTTGACTTTACACTTAACACACGTCGTACTGTGCTTATGATAATATTTTCATGGTATTATTCTCTCATGTTCACTCTGCCAGACTTTTATTTCCTTAAGAGGTTGGAAGCACCGTTTTGTGGCCGGGGATTAGTTCCATTTTGTTCGTACGACTTTTTTGGAGGTACTGATATAACGGTGATTCTGCTAATGACTCTTTCAGCTACGTTCCTAGTTCCGCTAGTTTTTATCGTGTTCACTAATGTCGCCGTTATTCATGCATTACTACATGGTCAAGGCTCAAAACTTTTCAGTAAGTTTCGCCACACAGCCGACCAACGAAGACGAGGAGTCGTATTAATTGTATTTTTATTAACAGCCATATTTGTATTATGTTCTGTTCCGTTCGCTACTTACTTCTTTTTAATCGCTGTGTCTGTAGCAGTGCCCAAGGAATATGCTATAGTAGCTTATTATCTCATGCTATTTAACAGTACTGCTAATGCATTTGTCTATTCCTTCTTCAGTGCCGAGTTCCGTAGAAACTGTAAAGAGTTATTTTTGGTAGTGTTTAGAAGTTTTAAACGATATTAAACACAGCTTCGAAAAGCAAAATCGGAAGAACATCGAATTGAAGAGCAACGGTACAAACATCACTGACAACTGATTTTAAATTACTTGTTTGATCTTGTTTATTTTGAATTGATGCTTCAGGGGTCACTGAAAAGATAGGTCCTTTCATTTCTACATAAACTTACGATTAATTATCGTGGGTAAATAGGAATCGTAATGATTAAAATATGTCTACAATTTAGCGGTATTTAAGTCTAAATTGTCACGATCGATGTTTATCTAATTTTCAACTCAAGGTGATATTCTGTTTCAAGCTGTTTCCCAATTCTCTATTTTCTTTCTTTGTTACGCGGTTCTTGTTATTTTAATTACTAAACAACACGGTTGATCAAGAAAGAAGCACTGAGTTACAGTAATTTGCGAGGTCATCGAACAAGTAATGATGATTGGATGGAAGTTTCTGGTGCTTAGAGGTGATGGAGCTCCAAAAAGCTTACTTATTCCGTTGTATTTGACAGCGACCCCCGTCTTCTATAATTATCTGACGTTTTTCTTCTTGGATCTTAAACCTCGGTATACTCTGAGAATTGTCATAAACCGGTTTTTTCTATTCCTTCCCTGGTGCGAAACCAAAGAGTTATCTTGTCAAAGTTTAAGGACATGCTGAGGGGGATTTAGAATAAATTACCTCATAAAGAATCTCCACTTAATTACCCCAGAAAATTTTAAGTAGCCCAAATGATGAGACTTGTGTTAATGTTTGAAATTATATGAAAACGGAAAGTATCAGTGTTGTGTGACTTGCATGATTGTAACTACAGTCAGAACTAGTTAAATCCTTCGTTAGAAGTTCGGAAAAGAATTCTCTCCCTAAAGACGCCTCCCACCGAATAACCCGGAAACTCAAGCGGATGATAGGGAAGAGGATTTAACTATAACTGTACAGGCCCTTCGTACTTTTGAAAGCGGGTTATTCCTTAGTACTAAACCTCTAGCTTTCGATCGGCTTCACTGATCTCCTCTCCTTTGTCAACACTTGCTCACTTTGCTAAGTCACCGTGTATGGTTGCATATATGAGGAACCATTATATGAGCAAATGGCTTACATCTAGCCCGATTAACTTTTGTACTAGATACCAGAATCTTAGGAATTAGAACAGAATTATCTTTTGATAATGGATAATTTGTCAAAATCAAATACAAATATAAAGAATCGAATTAAAAAATATATTCGAGGCCACTGGAACCGGCTTGGTGTAGGGTTATACAAACAGGATCCATTAGGATTAGCATTGGTGTAATAAATGCATGAAGAAGAAGGAAATTAAGCAAACCAGATGGTCAATTGACATTTTAAAATATTGACATTTATTTGTTCCAGATTCTAACTAATTTCAAGAATGTATCCTGCTGGACACACCCAACTCTCCAGTCCCCCTCACCCACCTGAAGTGCAGTTTTCCGGTATAAAACGCGCAACGCGTACGACTAACTTAATGAGAGTGCGTCCGGAATGAGTCCAAGGGTTTTGCGGCATAAGTTCTCCTATTATCTCAAAATTAAGGTTGTGAGTATTCAAAAGATTTGTTTTTAGTCGATGGAGGACTGTTTCTAAGCTACAATTTCGCCTGACCGATCGCAATCTTCTGATCCACGCAAGTGACTGACTCGGCAATCCGAGAGCGCTTTGATTTAAATCAATTCTATTAGAAACAGTGCGTTATGTCGGATCTGGAAGACATCGAAGATGTATTTGAGGTAGGTAATTTACATATCAGGAAATGTGTTTGTATGTGGCTTGTCAGGAAGGTTGTGAAAAGAAACCCTGTTATACTAAGTCTGTTACGGTACTTTACGTGACCTTGGTGCTGAAGTTAGAAACTAGCTGGTGACTTTAAGTTTATCTCATCTCGGAACAAGCACAGACATGAACGATATTATTTACTCACTGTCCTCCCAACATACTTTTGCGATTCGATGAAATCTCAAGTAAGCCTACGTAATTACTATTACTGTGTTTGTTTTAGTTTTGTTTAGATAGGTGTCAGTATGAACTCCATATAAGGCTAAAATTCCGGTTGTGTCCTCGTGTACCGGTACACAAAGGAACGAAACATTAACGAACTGCGTCACAACTCCATGTATGGATATGAAAACAATAGGAATTCCCCCGTGTACCGGTACACCAGGACAGCCCCAAAATTCCTTTTTGATGCAAGCAGAAATGAACAGACTAGCAGTTGAAATTGCAATCATCTACTAAAGAAAGACATGCACAAGACTGTTTATTCATATGCTGTGCACACCATAATGTTAATACAAATAAAGGGTTAGTCATCTTATGTTCAGTTCAGTACCCACTGGGTGATGTTTCTAAGATGAATAAAAATGGTTGAATGAACAGGGGATTTCATTTGCATAAGTCAGAGTTGAAGCCATGGAATTTTTGAAAGTAGGTTCGAGAAAAATGGGTAACACATTAAGAGATATCCTTACTACTATAACATAGGTATGATAATGATGAATTGAAAATATACTTCATGATAAACAAAAAGATTCACAAAGTATTCATAATTACAACCATCAGCACAATGTAGTTTTTTAATCTGAATTCTTTATGTTACTTGTCAGGGGTGGCTAGAGAAACCGACAGAAGATGATGCAAAAAGCAAAGGCTGGTTGAAAAAGTCTTTCACAAAGAAATGGAAGAAGAGTTACTATGTGCTACGAAAATATTGTGCTGGAGACCAACCTTTCCTGCAGTGGTTTGATAGAGAAGAAGGATGGCAGAGGCAAATGGCACGAGGGACATTGGAATTGTTTCCTAGATACAAGGTGTTCAAAAGAATGGAACAAAAGTCGAGACAGTATGTATTTGAGATCAGTACTGATGCTGAAACATTGATGTTGGCTGCAGAGAGTGAGACTGTGATGGACCTGTGGGTGATTCAGTTACAAATGCAAACTACTTTAAATCCACGAGTAGCAGGTTAGAGTCAAAAAACCCATTTATGCCTCTGGTGCTTTGGGCTCATGAAACTGCTATCAAACAGAATGTTTCTGAAATGCTTAGTCTAACAAGGGTAACCAGTCCTTGTAAACATGGTGTATCCCAATTTGTCTTGTAGGTGAGGTCTTCAGGGTCAAAGGCAGTGGCAGCCGACAAATGCAGAGAATAGGAGCTAAGGACCAACAGTGTCTCTTACACATTTCCAGGTGGGGTTTGTCCCTGGCTTTAGAGCGTACTCGAGCTGTGCTGGCTCAGTGGCCCTTGACAACAATTCGCAACTATGAAGCTCTAGATTCCAATGAATTTATCTTTGAGGCTGGCAGGGCATCCCCTATGGGTGAAGGGAAATACAACTTTGTCACACGCAATGGTGATGACAACAAGATTTTTGATGCCATAGACAGTTTTGCTTCTGCTCGTGTCAGGAGGGGAAGGAACTTCCATTCCCCATCAGCTTCAAATGAGCTGACAGAAGATGACATTGAACGTGCCTATGATCAACTCAGGTTTAGCCTCCAAAACTTCCCAGGTATTTATAATGATTTTGTTAAGTTTTTTTTTCTTCTAATTGTACAAAATTGGGATAAACGGGTTTTGTCTATGTAGAAACACTTGGGAATGTTCAGGCATGCAGAATAGACTTCTGAAAAACTGTTAGCAATTTCAGGTTACTACACAACTTCACAAATGAACTCTGGCTGATTGAGTCATAATAATTTTCCTTATCTCCAGGGAATCGAGACAGATCTGTTAGACATATGAGCCAGAGTGTGCCACGACCCATTGACACAGGGACACCACAGCAAGCATATAATCACATAGGCAGATCAGATAGTATAGGCAGTGCGCATAGTCTTGGCAGCTTCTCAATGGTCTCAGAATCTGCTCTAAGCTACAGTCGCCTGGAGAGGCTACCAAGCTGGGGTTCCCATACATCCAGTTCAACTTATCCGAGGGACCAGTACAACACACTTAGTTCAGTGCAGACGGAAAACACCATACAGGAAGGAAGCTATGACAGACTAGCCCGCTCACCAAGTACTTCAAGCCGTAACTTTTCTCAATCACTGGTAAGTGATTGCAATAATGCTGTTAATGGTGATTCACCTTTCTTTGTTATTTTTACAGGAATGGGTAATAGTCCTCTTAAAAATTAATATGTTTGACATCCTTTTTATCCAGAGTTACCCACCACTGTATCTTAGAAAAGTGTGCAGCTATAATTTGGTGGGAAGTTAATTCTGATAGAAAACAATCATAAGGTTGAAAAAAGAGAAAAATGGTCATGCAGGGAAATAAAAGAAAACTTAAGAGGTCTCAAGTAGATGCAGGTCATTGAGTGGAATAAAAACCTGTCTTCTTTTAACTTACAAGTTGTTCTGCTTGCCAGACAGGCCTGACTCCATGATACATCTTGTGGTGTTTACAGGACACAAGATCTCAAATGGAACAGAGACATTTGATGCAGGAGGAGCCATCTGCCGGCCAGAAATCACATGGGACAAAAATGGCACCCGCTATACCCAAAAAGAAGAATGAATTAACAAATGGTAATGAGCATTCAAAAGAACCCAGTGCAACTCCAAAAAATCAAAAACCATCCAGTGTACCAAGATCAGCTCAGCAAGTTGCATCTGATGATCATGCTGAGAGAACACAAAGCTTTTCACGTGGTGAGAAACCTTTATCTGTAGTTGGCTCTCCAAACTTTTTTTATATGAATGCAGCATATTCCTCTAGTGTTGAGGTTTTGCCAGTACTCTATGCTACTGTGGATCTAAGTAAAAAGACAAAGAATAAAAATCCAGCAGAAAGAGCATCAGATAATGCAGTGACTCTTACAAGACATCAAAGTAAGAGCTCTGATAGCATCTTGGAAGGGTCACCACCAAAATTCACCCACTTTGCAGCTTTTGCAACAGGTACTGAGTGTAAAGACTATGAAGATGCATGCATTACCATGATCCCTCCACAAAAACCTAGTACTGAAAGAGTTTCCTGGGCTCATGCTAACCTTGTTAACCAATCAGACCCTCAAGGAGAAAGAGCCGAGGGTGTTACTAATCTGCCTGTATTACCTGAAAAGAAGGGCTCATACCAAGGTCAGGTAGAAGCATTGGAGAGGACATTAACAGAAGTGTCACACCTTACTCAACAAGAAAAGTAATGGGCCATTTGTACCACATGTGAATGAACGTGTTGGTGTTTAGGTTGAGATAATCTTTTTTCCGACATAACATGATGTACAATCATGAAGCACTATAGATATGTCGATTTCATTCAGTAATATTGGAGCCAGTTTTGTTCAGTATTTTATTTCCATAAAATGGAAATTTGATAAACGTTTAGCTTTTCGTAAAGGAACAGATAAATTAAGGACTATTCACAGCAGGTATTTAGTTTCTTTTCTTGTTATGCAAAGAAGGATGTTGGACAAATTTCAAAATTAAATTAGAACTGTCTGCATCAAAAGGGTTGGAAGCAAAAATAACCATAAAATGCTTAACTTATTGTGAGCCACATCAAGGGGAAATCAAATGTCCAAACAGAAGTTCCCAAGTGGAGTTGAGGGGTCCACTTACTGGCCAGCTAAAAGAACCAGTCTTGCCAGCCAACCTGTCTGATATATATTTTGTGTTTGATCCAAGCTTAAGATATGGGACACTTTATACATCAATGAGAGATAGGCACAAATAAAGAAAGTAAGCTTTTTGTTGTGATGATAACTCCCAAGAGCTCATTACTGATACTCCTTACCATCTGCCATACAGTTCTTGTGATTTTAGTTTAGAGAATTTGGTATTGCATCAACTTGCAATCCCTTAATTGATATTTTTCTGTATTCTTATCACTTTTCTGATTGGTATTGTATTGATATTGTGAGGAGAAATTCTGTCCTGGTCACTCAAGGGAGTTAAAGGGTTAAGCTTAGGCCAACAAATTCTGATTTTTTTACAGTCATCATAACTGTCATTGAAGTTATCTTGATACAAATTCCAAATGTTTTGTACTTTTATTTCTTGTTCATATTTCAGTGCAAGTCAGTTTTCAGAATCTTATGCTTACCTTGTTAGTGAGAGCCATGCCTGATCAAGATAAAAACACTTACAAATAGTTATTTTATTTTATCATCAGGGACAGGATTTTGCTCCCTTAGTTAACTAATTAGATTCCTTAGATACTCAATCAAAAGTTGCTACAACTTTCTGCTTCAAGATGCTTTTCAAATTGATGGTGAAATCTGCAAAAAGCTATTACCAATGAAAGATCTCTGAAATCTTTTCTCTTGGGCTACAAGCAAGATTTTTCTAGTAATCCATAAGTTCCTTTGAATGTGTCAATACATTATATGCTTAATAATTTAGGGTTAGCCAAAACAAATCAATTAAGTAATTTTTACCTCTAAGCCTCTCTTTTTTCTTCTGAAGAGTATTCAAAACAAATTCTATTTATATATTTATGATTCTAATTCAATAAATTGTTGTGTTGTTTTCTTTTAAGTGAAAATATGTAGCCTTGAAATAAAACTCCACATAGAAAATAATTCTAGTTACTCAAAATTCATATTTTCATTGTAAATATAGAAACAAATTTTAATTAATTATATCATTGTAAAGTTATTGTTTGTAAGAAGCTAATTTCCATTAAAATATATTTGATAATAGTAAAATATTTTTTTCCTCTCTTGGAAAAGCCCTATTTAGGCGCAAGAATTCCTGCTCAAATTTCCTATCCAATTGTCATAGACAAGATAATTAAGAATAAGGAGAAGCATTCTTTCAAGAGAATAGTTTTCATAGTTTTATTACTTATCCAATTATATTGTCTTCTACAGAACTTCTACATATCTTTGAACTAAAACTAATGAAGTGTCCTAGATAATCTGCTGTTTTGTTTTAAAAGTTTTGATTTTCAATCTGATATTGTAGTAATATAAAATAATGAATGTATAAAATAAAAAAACAAAGATGAAAACATATTTTTCCATTTCTATTACAATTCAGTTACAAGCAAATCTCTGCATTCTTGGAAGCATTTGGAGATTTAACCTGAAATTATTTCAAAAGTATATATTTGGGCTTCATCTGCTTGGTCATGTGTTTGAATGAGTGTCAAGCAAAGAAATGGAAACAGGAATGTGTACCCTATCCCATCAGTTAGCCACTAATGAATGCTGAGATCTTGAAATATCAGAGACACTACCTCTAGTTGGCCGGCTACTTGTAAATGAAGAGCCTAATTAGTCAGAAAGATCACCTTATGCTGTATTCAATCAGTCTTTGCAGGAAGCCACATACATGTTCATTATTGACCTTTTAATTTGCTAAATCTCCTTTTCAGCACAATACATGAATGTGACATTAGTGTAGAGGTAAATTAGAAATGAGAATAACATTTCCTTGGATTTCATACAAAGTTGGCTACAGTCGAACCTCGATTATCCAGACTCATTGGGACCTCGGTAAATAGTCTGGATAATCAAGAGTCCAGATAACTGAAAATATGAATATTAATGAGATAGAAATTTGAAATAATTATCTGCTTATCTTTAATCAATAGAACGGCAAGCTTTTGCTTCGTAGGCACTTTTTTTATTTAAGTTTACGATCGATCACTCATGTGTTTACATAAGCCACGCAGAAGGAACTAATCAAGCATGAAATTCCCTTGCCAACAAAACAATTGAGCCAACCACATATCAGCTGAACACATCAGAATACTTCTTTGACTCGTCGCACTTTCGAATTTTGAAAAGCGCATAGGATAATGTGCTGTTTCAACAGTCTTTTGAAAGGATTATTGGGCTTTTTGCAACTTTTGAGTTTTCAAGATCACAACTAATTAATATTCATGGAAAAATTGGGACCAGAGAAGAAAGTCCGGATAATCGAATAGTGCGGATAATTGGGGTCCGGATAATCGAGATTCGACTGTACTACTAAAAGATTAGTAAATATGAATTCTAGAGAAGCTATTCCAACTGAAAATATTTAAATAATCACTCACTTAGGAGGGTGTGGCTTTCATGTGGAAGTGGGAGTGAATTAAAGCATTTTCAGTTCTCTTCAAAGCAAGCTATCATTGCAAACATTTATAACAAAATTTATGTCTTTCTCTATTAAAATAAGTTGGTGAGAAATGAAACAATAGCACTGATAACAAAATGGGTGTGCAAGGCATCTCCCAAGTTCCAACAGATTACTGACTTAGTCCAAATGGTTATGAAATACTTCCGGCTCTAGCAAGAGAGCCTGAACACTGACATAACTACCAATACTTAATGTTTCTTTGGACTTTTTTTAGCTTTAGTGATTTGTAAAGACTTGGGTCTGACCTGAGCTGTCTGTTGTAATTCATCATAAATATCCTCTCCATGATCAGACGGTGACGATTCTGACCTTTCAGGTTTATTGGGTAAATTCCCACAAACAACGATATTTTCTGCCAAGCCCTCGCTGCCTCTTTGCTCTGCAAATTCTGCACAAGGAGACAAGTCCTCACTTCCTTCTCTGGAGAGCTTTTTGGGTTTCCTTGGTTGTTTGGTCAAATCTAAGCCTCCTGCTTCCAGGGAAGCCTTCAAATTTGAAACAATTCCTTTCCCTGGCTTCCTAACATCCTTCATGCCAGTCTGTCCTGAAAATGACAAAACATCAGGGGCACTGGTTTTTCTAGCCTTGGAAGGACTTAATCTTTTCACTGGAATTGGAGGATTTTTCTGTGTTCCTTTATGGGATAACAGAGCTGAATAACTGATGCTTGCATAAGAGTCAGGGTCCTCCAAGGAAGATGTAAATTGAGGAGTCTTTGCTGGTGATGATGAGACATCTAGGGGACAACGTGTTGAGTGATGGGAGGAAGTAGAGTTGCCTTTCAGTTCCAAGGTATCTTTTTTGGCAGGGCTATTGGTAAGGTGAAATGATCTCTGAGTTGGAACAGGCACACTTGGACTAGGTCTACCTCTTGTTTCATCAAGTGTACTGTACATGTCGTCATCATTCCTGGGGGAACTAGAGGCCACAGTTTTATTGCCCAGTGTATTATACATCTCATCACCTTTGTCTGATGATGCAGTCCAACTTTTTGGTCTATTTGGAATAGGAGATGTACCCCCTCTTGTTACATTGAGTGTATTGTACATTTCATCATTTCCTTGTTGTGTTTTACTGGATGCAGAGTTTCCTGCACTAAACAAATCCAATGTATTGTACATGTTAGTTTCATACGTCAGCTGTTCAGATGTCTTTCTAGGAGGTGCTGATGGTCTTACTTTTGAGGCACTATCCAGTGTGTTGTACACTTCGTCATCTTCATCTTTTGGTTGGGATTTCTGAAGCACTGACTGCTTGGTTGTTTTTCTTACTGGAAGTGGAGGATGTCTTTGTGTACTTAGGGTGTTGTACATATTATCAACTTCATCTGGTGTTGAGTCAAAAAGCTTCCTGACAACTGATTTTGGTGATCTGACAGATGCTTGACTATTAAAGTTTCCTTTGCGAGGAGGCAATACTGGTGAACCATGATCTAGTGCATTGTATGTTTCCTCAGGAGCTGATGTGGTTGGTGGCAGAACATTTATTTGGGGAGAAGACAAGGTGTTGTACACATCTTTATTTTCTTGAACACTAGCATGTGGCACAGAGTGCAAAGTCTCTCCGATCACATTGTAAACATCTTCTGTCTCTTTCTGAAGTGACCCTGTTGGAGGATTGGAACTATGTTGAAGGACACTATACATATCCTGTCCTTGATGAGGTAAAGCAAGGTGCTGATCAAGAGTGTTGTACTCATTTGCAACAACAGGTTTTTGGACATGTTGGATCCTTGGTTCTTCAGATCCCTGAATTGGTTGACTTAGTGTGTTATATTGATCATCCTCCGTGGGTATAGCTTGAGAAGCACCTTCAGTAACATGCGGCAGGCCTGTTCTTGTCATATCACGTGATGGCAGATGCCCATAGGGAGCAGCATATGTGTCTTTTAATGAATTTGTCATACTTGATGTAGTCACAGGGATACACGACAGCTGCTCATAACTATTGTCTGGAGTCTCTTTACAATTTGTGGATACACTATCAATTGGCACAGAATGTGTCTTCTCCATTGTTTCATGGGAAGGTTTATGGCCTGCCCTGGACTTCACAACATTGTCCAAGAGCTTGTAAATTTCATCATATTGAGGAGTAAAAAATGCAAACTTTCCTTCTCCAGTGGGAGCTCTTCGTCCAGCCTCAATTGTGAACTTTCCCCGTGTACTCATGTATCTCCGTAGACATGTGAAAGGCCATGCCACCAGCAATCTTCCATCTTTAGCACAGAGAAGTCGTAGCTCACTGTTTGCTACATGGAGGTGACATTTACCAGTTGCTCCCAGCTTTAACATCTGGTCTGTGGTTTCAGGATCCACATAAAATGAATTGACTGTATAATAAACCAAGAATACAATTGATATTCAAATAAATTTAAAACCATATCTTTGTTTCTAAGGATTCTATTAATCTTTGTAGCATAGAGTTTAAAAACCTATTTTCAGCAATTTCAGCTGAGTTACAACGAATCTCCGTGGAAACATCTGGGAAACTACAATTGTGTGGCAAGTATCAAGGAAGATCAACAGGAAGTTTATAGTTACATTCAGACAATGTCAAAAGGTTAGAAATGTCTGGTAATGATAATCCCCAGTCTCCTTCAGTAGTAACCCTACAGGGAAACAACTCAGAGATCTTTCTTTCTCAGCCTTTTTTCATTCTGAGCCAGGAACCATTTAAGAAAGATTTTCTCCTGATCTTTGCATCACACTATACTATCAATGATATATTTAAAAACACTACAAAACATTAGTTTTTTTCCATTTGAAATTCTGGGCATCTTTCTGGACATGCTTCCTCTCAAACATGTTCCATGGACAATCACTAACTGTACAATCTAAAAGAGACCCCTCTCAAGTAAGCCCCTCTCATGTCTGAAAATTCCCCTGACTAGAAGCCCTGAAAATTCATGGGTCTATGAATTGTAACTTCTTTGGTTACATTCATTAGATCTGTAAACCAGAGTAGCATCAAACCATGTCCGATTGTCCACATGGTTGCCATGTGAACTTTAATATATTTCATTCTCTGAAAATTAATTTACTCCTAGGTGCTTATCAGAGCATTTACAGCTATCCATGATAGCTTAAGATGTGGCTCTCACTTCATGCTGACCTTAAATCCAAACAACTTTCACATGATAACATTGTTTGATCTTCCTTTTTTTCAAGCCTTCTACTTCTCATTTTGATTACTTTGTTGACGTCTTCATTATTCATGATCTTAAATCGCAGTCAAGAATTGAGAAAATGTTATTAATTATGTCATCTATCTACTCACCTATACTCTCTCTCTCCAAGATAAGAATCCACTCATTAAGTTCATCTTCAGAATGAGCCGCCAGACGATAAGTATGATCCACTGTTTTGATTTCAAAGACGAAATGACGCTTTGGTTCTTGAACTTTTATGATTTCATACCCGGGATAAAGAGCTAACACTCCTTTAGGTTCTGCAGTCCGCCAGTTCTTGCTGTTACCAACAGCATAGAACTCCAAGCTTCTGATGTTACTTGCCAATATGTGCTTGAATACAAAATATCGCCGCTTCCAATCCTTTTTCCCGTGTTCGTGCGTGCATTTCTCAAGTGTCCCCTGTCGAAAAGATTGGCCAAAGATCACGAAAACAAGATTGTACGCATTGCGACACAAAATATTTCATCAATGGTGAGATTCATTCAATGCAACAAAATCAACTTCTTGACGTAAAGGCAGTTTAATTGCGTAAAAATTTCCCTAAAACGTTAAAAATGCAAGTAGTGATGTAAAAATTGTAGATCAATTGAAATGATCCAGGCAAATGAAGTGTAAGTAGGTACAAACCTCATGCAAGACTCGGACCTCCGCATCCATTCTGCAACATACTTCCTCCCTCTCCGAATTAGAGATTGGGGACAAGTCATGTCAGGACCCCACCACGGTGTACCATCCCCACACCCCTAACCAACTTTTGCTCATAAAGATAAGACATTGTCCAGTCTTGAAGTTTTGGCAATGGGAATAGACTACGAGCACATGATGGCCGTACTTCTTCCCTCAGGTAAGTCAAGAAGACACTTCGGCTAACTTATAAACCTTCCCATTTGATAAATTAGCAGTGAAGCAATGAGGAATGGCTGAAGAGGGAGAAATAAATCCTCTGGACTCGTGTACTCCCTCAATTCGGCACTACTTTTCGTATGAACAGAAATAGGGCAGAAACTGGTTAACAATCGGGAGCAAAAACTCCATTGGAAGGGAAAATTAAATTGGAGAGCTGGAAGACTAAGTAATTAAATGTTAATTCATTGTTAATAAGTAAACAAATTTAGCATAATTTATGCAATGTTAAGAAACCTAGTGACCGCCACACACCAGTAATTCTGAATTGTCAATCTAGGCATGGATAGCTACAAGGTAAATTTTCAGGGATTCTTCTTAGCGATCTTCGCAAACTGTAACATTGCATTTAATATTGAAAACATCTTTCCTTTAATAGCTGCATCAGAGGCTTGGAAAGGGAGCGCAGGGATCTGTGTTTTTGGCAGAAAACAAGCACGATAAGGTCCTCTATGTTTTGAAGAAGGTAAACCAGACTTACTAATTCATTAATTACACATAATAGCATGGTCAAAACAAATTTCCATTGATCCAACCTGCAAGTGCTGTCGTCCTAAAGCTTCATGTGACCTAAAAACCGAAATCCAGCGAACATGGTAAGAGACAGCTTAAGTTGTAATAGCCATGTAAGCTTAGATTTGTGCCAGTTGCCAAAATGTCACATACGTACATTCCACGGTAGTTGTTTTAAGTATTTGCAGTATTTTTCCTAGAAACTATTCCCATTTGCAGCAAATCAAGTATTTTTATTATGTACGCCGTACTGATTAGATCGAACAAAATATTTAACATCAGGAAATAAAGCAAACAGAGTTCTCGTGATGAGTACAACCAGGGGAAAAAGTTGTTAGTGTAAGAATAATTTGTAAATAGAATAGAAAAGAAAGTCAGACTTGTTAAAACAACAAGTAAATCCTTTTCAACCTGAATGTATATTTAAAATGAAACGTAGGTTTTTTGAGACGTTTTGTAGAACGTGAATTTGGCGCTAATCCTCAAAGAATTTGTGTGGTGTTGAATGGCATTAAGTAGCCAGATACGCAGAAGTACTTGAAACGAATAGATTCTTTCATTCTGCACCACGACGCGAGAGTGTGGTGGGAACAAGAAGAGTGGCACAAGAGCTACGGACAACTGTGCCACTACTGATGTTCTTTCCACGTCTTGAAGTCGTGTGTTACTCAGTCTGGAAAAATCTTTGAGACACTTAAAGGAAAAAGAAACAGGAAAAAAGATGGCTTGAATTCATCAGCCCAGCAATCTTTTGATAAACCTATCAAACGGAATTTCTTTGATGTAGCTTAAAACTGATAAACAGTAGTCTAACTTTATTCATCAGCACTATCTTGTAATCATTAACATCCTGTCAAAAAGGTTGAAAGCATCCACTTCATACAATTACTAAACCTTAGCAGGATTAATGGCACCTCCTTTAGTGAAGCTGAGGAAATTAGCGATAGAGATTTAATTAATGAAATGAGACATGGATAACCAGGCAAACCAGTGAACACTTAATAAGCGTGGCTGTGGGTTTAACTTGTGGACCTTTGGGTGTCAAGTTCAGTCTATAACACAGCATAGCCAATTCTCTAATCACTTGGGAGTTTGTAACTACTTTGGGCATCTGTAGAATGTTTGTTTTATTCTTACCTCATGCATCAGTGTTTAAAAGCCCTATTGTGGTTGTAGTTAATTGAGAACAAATTTTAAAAAAAATTCTTCAATATTTAAACAAAAAGACTTGCTTTTAAAGAGGGCTTTTTGAGAGGCTTGAGAAGTCAGTTGCCAGGTCATTGGTCTGTTTTGTTATTCATTTTGATAGGTTGAATGCAATGATGAAGGAGAGGCAAATAAAGCATTCCATGAGGTAAAGTTTGGCTGCATCCCTTTTAACATATAGAGGTGAATTATCTAATGGGAACGTCAAAGGGTTTTATAATAAAAACTCTTTATGGCACAGAGGAGGGGAGAGAAGTGAGGTTGCAAGGAGAGTGGAGGGGAAGAGTAAGGGACTGACAGTGGAGGAAAAAAACTCAGAGAGAGGAGCAAAGCTGAATGTGGAACAAGCTAGTGTTTTAGAAAAATAACTTTGCACATAGATTGGTAACTTTAGTATCTAGGGGTTGAAACATGTATTTTACTTCTGTGACAGGCTGTGGCCTTACAAGAACTTCAACATCCACACAAACACCCATATATCTGTGGATACAAAGAGTTTTTTGTAACATGGGATAAGGAGGTTTGCTTATTTCATGAAATTCAATGATTTATCTATCAAGCACCACATGATCAGAAATTTCATTGTCATCAATACCATCAGTAAATTTATAATTGTATAGCCAGACCCTAAGGTGCAGTGAAACCTTAATTCTTGTGTCTGCTTACAATTATTGTCTAATTATAGAGCTGTTCGTGGTTTGTGATAGCTGAGTTTATCAACAGATCTGGATAAGTTATGTTATATATATTGTGGTTCAATTTTATCCTTGGTTCAAATTTTAATTCCTTTGTTTCAAACTCATTATCATACATTACAATACCCAAAAACAAAAGAGAATAAAATTTGAACCAAGGATAAAATTGAACCACAACATATACGTTCTGCACTCCTGTATATCAGATTCATCACCATATGTGTATTCCTAACCTACGACAATTACAGTTGATTTCAAAATTGTATTGAGCTCATTACTTTTTGAAACCCTTTTTCAGGAGGCAGCCATGTTTGTATGTATTGTGATGGATTTTTACAAGATGGGTGAGCTACCTGATTTAAATTATTTTGTCACTGACAAGCCCTTTGCATGTCATATATTCAAAAATTTAATTTTATAAACTTTAAGCCATTTATGTTTAATGAATACTTTGTCTCATTGAACTTGTGAAGGTGACTTAGATAGGGCCCTGAAGCAAAAACGAGCAAAAGGAGTTTCTATACCAGAACTTGTAAGTAAAAATATATATCTTGGAAGTGATCATTAAATCTAATCCCAGCTGTTGATGAAGCAAAAAATACAGCCTTGTTACTTTCACAAGGACTAAATGGGGGTATGCAAATCTGCTGAACCAGATCCATTCAACAAAATGTGAAATCTGAATCCATTTGCTACTTGACACATGGATTTGTGAAAAAACAAACCTTGAACTTTTTTGTGTTGACTAAACAACTTTTGGAAAATTTTCCTTACCCTTTTTACAAGTAAACACTTAAGGTCTGTATTAATAAGCCATAGAAAGTGGCTATTATGTGGGCTAAAGACCATAAAGACTTGCCCCGATTTATAAACACAAACTGGAATGTTTTGGCAAAATTTGATGAAAACCGGTTAAATCTATATACCCTTTAAAATCACTCAAAGTGGTTGTATTTCTCCCAAAATCAAATGTGAGATTTTTGCTCATAAAGGTTTGCAGACAATTTGCATCACACTAGGAGATTATATTGCAATTACCTCTCCATAAGCAAAGAGCTTCCGTGTGTGAATTTTGTAAAGTGGGTGATGTAGATGAAATATGGAAATAGCATGAAAAAAAAGGCCCCAAGATGAGCAGTTGCTGTGAAAATTCCACCGGAGCATTCACCTTGGTTTGAGATTACAACACTTTCCTGATTTATTAACTTTTATTTGAAAATACATTTTTCTAAATATCTCAGGTGCTTTAAATTCAAGATTTAAGAAATTTTTTTATGGAAACATGAGGTTGAATGTTTGAATTGAGTGTAGTCTTGAAAACGAAAGAAAAATCAATTTTTTCGGCCTCTGAAGGTGGAAAGTAACCTTAAGTCAGAAGGAAATTTTCTTTTGCCCTCCCATTATAAAGTTAATAATCTGAAGTGAATCTTATAGTATTTTTATTTCTGCTGTACTTTATGTTATCAGGTAATAAAAAAGTGGTTTGGTCAAATGGTTGATGCGCTGACCTGGGTTCATGCCAAGAGTATGATTCACAGGTAACCCACTCTGAACGAAGGTGTTTGCAAGTTTTTCCACTTCATAAAAAAATTTGAATTACAAGTTACTTCTGCTAGTACATTTGCAAAGACCTGTTAAAATTATTGATTAAAATAATTTCTTCGTGTTTCTGTTACGCAAGGCTGATGTTATCAAACATGTTTTTCTCCCATTGGCAGGGATCTTAAGCCAAGTAATATTTTTCTTGCTGAGGATGGAAGCATTTCAGTTGGTAAGTCACTGATCTGATCTAAGTGATGCTATCTCTAAAAGTTGTCCTCTGGCCTTTGCAGCTGTGCTCACTTTTAAGTTATAAACCTATAACTTAGGACTTAGAAACTGTAATAGATTCCTCAAGAGTGTTTTCACTGTTAAGTCTTTCTTTGAAAAACACAAAGAGGTGTAAGGCTTTGTTCTTAGATTTGTGGACCCCTGTTCAGCATTGGCCTGTGGTTATTTATGGTTTTTTCTATTAGAATAACAACCAAATGATTGAAAATTTTAAAAACTTGGATATCATGATGATACCACAATTTCTGAGTAAAAAAGTGAAAATTTGGCAAGTTTATAATGTGTACACATAAGAGCTTCAAATGGTCACATGTCATTATGTATTTTCCAGTGGTGTCTTTATGAATAAATAGTTAGTTGACTACCTCATTAGATGGGTTTGACACCTTAGTTGATAAGTTCAAACAAAGGCTAACTAATGCAAATGATCTTATGTGTTTATGCCAATCTTTATTCTTGAATGTACCTTTTGTTGGAATTTAGACACAAATATATTTCATTTAATGTATTGAATATATTTTATATCACATGTCTCATTAAGATGACTAAACTATATTTAATGTGTTTTTGACATCAGGTGATTTTGGTGTTTCAACCATTATGGATGATGCAAGGACTCGCACACGAACAACAGTAGGTGTGTCATGTCCTTAATTAATCATCCTTCATTAACTTATATTTGAGCTTTCAATTGATATTGTCAACAATTATTTATAAGAATTTTTTATCAATGATTCTTGATAGGTAAACAGTCAATGAATCTTAGTTTTGGTATTATTTGATATAATTGTTTTGACAATATTGTTTCTGTATGTCAGACACTGTCTTAGGGGCAGTAATCTCCCTAGATGCATTCTCTCTGTTTCCAAACAGTCACTGACATATCATTGTTTCCTGTGATTTACTTTGGATCAGAGTACTCACATTTGTTTTATTATATATCTCCTATCATTTTAAAGTTCTTTGCTGTCTCTGGTGAAGGAGAAAATGCAATGCCTACTAAGCAGTTATTTTTATTTAGGAACAATGAACTGGATGGCACCAGAGGTACTAGAGAGGCCGTATCCTTTTCAACAATTTTGAAAATATTGTAATACGTTTACTTGTTAGCCTACTTTAATGTGAAATCAGTTTGGCAAATCACTTTTGAATCATGATTACTACATTGTATTCCATCAGAGATTCTTTGCAGTACTTGTGATCTTCATTGTCTGGAGAGTTTCTGTATGGTTTGATTATTTGTAATCTGTGTGATTGTCTGTGATGTACATTTAATGGTTTTCATTCTGTGAGTGACAAACTGTGGTTTATGACAAACAACAGTATGATCCTTACAAGTGTACTGCATTGAGTGCCAAAAAGGAGACATGAAAAAATTCAAGCTTCAATAGAGTTAAAGGCATGACTTCCAGTTTGGTGCTGCTACTGAGCTAAAAAGCAACCTGTTGAGAGTGAATATAATTTTAGTGGGTGAAACAAATTTTTATGATTTATTTCACTTGTTTCATTTCTTTATGGGGAACAAAGAAGGAGGATCATTTCATTTGTTGAGTTGTATCAATCTACTGATGTGTAGTTCACCTATCCTATGTCCTTCATGTCTACTATTCTTAATGGTTGCAAGATATGATGAACGGAGTGATGTCTGGTCACTTGGATGCATAGTTCTTGAATTAGCCACTTGTGGCTTCCTGGATGTGAGTAACTGAATGTTAAAAATGTGATCAATGGCATCAAAATTAATAAAGTTTATCAAGGCATTTTTATGCTGGTAATACATATGCAGGTGCAAGGATATTTTTTGTTTTAAAAGAGGATTTACCATTTAAAACATATATTAAATTTGTTGCTTAAATTGTCATCTGTAGAACAGTTACTTTACATACCAGTTTAACCATGAAAGGATTGACAACTTTCATAAATAATTTGTTCTTCTTTTTATACCAAACATTCTTCTTAGCAATCATTTAGTAATACTATAGAATCTAGTTATAGTATGTGAAACAAATTGATTAGTGTATTTGAGATGCCTACAAAGACTTTGTTTTTCTGGTGTTGCAGCAATCACAGATATCTTCAAAACTCTTTCAAATCAAGCAATCTCCTCAAGAACTAGAAGATGTTCTTAAAGAAGTTGAGAAGGTCTGTTTATCTCTAAAAAGGGTAATTTAGTGTTATCAACTGAGTTGAAAATGTAAACTTGCCACCATAAAGAGTTTAATGGCTGACATTTCAAGCGCTGGCCCTTCGTCAGAGCAAAGGGCCCTTCCGATCACTCAAAATGTCAGCCTTTAAACTCTTTACAGTGGCTAATTTACATTTTAAACTTAGTTGATAACACTTAATTACCCTGTTTTACTTTCCCACTGATGCAGCACCACAGTTTCTCTAGAAACTTACCCCCTTTATTCATTTATCTCTAAAAGGGTAATTAAGTATTTTCAACTGATTTGATAATGTAAATTGACCACTGTAAAGAGTTTCAAAGCTGACGTTTCAAGTGTTAGCCCTTCACCATTTGTTCTGAGGAAGGGCTAACGCTTGAAATGCTCGCTTGGAAACTCTTTCAGTGGCCAATTTACATGATTAACTCAGGTGAAAACATTTAATTACCCTGTTATATTCTCTGACCCATGCAGCACCACAGTTTCTTTAGAAACTTAATACCCTCTTAAATAATTTATCTCCTAAAAGACTTTTTATAATAACATTACTTTTGATTTTTTATGAGCACATTTTTGTATTTAAGCCATATTTGCTCAGATTAAGTGATCATTAGCGAGAGGGAGTGAATTTTCTTTCATTTTGTTGTTTCTTTTTCAAAGTTTAATTAAGCAGCATATCATATAAAAGCCAAATGCTTCACTTCGCTTCTGGTTGTAAAGACAATGGGGTAGTCCTCGAGTGTTAATTTTTTTGTGTAATTCAGTAGACAGCATACATTCGTTGTGTGCCTAATCACTTGTGAGTAATTATACCAAGTAAACAGACTTTATACTCACAATCATAAATATTTTGCCAAGACTCCAGTTGGAGTTCTGATGTGGTAACGTGATATTTTCATTTAAATATTACTTTATTACAATTGTTTTTTGTAGGCATACAAAACAAAAGATGCTAAAGATCTCTGCCAGACTATTCGAATTATGCTTAGAAGAAATTTCCAACAAAGACCTACCATGAAGTAAGAATTTTATAAACTTTCAAGCAGCCAGTCACAGAAGATAACCAAGATAAAAATTGAAGTTACTGTAGTTTTTTAATGACATATTGCAGTTACAAAAGTGGATAATTTATCAGCCTATTTTTCTTCCTTAGAAATGACATATCAATATTTATGTTAAATGTGGTCTGCTGCCACCCAGCTCTCCCGCTTTGTTTCTTGATTGTGGGCATCCAGGATTTATGTTCTTATTACAAACTTAATCATGAAATCATGAGCAATTATTTCATTCATCTCGTGATTAATTAAAAAATCACAACTTATACTAAGGACTTGACAAAGTAGCTAATTAAGAACGATTTGTTCAGATGGTCTTGCCTAATTCTTTTCTTTTTTAATCAAAAACAGTTACTTTGTATTCTCACTTGTGGGACAATTTTTGCCTGTAGGGAACTGGCTGAGCTGCCGTATGTTAAAGGTTGTATTGCACTGACTAGTAAACAGCCAAAAGGAACAGGGGCTGCTACCAAAGGAGCAAGAAAAGATGGTATGTGCAACCACAAGATGTTCCATAGATACAGTTGGCTAAGGTTAATATATTATAAAAAATTTTGTTGTTTATATTGTTTTCAAATGGTTTTTATTTTTTCCACAGCTGCAAAACCAGTACCCAAAGATAAGGGTGTGGCAGGTGTTCTTGGTAAATATTTATCCATCAATATTTGAACATTTCTAAAATAAAATTTCTGAATAGCTTGTGAGGTAAACAATATCTTGAGTTTGCTGTGTTGAGTGGTTAGGTTTATTTTTTTTTAGAACTTCTTACGAATAAGTTGCTTAGATGAATTAAATGTTTTCTTTTTTTCATATATCCAAACAACAGATTACATGAAGAAAAACAAGGATAGTGTAGCTTGTCAGGTAACACAATAAAGCCGGTTCCTTGGTTCTCCTCTTTCCCTGTGGCTATTACCTCATTTTGCTAAATAGCAAAAAGTAATGAGAAGATTTTAACACTCTTTTATTAATTAAAAGTAATTTGTAAAAGCATGAATAAAATGAGATAAAATGTTTGTTGAAAAATATGAACAACTTGTGATGCTGACCTGTCCAGTCAGATGTTTCAATGTTCTGTCTTTTATTCTTGTGACAGGTCCAAGCTTTGAAACACCTTGAACAAATTACAAGGAAGCAAGGTATTTGTGTGGACATAACTCTCTTGTAGTGTTGTGTGTTCCCATCTGAGCTGTGAACTATTTATGACTCAAGCTTGTTAATTGTGTAGGATTATTTGGGATCAGGTGTTGTTATTCTTTGGGAAGCGGCAAAGTGTAACAGTGCAAGAGTCGGCAGTCAGGAAACAAAGACAAAAGAGAAACAATCAATTTTTTGCGATCTTGATACAATTGCGTATAAACAGCAACATAAACTGCATTTTAACTGCATGCAATACTGATCCTAAAGTGTCAGGAGTAGCACAATTGGTCCTCATTGTAAAGGTATCAATCCTATTGAAACCACAGACTAAAGAAAAAAGTCCAGTTCAGTGAGAGTGATCACTCTTATCAAAAGAAAACATGATCACTAGTTTCTAAAATGGAAGGAGGCCAATATATGCTTATTGGAGGGGAGTGGCCAATTCAAGTCATTTTTGCATTCATACTTAATATCCTATATATATATATATATAGATAGATAGATAGATAATATGTTATACTATATATTATACATTATATTATACATTATATTACATATTTGTAAGGCAGGTTCCGCATAGTTTTGTCTTGTTTTGAATTTTGAATGTTTGCCTTGATTGCAGATGTTTCATTAAACAAAAAAGCAAAGCAGCAAATTGCAGAAACCATGACAAATGAAAACAAAAAACAGGATCCATCCAAAGATGTTCACCTTCAAGCCTTGAAGATATTTATTAATCTTTTTCCACATGGTGAGGAATTATTACTTGTTTATATGAAGTGGAACAGTGGCCCACTGCTGGAATTTTATGCCTCTATGATTTGGAGGAATGTCCAGTACATGTTAATCAAGCTATAGCATGCTTGATGTAGCAGTTGTTTTGCAGTAAACTTTCCTTCTTTCTGGTTAGAGAGCATGTGTGAGAGTGCAGGTGGCAAGGTGCTTATTAAAATTCAAATAGAAAGTATGGTCACATACAAAGACGGCTGAGACGTGGTGAAAACTGCTTGAGATTTTTGACCAAAAGTTCTGTTGCCTGGATTCTTAAGAGTTTGTATTTAGCAGGAACAACTGCAGAATATGAAGCTACTAAAGTTTATTTTATCTGCATGCTTTAACCCTATGACCCCTTGGAATGACAAGCACTTCATTTGTCTTCTCAGTTTCATCCCTGATTCATGCAATAAGGTCACACAATTAAAGGAAACAATCACCAATTAAAGGAACTCTTGATTTTTAAACAAATATCTCCTCGTCAACACCTAAGGAAATATAGAAAACAGTATGGAGAATATGCATTCTGATGTTGGGTGTAAAGGGTTAAGGAACATAAAAAAGGAATAAAGGATTTTTCATGTTAGTTGTAAAGAAGTGGTCTTTTATTTTGTTGCTTTACTACAGGATTGTTTTAATATCTTTTTTGCTTTTCAGCTGATGATAATGATGTCATGTTCACAGAGGAGATTATTCGCCCTGTTCTTTCAGCAATGAAGGTGAGTTATTGTGAGGGTTATGTAATTAAAATTGTTCCTCAATCTGAGAGTCAAAGGAATTCCTAATTCAGTGCCTGTTTCATACCCTCCATATTGACAGTTTCTTGCTGAATTTTTCTCTCTGCCTGGTAGTCCCACATAACTTCCTCTGAGCTCCAGTCTTGTGGATGTCAGTTACTTATGGCTCTGTCAGCTGAGGGTAAGTTGGGGGAACCAACTGTGTCTGATGGTCATTCATTTCCAAGAATTAAAGCTGAGTATAGAAATTAATGAAAATCAGAGTAAGAAAACAAACTATCAACTGAAAATTATCTCACGATGCAGTAAGAATTGACATTGAACCTGTGAGATATCAAATTCAAATCTTCAGATTCTCATGAAAAACTGTCCATCTTATAATTAACTTTGCCTTCTTCTAAGATCTGGCCTCAGCTGGAAAAGTTCAATTTTAACTTCTTTTACATTTAATTATTATTTTTGTGGATAGAGGCAGCAGGTGAAATAATCGGTCAATATGGAGGAGTGCAGGATTTGTTATCAGCACTGCGAGCATTCCCTGACAACAAAAGCATTGCATCAAACTGCTGTGGTGCTCTGTGGAGTCTGGCTGTTAGCGGTATGGCAACAAAGATTTACAAATGTTAACTGTTTCACAGAAATGAGAGATTTACTTTTGGAAGAAGCGACATGCTATATCTGGGCCGTTCTATAATCATCATTACCCTCTTTTTGTTTCTGTTGTGGCAACTGTTACAGAGACTGCAGAGTCATTGTTTGAATTACTTCTTTCATGAAACTCCTGATAATCTGTGGTGGTTAAGCATCATGCACAGTGCTACTTTCTTGTTCCCAGTCATACATGGCTTGTGGACAATTCTATCCTACCCGCAGCTTTATTCATCAAGTGAGTGAGTTCCAATTGTAATGGATCTTGGCACACTTTGGTTTTCCGACTCTATTGCTCAGTTGATATCTAATCTCTGTTTTGTTTTAGCTGGTTTCCTCTTATTTGAAGATTTCTTTCTTTCACTACTGATTTTTGCAGAGAACAATTGCAAGATAGTGTCTGAGGAACGGGGTCTTGAGGATATTGTCCTTGCCATGGGAAGACATAACACAGATGTTGATTTGGTGGAGGCTGCCTGTTCTGCTCTTTGGTCTCTTTCATTGGAAGGTAAATGGAGTACATAGCAGATTTACCTTGTTGAAAGTTGGTGTTTGGATCTAATGGAAATCAGGAATGAATATTTAAACAAATTTACAACTCCCAAATTTCTCAAATGCAGATTATTTGACTCTCCCAGGTTCAAATCCTCATAAGAGAGTTTCTTTGTCCCATCCACATTACAAAGGAATGATACCTCTCTTTATTCCAAGACTGAGATTGTAATTTGCCATGTTCCTTATCCCATTGTTCATCCTGAGAATCTTAACTATCCTATACTTTATTTCTTCCTGAGAAAAACTGTAATTGCTGTTTTTGATTGGGTCTCAGTAATACAAATGGTTTGAATCACTAGATATTTTTTCTAATGATGTAGTCTTAAACTACCTTGCTTATAGAGGACAATGTAGATCTCATGGAGGACCTTAATGTTATTGATCTGATTGTGGATGCCATCAAAATGCACAAAAAGGTATTGAAACATCTTAATGGCTGAAGGTGGTTTAACAGTGCTTTATTCTAATTACATCCTAATATAACATCATGCAACTCTTAATGTGATCAGTTCCTGAGATTAAGTAAATCGTCATATTTAGGTCCAGGGGTCTTTTATATAAAACACAAAATTTTCAAAGTCTTAATAAAACTGTAAGATATATTTTCAATAGGGTATGCAAACAGCAGAGAGGTAAAGTAAATAAAAAAGATCATTTGTACTATTAAGGATGGAAAACATTAAAACAGAACGCAATTAACAAATTGGAAATTTTAGCCTTACTGTGTTAAGTTGCACAAACTTTTCATGACTTGTTTAAACTTAGTGCCTGAGTCTATGTTGCAGGAGCCTAAAGTCATTAAAAATGCTTGTATGGCATTAGCAAGTATTGTGGAGGCTCGAGGTAAGAGAACAACAGTTTCTTTTTTTCAGTTTTTGTCAACTACTTTGGAATTTTTTACTGAATATGAGGTAATTGTGAAGAAGAGCTCCCCAAAAAACCTGTCGGCCGACTGTCGGTCAACTGTCGGCCGACAGTTGACCGACAGGTTACCGACAGTCTACCGACAGCTAACCAACAGGTTAAGAAAAGAGAAAAATTGTTTTAAAAACGAACAGTTAACGTGACATAACAATCCGTAATGGTGATGTATGACTCGACAGACTTCACCTACTTACCGATAGACGGTAAAGTTGAAAGTATGTGAAGAAACGTTTCTTCCAAAATGTTGTTATCAGATGCGTCTAGAATATATCACTTGCGTAATTTACAACACACCAGACAATCTAAGAATCGCATTGGAAGATAATTTCGACCACTCTATTTTTCACTGTGAGAATAGGTGTGGCGTCTGCCATGTCGACAGTAGGCAATGTTCGTGTAATGAACGCCTGCCTCAGAAAAGAAAAAAGACATCAAAGTCAACAGCCTCCAGTCAACAGCCTGCAGATACGTCGCACGACGATCTAAAGAAAAAGTACGAGTCACTGCAAAAGGACTACAAAAGAGTGGGTCAGGCCTTCCAGAACCAGCAGGAACAGAACCAGGAGCTGACAGCGTTGCTAGAGGAACGCGAGAAAGAGGCTGAAGAGCTAGCCAACCTTGTGCGGAACAAGGACGAGGTCGTTAAAAACCTTGAGAGGGGCCTCTTAAACGCAAAGAAGGTCATCGCAGAACTCCGTCAGCACCCACAGCCTGGCCAACATACACGAACGATATGACCAGGTTCTCCAGACGATGAAAGAGAACAGATGCAGCATGGCCTGTGCCTTCCGTCTTGCAGGCTGTCCTCGGAGCACACTACGAGACTTCCGGTGGCGATAGCAGAACTGAAAAAGGTCGACTCGAGGGAACTGGACCTCGTCCTCCGCGACCAAGAAGTTAAATCGGTGCGAGATCTGGAGGTTGTCTGTCGCAAAAGACTTCGGAGCTACATCCCGGTCATGAGCAACATGAGGAGAGGGGCAGCTGTTGCCAATGAAGTTCGAGGCACGACTCTACGAGTGAAGTATCTTGTATATTTCACCACTCACAAAACGGCTCCTTTAGGAGCCACCAAATCTATGAAAAGCTATTCATGTCAATGTATTACACATGTTGGATGTTGTATCAAGCGAAAACCGAGAGAAAACATTAAGGTTTGTGTTAACGTTTTACCGACAAGCTACCAACAGGTTACCGACACATTACCAACAGTCGGCCCACTGTCGGCCGACAGGTAGCCTATATTTCGGGCAAAACCTGTCGGCCGTCTGTCGGCCGACAGACGACCAACTGTTGGCCGACAGGTTTTTTGGGGAGCTCTTCTTCACAATTACCAAATATGAAGCCCAAAAAATAGTGTCTCTACAGAATGTTTATTATTTACAACAGCTAAATAAGATGATTATACTTTGTTGCAATATTGTAATTTGCCACTTTCTGTACCTTACTTGATAAATTGTGAATTCTCTTTTGATTTTAGAGGTCTGTGCTCATGAGCTGTTGAAAATTGAAGGACTCGAGAGTATCATTGCTGCGTACAAGTAGGTTGAAAGTATTTTCTTGACTGTACATGAGCTAATAATGTTCACTGGTGTTCTTTAGTGATCAGATGGGCAGACTGTTTCACATCAACTCTTACAAGTTCTATTTGACAACTCTCTATTTAACCCTTGCACCTATTCATTGGGTCTTTTAAAAATCTCCTGCAACTGGTCAAAAAGATGAAGTTTAAATTAAGACTTGGTTTCTGAAGTATCAGAAGCAGTTGGGGTTAAGTTTGCATAAATCATTATATATTCTTGTGTATTTACATTCAACTATACCAGGTTTATGTATTAATCATCACAACAGTTACTCTGGGTGTAATTCACTGAAGTCATTTCCTTCAATAACTTCTACACATGCAGTCATTCTCTACCAACACATTATAAATGCGTTATATATATTTTTAATTTTGTAGTAACCTCAAAACCAATGATGAAGTAGTGGAGAATATCTGTGTCCTTTTCACTGAGCTGGAAGAATATGGTAAGACAAAGTTACTGCACTTGGTATTGTTTAGTGTAGAGGCCTCTAATAATTTTCTTTTTTTTAACAGACGACATCAGAGAAGAAATGAAACTGAATGCCAATATTACTAAATTGTTGTCTGAAGCTAAATCCAATTTCTCAGATGATGAGCATGAGGTAAAGTTACTTAAGTTATGGACTCTGTTTGTGTAACTTAACAATGCGATTCTGTGACACTTTGTGTTACTCTTCATTGTAAAAAGGTAACATTTGTTGTGTTGTTTAACACTGGACATTGTGGTGTGGTGTTGTGTTTCTCCCTAGGACTTATTGAGGGCTGCAGCAGATGCTTTAGTCAAGTTAGGAGGAGGTCAGCGGAATGGTCAACGAACCAGTTCAGCTAGGTCCAGACCCAGAAGTGCAGCAAGGAAATGCTGATAGTGGATACTCTGTCATGCAATGCTTCTTTTTTACTTCGTCATGGGCCATTAGAAAGAAGCTGGAGTCGAGGTTGAAGTTTTGAGGGCTTTAAAGGACTCTGATGAATATGATATTGTCATCCTTGTTTTGATTTTCCCTCATGAGGATAACCTTGCCCATTGGTTGTTGTTCTGTTTTCTTTTATTGTCTACTTGTAATGTACACACATCATGCTCCAAATTAATGGCATTGATAGCATACCCCAATATTATGAAATGCTCAATATGATGAGTTGTAACCATTGCACCTTTCAATTTATCAAATACAAGAAAATATCAAGAGCTTTACCCATCAGCATCGAACACTCCTGGTGAAAGTTCTCTTTAAGCATAAGTGAAGGTGTACTTCATCAGGAATCAAACTGTACACTTGTGAATAGTTTAACAGTCGCACTAAGATCCAATTTAAACAGTGTTATTTTTTTTTTGATACCTTATGGTTCTAAATATAAGAGGATTAAACAGTATAATTTTATATATATTTGTTGTTTAATAGTAAAAAGCTTATTAAACCTTGAAACCAAGATAAAATAACTTTGAAAGGCACAACTGCACAGCCCAGTTTGAACACCCCAAATTAAAATATTTAGAGATAACAAATACAGTAGCCTCTATTTTGCACAAAAAAATATGTATGAATGTTTGTCCTTGGACATCATCTGTTCCTCGAAGCTCACAAATATGACAAATATCCATTATATTTTTGCACCAAATAGAGGCTAATGGTTATATATTCACTCCTTAGAGTGATGACAAAGGGCTAACACAGTTTTGAAAATGGTAAAAATGACCAATTTATGTTATCAACTCAGTCAATACCAGATTACCATAACAATACAAACAGGCATTGGAACTCATTAAGGAGTGACCTCAATCACTTAATTGAAGTTAAAATAACAGTATTTAAGGGAGAAAAATCAGGACTTTGACAAATGACTGCTAAAGACAAGTTCAACTGTATCAGCATTTGTTGTTTTCTTTTTCCTTATTTTACTCAAATGAAGGCTGCATTTTTCTAATCAGGTTTCGCATTTTTTTGAGTGCAGTAGTTAATGGTAATTTTCTTCCATCTGCAACATTAAATGAAGTAAATACAGTAACTTTCTCAGACTCCTTTCCACCTACTTCTTGGCAAGTGTTCTTCCCTATGTTGGGCAGAAATCTGTACTTTTCAAACAACACTTAAAATGAAAAAAGCCAACTCTTGCATTCCCTGTTGTCTTATTTTAATGAATTGTCTCTGGCAAAAACCACTCTGCAGATTGACATATCAATTAAAAGTATCTTTTGTTCTATACAATTGTGACTTGCCCTTCAAGTGAAGAGTGAAAGGGCAGGTTTAACTTCTCTTAGGGAAAGTATACCGTGAGTGACATTTCTACTGAAAATATTCCCACAACTCACTTTCATAGACATGGTTGCTTCCTGAATTAAAAAATATGAGAGTGGATAAGACAATATACTCATCATTAACCAGAAAATCTATTTTTATAGTTTTATATTACAAAGAAAACAAGTTGGTGCTCTTCAAAGTACCAAAACTTCTTCTGTTTACTCAGTTGCCCTGAATTCCTTAATGATGGCATTACAAAGCCATTAAAAAGATCATCTATTGTCACACTACTCCCCATGCTTCTTCAAAAGCAGTACAGATTTTTGCACAAGTTAAAGCCCCTGACAATGGATATTGACTTATTGCCACAGTGTCTTCCACATAAGGAACATCAATCTGCAGAAAAAATTTAAAATGAATAAATGAAAGGTAGAGGAAATTTAATTGTTTCAAAAAAAATTTGTGTTTTGAAAACTAATGGCACCTATGTCAAAGGTAAATTGAGGTGAGGGCAAATCTAACAGGACAGACATGAGGAAGAGTGGAGGAGGAGGAAGAAACAACCACAACCATTAGAAATCAGGGATGTATGAAATAACTGTTATTACAATTTTTCATTATCTCAGTGGTGTGCACTTGTTTTAGGTGTAGAGGTGAAGTGGTAAGCATCTCACTTTGAGTACTTGCATCATTCTTTAAGGCCTTACCGAGCCGTGTGCCATGGCTCCAACAACAAACACAATGGGCTCATCTTTTGGTATAACATCTTTTAACTTCACAAGATTATCAGAATGAAAAGATGTTCCTGAAAGGAAATGACATATCAGTTTTCTGTTTCATAAATGAACAGAACAGAAGAAGTAAGGACATAGTTTAGTTACACTCAGTACAATCAAATGAATTGATTACAGTAACTTGCCCACTTTCCTACAACCAGTTGGCAAATGATCTGTTACAGGGTTCTTGATGACCTGATAATTAAAATTACATGTCACTGACTGATTCGTTAGAAAATAAAAGAGCAGAAACAAAGATTGTGCTTAAAAGGTACAATTATCTACTTTCTCACTTGGAGGGGTGTACACTTTGAAATTAAAGTATAATCAACAAGAGGTGTTGAATGACATCTCACAAACAAGTTCAGAACTTCAGGAGTGATACAATTTATTATCACTACAGCTCCATTCTCCACAGCTAGAACTAGATACTGAAAAGTATTGTGTGAGACAAGGGAATCAGCCAGGCTGTTGAAGATCTTGGCTGAACTATGATGCTCACTTCACTCTAGGATTGAACATGGTGTATGCATGTGTCAAGTGTCACATGCAGGACGCACAGACAACTTAACACAGACAGGGATTAGTCACCCTGTGCACATCACTCCAACAATCCAAAAAGTCAATAATTAGCTTTTTCGCAGTTAAAGTCTCTAGTCATGGTGGTAATAATAATCCCCCCTTGAAATACAAGGAATCTTTCTATACTGCCATGATGAAGCTCACCTTGAGTAACTTTTGAGGACCATCAGAAGCATGAATGCTAAGTTTGTGCAACAACTGAACTTTAATGAAAAGAAATTACAACATTAGCATTGTACAGTTTAAACCTCTAAGTAAAAGTATCTAAAAAGTATTTAAGAAATGATATAAATACCATACTATGGTAGGTAAGCTTTTTAGGTTATTTTACTTCATTTTTGATACCAAAGTGATATTAGAGCACTGATGCAAACACAGAGGATCCATTACTGACCTGTGAAGCAGTCCTTTTAGCAAAACCACAGATGAATATTTTTAGCTTTTTCACTATGTTCACCAATAGATCATGTATCAAAAGACTTCCTGTACCTACCCATAAGCCCACAAAAGCGGTCAAACGTTCTTGGTATTCTGGTATGTGGGTTAATCTCAATAAGGACATTTCTCTCTGTATGAATGTAGACTTGTAAAAGACCCGCTTTGTTCAGCGGACTGTCCAGTAACATCAACAAACTCTGTTTTAATACGGGTGAAAAGTAATGAAAGAAAAAATTGGTTAGAAGTCAATGTGATGTGCTTTACATATGGTCCTTACTTATTCCTTGATTTAGGGTAACAACTTTATTCCTGGTCTCGAAGGAAACTCACAAATATATTACATACTTATGCTGAGGTTAAAAAAAAAAAACTGGCAAAAGAAATGAAAAGACTGGTAACGTGAACCTCACCTGATGAGTGATGTCTGGTCTAGCTGTTGCCGGATCTTTCTTATTTTTCCTCATTATAGTTTTATGTTTGTCACAATTAAGTAACTCGAAACTTTTTCCATTCTATGAGTAGAAAGAATATATCGTATGTTAGTATAGAATACCACATAAAGCAAACCGCTGTGGTCGTAACATTCCAGAGCAAACTGAGTCTATCAAACTTAACTTTGCTCCTTACTGTCCCCCACTAATATTAATGTTTTGTACTTACTTTAACTGTCTCAAGTGAAGCTTTTTCTAGGATTACAATAAGCCGTTTTCCAGAGTCCTTTTCTTTCAGTGTTTTAGGAATTTTGCGCGGCCTTTCAAACTCGCTCTCTTCGTCCGCCATGACTGCACGTGTGTGGCAACATAAAGGCTTGGTTACCACGCAGTTTAAGGAAAGGAGAGAGACTGGCGTACACAACATGGAGAACGATATATCTGGCAGTGTATTCCTGGAAGAACTTACTCTGAAATGTTTTCCAGAACTCGTTGAATCACTTAAAAAGGACATTCCACGATCTTTAATGGTAATCTCTTTCTTTCCAGATGTAACTTCACGTTAATAACGACTTGCTTACATGGACCGATCGGACGACCCCTAGAAGTCCTAGAAGGATCTGTGTAATTATTTTCAACGCAAATGAACAGAGGCAAAAATTTAATGGTGTTGCAATGCCCCTTTTAATCCGACGCCGCTCGAAATCGATCTATTTCGGCACAGCCCGATACTATTGTAAAACAAATCTGTTTTCCCAATGGCAATGTATTGTCTTTGTCATTGCTTTCTCTATCTAAGAACTGAATGCATAATGTAGGATGGGGCTGTGCGGAAATTTTACCGAATATGTATATATGAGAGGAGACTGATACTTAAAGCTAGATAAGATTTAATTTTTACTTGAAGCCTCTTTGAAGGGGTCATTCCTTGAAAATCAAGTTGGAGCAGCCTGGGTCTTGAAACTCTTACCTTCTGACAGACCTGAATAACGTCTGCAGTTATGAGTTTACTCGAAATTAGATATGGATTCCTGTTTGGAAAGAACCATTGTACATTTTTGACCTCCAGTTATTTAATGTAGAGTCATCTGACTTGATATCCAACTAACTGGCTTTGTAGAAATACCCTTAAACACCAGCCATAGTAAAGCTTGACCCTCCCCCCCCTCCTCTCCGGGATAGGTGGAGCTTTGTCAGGTTTTGTTTGCTATTCAGTACCAATACCCACCTATTTCTCAGGGTAGGATTTACTTTGACTGGTGCATTCAATCAATCATATCCTTTATTTGATAGCAATAATTGTTAAAGTTGCAAAACTTGCCGGGTTATTTATCTGAGAAACTTATGTGCTAATGCACTTGTGAAAGTTTACAATTTGTTTAAAACCCAAGATGTACAGCCATCTCAACTAAGGTAAAATCAACCAAATTTCATGCAAATTGCAGTATTTTACTTTATAGGTGTTATGTGTAAAAAAAATCTTTTAATCTGTTGCCCTCACCCTTGACAAAAACTGTTACAAAGGGCATAGAATGTCTTCATACTAGGATCCTGATTTTCTCCCTCTTTTTAGTATACAAAAATATTTTGGAATATACATCTACTTAAGTAGGAAACTATTAAGTGCAACTACAGGAAAGCATCAAGTGCAGTTACATCTTTAATATACCTTTGTGATTGCCAGGTGCAACAGATTTTCATAAAAGATATCCAGCAAGTAACAGTATGCTCAGGGTTTGGTACTGAAACTCTTTTTTTCTGTGTCAATAAGGCAATAGACAATTTTTGGTGTGGTAACTGATAGTCCTCAGCAAGAAAAAGCTTAGCCAAATATTTCTGGGCAGATTTTTATGTTTGAAAATGGTCAGTTTACAGCCATACCTTGTCAATCTGTTTTGATCATTTTAGATCAAATGTTAAGATCAAAATGAATTAGAAACACTTGAGAGACTGTTTGCCATTTTTTAACTTAAATATGAAGACTGTCAATTTTTCCATCAGATGGACAGAAGTATTCAGGATTTATTTTTAGTCTAGGTATTGTTATTTATGAGCTTGAGTTGTCTTGTTTTAGATGTTAGGATGCCTTGAACAAATGAATGAAAGTCCAGAGGTGACAAGTGGTCATGTTTATGTAAGCCATTGGCCCAACCCAGACCTAGTAATGTTTGAAAATATGGCTTATAAAGCATTGGTGAGAACCTTCCTCTGTTTTTGGTTGCTTATTACTTTACACATACTCGACCATCTAAGTATTGCTATTGTCATTATTACTATCATCGTAATCATTACCAATGCAACCTAAATTATTAGAGGGAACACAACCAAGTTATCTAGTATTCATCTTTCTTTCGAAGGAAGAAAATGTTTCCTCCATTTGGACATCTAAAATTTTTTCTTTAAGGTATTCCTTTAGTCTCTCACTGCCACAACTGCCAACATATAGGAAGTCAAATGGCTGCCACCATCTTGACAACCCCTAAGAACGAGTGAATCACTAACTATGAACTTTAGTTAATATATTTTCTTAATTTCAGATTGATTACAATATTCCCCCATCTGTGATTTTTGCAAGTTGTTCCACAGAGAAGCTGAAAATAACACTTGAAAAAAGTCATCTAAGCAGGTTTACATCCTCACCAGAAATACTTGTGGGTATGATCAGCCTATTTTAGCATCTATTGAGAAAAATGTATTTATCAAAGCTTTTGATTGGGTATTTCCTTTTTGACAGGTGATCCCAGATGTTTTGAAATAGGTAATGAGATCACGAAATCGAAGGGAAATGGACTTCAAGTTACTCTTGAATCACTTCCATATTTTGCTACAGTAACTGATGTCACTAAATTAGAAAAACAGTGAGTTGAAAGAGAGGCTTAAGTTGTGTATTTGTTATTATTTGCTCTAATAATTTTTTGGTCATGAAATTCTGCTGGTGTGAGCTTGAAAAGTTAACATGTACCCAGTATTTTTTCTATGGTAGCTTTATTTCTGTTTGTAAAGTCAACTAAAATCGGATTCATTGTCATTTATGGGACATGCCTAAGGGTGGTGCACAAAGCACTTTGAATTTAACTTCCAATAATGGTTTGCTTAATTTGTAACAATTTGAGTTACAGTAGCCAAGAGCATGAAGGCAAACTTTAAAATAAGTATTATCTTTATAGTGAATGCCCACCCGGCTACTTCATTGCTCCTTTGAGGCTTCAAGACGCAGTCGTAATTGATACAATGTGGAAATTTGGGGGAAACCCTAATTCTTTGAAGAGATTTAAAAACTTGATTTCCCACTCACTTACCGCTGGGGTGTATTATCAAGACACTGACCAGCTTGTCTCATGGGGAATGATTGCGTAATATGGCTGCATTTCAATGCTTCATACATTAGAATGCCACAGAAGACGTGGATTGGCCATGGCTATCGTCTACCATCTCACTAAAACCCTTTTGGATCGAAGGAGGACAGTATTCTGCGTCATAGAAGAAGAGAATGAAAACTCCAGACAACTTTTTTGTAAAATGGGATTTAAAATTTTTTCGAGTGATTACGTAGCGTTTTTACATACTTCCCAAAGTTAGGTTCACAGGGTAAAGAGGTCGATAATTTTCCACTGATTTCTATGCAAAAGAAATCGATGAAGAAAACGCGGGAATGTGATGAAAGTCTTGACTATGCAACACATCACCTTTTTTAGTTTTGAAGTGACGCATATATTCAAAACATATACCATGTTGTCAAAGCGTGTTAAGCACATTTTTTTTATTATCATCCAACAGCCAAATGAGAAAAGTACATCTTAAATATTGTAATTTTGACTGTGGCCGTAAAAGGCTACCTTGTCGAGCTACCATGGCTAAATCACTATTAGCCTTTTACTTTCTACGGAAAGGTTTTTGTTAGAAGTTCTTCTTAAATCTCGTAGGTTGAGCGTAATATCTAGTGCAATTGTACTTTATTTTTCCATTTGCCATATTACGTCAATAAGGAGCCCTAATTATATGGATTATATAAGTTCACTTCAAACCTAGCAAACATAGAGGTGCTCATGTATCGGTCGAGAATAAGACGAGCCTTCTCAGCTCATGGAAACAGAAATATTTAACTCTTAGTTTACAAGGTTTTTATTTTCACTTTGATAGGAAAACGATTTCTTTGTAGCTATGTGGTAACTTAGAGCAGTAGAGGAATCAATAGATGACATTGTTCCACCAAATGTTGCCGACTTTTTTTTTTATCAATATTAAGCCGTTGGTCATATTTTCTTAGTAGGGAGTCTTGCCGTATTTTAAAATTACTTTCGTTCCGGTATGAATTAGTTTGAAAAACATTAAAAGGAGCCGAAATTCTATTGATGTTCTATTGTTTTGCCAAACAATAGTAAAACTTTACAATAATAAAGTTTTAGTAAAACATGTCTTTTAAAGTTAGTTTTGCACCGGTGTGAAATAGTTTGAAAAACATTAAAACTGAGAAGCCGAAATTCTATTGTTGTAACGTTTCTGAACATTTTAATTGTCTACGTTAAAATAATTCATAACTGAATCGTCAGAGTCGTTTAATACTTTGGCACTATTTCAGGTTGTTCTTAATTATTTTAACCGACGCTAATAATAGGCACAAACTATTTTTTCCCGCTGATGAATGGAACCCCAACGCATTTCGTTTTTTCAAAGATATTTGACTTTCAAAAAAAAAAATGAAATTTATTTACACTTTTCTAACCAAACTACCCAAGTCGTATGGTTTTGTTTATGACTATTATGAAATATGTTTACTCAAGCGATAACAAACAACTCTATTTTTATGCATTTCCACAGTGTATTCTATGTTTACATTATTCACGATTCCGCTGTGATTATTCGGGTGCTATTAACGTACGAACCTACAAGCAGATTGGAAGTTACTTGAACAATTTTGTAAACGCAGAAATGTACATGAATCTATGGGAATTTAAATAGAAGAAAGGCAAAACATACCCACAAAACCACTGAGCAATTGATTTTAAGGACGATGTTCATCACTTTTACCCCAAGACGTGTGATGAAGGCAATACCCAATATACAACACAAAATATCCTTATCTTCTTTTCATCTTTTACATGCAGAAACTGCCGGCAATGTTCTTGCCCTTGATTAATATTAAATAGGTGGCGTAGGGTTTTTTCAAATTACTTCTTCAAACTAAAGTTGTTAATTTATCCATTCTGAATAACTGTAGCGGCGCCCAACCTGCACACCTGATTAGAATTTTCTATGGTAAACTGAACATACGTAATAGATCCTTAAATGCTTATAAAAATCATGATTTTTGAATTGCAATTACAGAATATGTGTGAGTGTGTGTGTGTTAGATTTCATCCTCCCTTTTCATCTTGAGAAAGTATAACAGTCTTGCTTTAATTCAACGTTAAATAAAGGTCTTAACCTTTATTTCATTTTGTAGCTGTGGTTGGTAACTTCTAAAATATTATGCTTTTGAATTATTGATATTACAGGTGTAAAACTCGTTTGAAGTGAGTGAGTTTTTAGCAGTCGGCGATGAACACAGCCTCAAAATGTACTCCAACCAACCTTCAGCCAAGCTGCTTTTTGTATTTATTTCCATCTCTTTCTGTGTTGCTCAATCGTAAGTATTTTCTTTGTTGACTACAATCTGCATCTAAAAGGTACATAAAAAACTTGAAAAGGAGGGAGCGTGGTCTTTCGCCATAGTTTTGACGTAAAGTCAGCTTTGGCTCTCGATGACAACGAAGCTATGAAAGTGAGAACTGTTCTTTAAATGTCAATTTGTGTAGTGTAGACGTAATGAACTTTTGTGGGCTTACTGGATGACTGCAATATTACCAATCAAGCTGAAAAGACTCAGGTTCAAACCTTTTCTCGCTATTGATATCCATTCGATAAGTTGTCAGCACAGGTTAGGCGAGTGTCACGCGATACAAAATGCCGCAAAAAAATCCTATGTGAGTGTCGACTTTACTTTTTCCATTAAAACTTTGAACGGCAAGTAATAATGTTGTCAAAGCAATCTTATCTTGATGAGTAGGAGGTGATCGTGGTGCAAACCCAGCGTGTGGGAGACCCAAAGCAGTAATAAAAATATAGTTATTCCATGTTGGTTATTTTCTTTATTGGATTCTTGCTGATGAGTCCTACATGGTTTGTTCTTCATACCCTTAACAGTGTCATTTGTTATACTTGTACGTCTTATCATTTTCTCGTATTATCTTGTTCCGTTGAAACAGGTCAGAAGCTTTGATAATGTTCGTCAGATAAGATTTCTAGTTCATGTTTTCTTTATTTAGCGAACAGGGGGGTATCAGATAATGTAAAAGAACGTCTCAAACTTTGCTTTTGGGTGGGTGCTACATACTTTTCATCATTTTAGAATTAATTCACACTAGGCTCACGATGGTTTTTATTCTTATTTTCAATTCGCTTTCCTTCTAGCAAAAGAAATAATAATACGAATGATACCTCGGTTGAAAACAAAAAATGGATCACAAATTCGTCTAGAATCTTCCATAATTTAATGGAGGATTATGATCCATCAATTGCTCCGTTTGTTCCAGGTAAGTCCCTGGTACCTTAATCACTGGACTCCACTTACGGTAATATAGTGAGAAGGTTGTCCTTTTGTACCAGTCTTAGAGATATTCCCTGCTATTTCTAGGATACATTTTTTTTCTCGTTTCGACGAAAGAGAAATCGCCATGAGACATGCTTACCTGTTCACCTGATAGAAACCTCAAGTCAAACTCTATTTGGCTCCAACAGTACTGTTTTCGTAATTTACTCCTCGCTTGGCTTAATAATATTCAACTAACTTTACTTATCGTGCAAAATTTAGTGCTATTGTGGAGTAAAATTCTTAAGCAGTTACCATGATAGGACCAGTGGTGCTTGGAGTTTTGGGGACAGTTTCCTCTTTAAACCAAAAGCGCTCTACTGGCGTAACATATTGTTTTGTCTAATTCACAAAAACTTCTGCGCTTGAACAGGAGATTAGGTTTCACAGCTGTATTCAACGCTGTCAATGACTCCAGTTCTTTTCTATCTTGCGACCGCATCAATCAAGAGACTACCGAGATAAAGACTACCAAGATAGATACTTCCTACCCAGGTCTCGTTTTCGGTTAACTAGGGATGAGCCGCTCTTTCCAAGTGGAGACCGCTGAGTCCGTTCATTTGTTTCAGGTAAGCCAGTGCAGGTGGCACTCACATTTGAAATCCTGGCTTTTGGCGAGATGAAGGAAGCAAAAATGGTAAGTTGATCGTTCATAACAAATACATTTCTAATAACGGTAAATTAATAACGGAATCGAAATTCCTGAAGCATGGATGCCTATCATCAAAATGTATAACAGCCGACCGGTAACAGAGCGGACCTATGAGGGAACAGCATCTCATGGTCAGAATAATAAAGGATCGAAATGCACCAATGACAGCTCACCGTAATACACCAATTACAACAAACCAAGGTGCGATAAATAGCGACACTTAGACTTTCGACCTCGTCGCCTCACGAAGACTAGCAGTATTGACTAGCGGGACTCTTAAAAACGATAAATGTATATTTACATCTAACCTTTATTAAATATTCCTTATTTTGATCCCTGATGTAACTCCAAAATATTTTTTCCTTTTTTTTAAATATTTAGATGTATAAGCAAAATTATGAAGAATGATGAACGCAGGGATGTATTTTATCTATAAGTAATAAAGAGGCTAAAAACAATATAGGGCTTCAACAGGGCTTGAAACCTCTGTGAACTCGCAGTTCTTTGAAAGTCATATTTTTTCTTCCACAGGAATACAGCTTAGATTTATATTTCCTTCAAGTTTGGTCAGATATCAGACTTGCTCAAGGTCAAGATAGGAATTTCGCATTCAGTGGAAATGACATTAAAAAGATCTGGACACCAGACACCTACTTTATGAATGCCAAGAAAACAGATATTAAAAATGTAAGGTTTTACGTTCATGTTTCTTGAAGAACTTTTCCTATGCAGCAAAACCACGGGCTTTTCTCTTTTATCCTTAAAAGTAATAGTTGTCTCCTCCAAAAACATTTTATTTGGTAAGTAAGCAGATGAAGCAGTTTTTAAAACTCGCCGATTCTTCCGTGACTATTAAAAAAGAATCCTTAACCTTCAAAAAATTTAGACATTTTGCTTATTTTCATAAAGGTTATGAAAGACAATCAAATGGTGTATATCCTGCCTGACGGAGTGGTGGTACAGATGTCCAGGTAAATTAGCAATTGTTCATATCATACATGCTTTTTTACTTACTTTTGTTGAAAAAAACTTGTTATCAGTCCCCACAAAAGCGATAACAAACTTGAGACGTATGTTGAATGCGCCTCTGTCAAAGCCTTGGTGACTGGGAACTAGACTAATTTTGTATTTGAAGATAACAGTGCAGGACATGAACAATATTTGCTTCAAGTTGTCACAAAACAACAATAACAACAACGAACAACAACATTTTCAATTCTATATCGGTTGTTAATTGGTCCACGTTTCGCATCTGGGAAATTACACTCAGATAAATTTACTGTTTTTTATTTTGATATTTTATTAGGATCACATTAGACGTGGCTTGTCACATGCAGCTGCAGATGTATCCATTTGACAGACAGAAATGTGAACTCATTATCGAGAGTTGTGAGTATTCAACTTTTCACTTCTCCAACCTCCAATTTCTCCCGCTGGTCAACAAAAACTTTATTTGTACCCAACAGTTACCAATAAACTACAGCAGTTTTAAATTATGTAGTGGGTACAGGCTGCCCTTAAAAACCTTTAAGGGCTAGAAAGATAGAACAGCCACACTAAGGAGATTAATTGATGGATACGAGGGCCAGACCACTCATGCAAACACACCTACACAAAAAGCAGAAAAAAAAAAACAAATAAACAAAAGCAGGAAGATGAACAGCAAAGGAGAACTAAGGACGCCAGTATTAGGTAGTGGAAAGCCAAAAAAGTAAAGTCTTAGTTCAAGACAGGAAGCTTTCAACGAAGGTGACTTTGGAAGAAAACAGAACGACCTAGACGGTTTGGTCGGTCATCGCCTGCTCTTAGGTGAAACTTTTACACTCAGTTAGTCAGGACATCTCGCTGTCTACCGCTCTGCTTTGTTTTCTACCACTCATTAGTTCCAAACTCGTTTGTTATTTAGTTTCAATGACAGAATCAAAGTTAAACTACACTTGGGGCAACTTAGCAGTGGAAAAATGCGTCGTGGGTGTTTATGATGACGCCATGGCTCAGTATGAGTACAAAGGAGTGAAACTCAGTTATAAACACGAGAAGATTTCCTCTGGTATGTACGTTAGAAAACGACCATTGTAATGCATTTTTGCGATATTACAACTGAATTGGCGATTGAAAAACCCTCTGCCATTAAATTAACTTCATAATCAGTAATAACTTTCACGCAATCTTTCAAAAAGGGAAACCGAAAGGTTTCAGGCTGACCAAGAGGAAATAATGTTTCAGCTTGCAGATTTCAAGGAAGCTCTGGTGTTTGTGACCTGTAAAACGATCGGGAACAGCTACAATCATCTGCATTCGAAATGAGGAGAAATGTCATGTCGTGTCAAAATGATATTCATTAAGTAGGATTATTTCTTAAATTCATACGTCTTAAGCCGGGGGATACTCTTACTTTCCAACAGCCGCTTTCTCCAACTTGTACGCTACCTTTGTATTCGACCGCCTTACGTCATATACAGTTCTCCAAGTGTACGTTCCCAGCTACATGATTGTTCTTTTATCATTCATGGCTTTGTGGATTCCTAAAGATGCCGTGCCTGCCCGTGTGGGACTGGGGATAACAACTGTGCTTACTATTGTGTACTTTTTAGGTAAGAGAATAAGTGCGCGCGGTACTTTAAAAAAAAAAAAAAAACGCACAATCAATTGATCCTAGTCAGAGAAGTAAGCCATTTTACCCGGAGTCTAGGAGATAAATTTTTGTCTATGACTTCATTAATGACTGACGTTTACAACTGAGAGAAATTCTGATTTTGCTCACTATCTCTCTAATTATTTTATCCATTCAACGTACACTAAAAAAGAAAAAAAAAAGGTAAACAAAATGATATTCCCAGAAAACGCAAATATGCTCACTAAAGTGTTCAAATAACTTAAAGAAGAAAGTAGAGCAATTTTTTTTGTTCGCTGTTTACCGCCATGGTTTAATGCATAGAGCTAATGTCAAACTTTTCTCCCTATTTCGCCGATGTATAATATGAGAAAGAAATTGCATTGATTACTTAAATTGATAGAAACGTAACTTCTTTGCCAACAATATTAAAAGTAAGTTTCAGCTGCTATTGTGTTCTTTCGTAGGAACTGTCAATAGCTCGATGCCTCGCGTGTCTTACATGAAGGCCATCGACTGCCACCTTTTTGTATCGTTTGGTTTTGTGTTTGCCACCATGTTGGAATATATTGTTGTGCTAAACACCTCCGACAGAAAGAAGAGGAGGATGTCTACTCACGAGGACTTTGAAGTTGGTTTGAATTTATGCTAAAGTTGTACACTGAAATGATACATCAAGGCTCTTAAGCGGGTCATATGAGAAGAATCTTATCATAGTATTAAGTTCCGATTAGTTTGAAAATTTAAATTGTAATACCGCTTGAAGGGAAAAGAAAAATTCTACTATTGGTGTTTGATAAAAAAAGGAACAAGAAGAAAAGAACAACAGAGTTACTGCTTACCTTTCTCTGAAAAAGCTGGTGATCGAAAGCCCCATTGTGTATCTCATTATTACCATGCCTTTAAACAGTGATATTTGGTACGCTTCCCTGTGTTATCGTGAATAGTCTTACATCCACTGTTTTTTTTTGTAGTTAGAGAGTGAAGAATCTGAGCATAATCTAATCCAAACACACTGTGATACTTTACAGCTTGGACCACTCAACAATCGCACGTCGGACGATTCACCACAAAACAAACGATACGATGCAGGTGTACCGGATGCTTGTTACCAAGTGTTCTCCTGCAAAAGGAAAAGAATGAAAGCCAGTCTGTCCGTGAACGCGGTGGACAGATACGCACGGATCCTGATGCCATCTGTCTATGGAGTCTTTGTTCTCATTTACTGGTTGATATGTGCATTGCTGTCTCCTCAAAAAGAATCATTGGATCTCTGTTAGGTTTGGTGCCTCTGTGGTGGGAAGAAAATCCAAAAAACATTTGCTGGTTTTGTCTTAGAAAATCTTTAATGAAATGTGTTGAAAGGCTTAAGTTTTAATGCGTTCAGTCAAATGCATCTAACGCATTTTCAGACAAAACTTATCTTGAACCCGTAGTTTAAATTATGCTTCTTTATCTTTTGTCGGCCTCCGTGGACGATTGTGATAAAAATAATTCTTTATGAGTTAGTTTTGTTGATTAAAATTTTTACACCTTCGGTGAAAGGTAGGACAATTTTTTTTGTAAAAATGTTTTTCAAAAAACCATAGGGAACATGGGAAAGAAGGGAAAAGAAAAGAAGAATAACTTCTTGGTAGTTTGGACGCGAAGTATGTTACTTGATAGAGAGTCCGTGTTCTTCAGGAAGTCATATTGCGGTATTTTATAATTGTTCCAATGGTATTTCTCAAAGGAAGCTATTATGTGCCGTTAAATTGAGAAACAAAAATAGATTTAGTATTCATGAAGAGTGTCGGAAGTGATAATGCGAGACTTACTTGAATAGGCCTGAATATAAATGAGCACTGAATGAGCCAATGAATTTTTATGAACACCCTCAGTAAGTGTGTACCTTAATACTGATCAGCAAAATCAACAAGAAGTATGAAATATATTAATCGACATCATTATCTGTATCGTGTATTAAAGTTGGAAATTCTTTGATAAAGGGATAATGAAAAAATTTTCCACACTTTCTAGAGTAATCCTTTTTATTCCTCTTTACTTTTCATTGGTGGCCATGTGAAGTGTAAATATAACTCCCAATACAGCCTTCTAAGTAACCATGGAAGGCTAAGAGAGTAGCCACATGTCGACTGTTTTGTACCTACTTGGAAAGTCTGCACTACTTAATTTCCCGATATAACCAGCCTTAGCCAGCGTCATGCATGTAATAAACATGATTTGTCGTGTTTTCGTTTGACTAATGATACTCGCGACTTAACAAAAAGCTTTGGGTTTTGCTGGAAAACTGCATAACTATCGTAATCGTAAGCGATTTTTTCACTTTATGTCATGAAATTTATTTACATTGGATATACACCAAGTTTGAGGAGTCAGAGATGAAAATTTCCTGCTGTGTTGCTTCGTAAAGGAAGCAAAATTCAGTTTGTTTTTAAATTTTCGGTTGCCAATCTTTACACTCTTGAATTCCCTTAAGAGCTCCTATTCGAATAGATATTACATCTTATGGTGGAAATTGAACATCAATAAACCAATAAACTGCGCTACATGACAATTACGTTTAAAATGGAAACTTTCCCCATGGAATCCTTCTTTAAATTGTCTGATCCTTGGTCTGTTAAATCTTCACCTTTTTCTTCGATCTTTCTTTCAATCTTTGTGGATATTTTATCAACATGGTCGAGGCTTGGGTACTGTTTGTCGTTTTCGTTTCACTCTCTTGGTGACAGAAAGAATTTTTCCAATTATCTTCTTCTTGATAATTCCAATCTTCTCCAGTACTGCTCCAACATTTGCACTTGTCGTTGTACCATTTGCACTTGTCGTTGTACCATTAATACATGGCCGAGGAGGGGGTGGTGTTGAATCGCGCTTTACTCTATGGTTAACGGACATAATTCTTCCCAGTTGCGGTAGCTTGTCGTTAACCGGTGCAGAATTTACTAAAACTAGGACTCCAAAGGTTAAGATTAACAGACTCGCAATAGGACTCATCTGTAAATAAAAATTAAAATAAGAAAATCAAGCACTGTTTTACCAATATTTTCTGAGTTCAAGTAGTTATTATTTTTTTGAAGAAAACCTTTGAAACCCTACGTTTGATAATAGGCTGAGATAGAAAAAACAATAATAGATAGAATATGATAAAAATAAGGAGAAAAAATTAGCAAAGTCTACATCTTGAACTAAAAAGACGGCTGGCGGTGGTAACAGATAATCTTTGACTGTGCTCTTCATTCAAGAGATCGTTAGTTCAAGAAGCAGTGGCAAGAGTTTTTTCGTCATTTTTCATGTCATGTTTAGCTCTCAAGTGGATTTTAAGGTCTGTTCAATTAATAGTCATTACTTATCTGTCAGTCTCTATGTATTGAATCGCTTTTAAGTATTAATCTCCGATGAACAGTTTTTCCGCTCAAACAATACCAAGCAGCGTTACTCATTATCGCAATAAAGTTTATCAGAAGTACCATAACAAACAGAGGTCTAACAGTTATCCTTCCATATCGCTCGTAAATTTCTTTTCTCTTGGTCAAAGACAGTAATTTCTATTGGTAACTGACATAATTTTCATCTGATTTTTGAACGTGTAGGAGGAGCTTCTCAGTTGTTGATCGAAGGAATTACTAAAGCAATTAATTACTTAACTCAATATTGTTAGATCTCTCAGTAAAGTACAGGAAGCATTTGACTGACTAACACAAAAGGATCACTACTGGGCTGAAAAAGTCACGTCCTCTGATTTTTTTTAAGGCATAATTCAGAAGCACAGTTGGGTTGGGCTTCTGTCAGTCGACAATTTGATCCACGATGAAAAGGGAAAAAACGACCCGCAGCGTTAAAGCGTTATTAATAAAAAAGCTCAAGAGAAACTCTATAATGTGTAGATATCAAGAAAAATCGCCACACTTGCGTAATTGGGAAGATTATGGTCCTCAATTAAAAAAACCTTTTTACCAAGTGGCATACAACCATCAAATCGCGTTGTTAGATATACGTACACTCGTTCACTTTAGTTGAACACTGTGCTGGTCCGATCATGATGATATCGGTGTTTGCGGTTGAAGGTCTAACTTTACTTGTGTTTCATACTGACTGTGAACAAGTTAAAAAGTATGGTTGCTCCACTCACTGACTGTACATCTATTTGGTGTAAAGGGAGGTTTATTAAGGAAGTCACCTTCCCCCTTTCAACAGTCAGAGTTCAGATTTCTGTTAAAAAAAATAAAAATCCGCAAACTTACCTCGACCTTTGATCTTCTTTTCAGTTGTCAATTAGCCAACTTGTGTTGTCTTTTCCGTTTGGTATAATAAAGAAAATGCGAGTTTAACGCCGGGAGGTTCCTTCTTATTATAAAATAGCAGGTCAATATCCATTGTGTCCATTCACATGATCCAGTATAAAAAATCGATTTAACGGGTTGTGTCGGAATGATAGTGCACCTCAAGCTGAGACAGCGTTTATTGTAGACCTCTCTGTCATGAAATTACTCTATAGGCAATTCAACCGACTTAGACTAATGATTGTTAATAACATTAGAAATATTTTACTACTTTTCGGCTTGAAAAGATGCCGCAGATGTCAAACAAAGCAGTAATTCAAGTTCATAGATATATTTGTTGTCCTTAAAGATAACGGAATGTGTGGGACATTTGGTTAAATAAGAAGTAGTTTGAAGGGTCTTTGCTATATAACTGCATGAAACATTGAACACGTACAAACCCCGTTTCATTTTGTTTCATATGTTATCCTCTGGTGATTTTTCATTGTCACGACTGAAGTTGTGGCTTGTATTTATAGCTTTGCATGGAAAATTGCGTTTTAATCCATGTTTTCAAAATTAAATGAATAACCACGTTGATGAGGCCGTTCCACAAATAACCTATATTTTTAGGGGGTATTTAGAACTTTCCGATATGTTTAGAAAATATAGCAATATTAAAAAACTTTAAGGACATTTACAGGTGGTTTATACAAAAGAGTTAATAATAATGTACACAATCTCTAACATACTTTTTCAACTCCCACGTGTTCATTTTGCAACAAGTGATCGCAATTCGTGTAAATTTCAAAAGCAAACATTAAGATATGTATAAGGCTTTCTCGAATTTAAGAAAATGTTTTGTTGAATCAAGAAAATTTTTAGCGAGAATTTCGACATTTGGTCTATTTAAGCGGATATTTGTAGAAATTCCTACGGTATTGATTTATTTAGGAGTTTGTTTAAGGTACAATATTGTTTATTTTGCTTGCTGAGGTAATTTTGCAATCGCGTGCAACAATCCATGATGTGTGAGTATTGCCTTGTCATCGTTGAACTTTGAGTATCACCTCAATTGATCGCAATTTTTCTTTGAACATTGCCTGGTTGTAAAGAGCTAGAATCAGGGAGTAAAAAAAGTTTCTTCCGTGACGTTCGCTTAATGTGAAATAAATGGTTCTTACCCAATTGTACTCTTCAGGTGACGAGTTCATTAATACACGCAATGATTGAAAAGGCGAGGTTGACAAAACTTTTCAAAAAACGCGTGTTAAAGAGTTCGACACGGTGGGTTATATCAAGAAAGCTGCTTACTTTTACAAAATACTCAAATCCGAAGGGAAAGAGGAGGATAACGCTATTTTTCAAGAAGTTTTTGTTCCTAGATTTTACCACCCTACCTCTGAATAATAATTTGAAACGGGCAATTTGACGTTGATGATGCATCAAAAAGTAAGTTTCCCATTTTTGCAATATTTTGTTGTCATATTTTTCAGAAATTCTCGATCAAAAGGAAGATATTTCAGGTACACTGAATGTTTGAACAATGATAGTTGTGTTCACCATTTGAAACCATCATCTTGGTTAAATCTCCCAATTCACGATTGTAATTTTGCATATAATAATGTGAAACATTGATCAACTTTAGCGAAAATGTATAACACTGAAATTTTTAATCACAACCTGGACTTGAAGGAAATATGCTTAAAGCTGAACATTTCAACTCCGATTGAAAAGTCGATGTGATTCACTTCAAGTAACTAGCAATCTCAGAATAACAAATCAGAACTGGAATTTTCGTCCTTAAGAAGCTTGCATTGGTATTGCAAAACAATGATATCATAAAGTCTTGTTTAAAACTGAATTTTTATGGAGCTCTATCAATTTAAAAAAAATGTTTTAGTCGTCTTTGAAACTATGCTATGACATCCTTTGCTTAATTTCGTTATACAACTGTCTAAATATATCATCATCATAATTTACAGTTCCAATGTGCCTTAATTCCTGAGTTTTTAGAGCACTGCCGGAATGCTAAGACAGTCATGGCATCGAATCCTGCTAAAGTAATTTTTTCCGGCTGCATATTCCTGACCCACGATTGAATGGTCTGATCGTCCGGGCGAGGGTAGTGCTAAGAAGTAGGAAGGGCTGAATGACATCTCGACGACGGAAGTCATCATCAGAGCAGAGTGAAGATGGCCACTGTTAAGAGTTTCGAAGCTAACGTGTTGAGCGTTAGCCCTTCGTTAGAGCGACTCATCACCTTTCGCTCTGACGAAGGGCTAACACCCGAATCGTCAGCTTTGAAACTCTCAACGGTGATCAATTAACGTTAACAACTCAGTTCAAAATACCAAATTAGCAACTTAAGTTACTTGACTCTTGCAGCCAATGACATCATGGAAAAAATGACCAATCAATTTACACGAAACGCACTCGTTACACTCGGTTGGCTACAGCTCTTCACCCTGCTCTGATGATGACTTCCGTTGTCGAGACGTCAGTCAGTCCTTCCTACTTCCTACTCGTTATACTCTCCCACCGACACAGTGTAACGTATCCCCTTTATTAATTCAAGTTGATCTTGATTGGTCGCTTTCGATCCGCGATGATATTAGGTCGTTCTGTTAGGTCCCCTTTTTGCGTAAATATCGTAAATAAGTCGTCTCTTTTGGTGCCGGTAGTTGATATCTGCTGAAAGGGGTCTCAGTGTTCCATGTTAGTGAATCGGCTTTCCAGATTCAGCCTTTGGAATGGATATGCACCAATGTCATCTCTGTTTTCGATCGTAAATGGCGACTCATGTTTTAAGAACGAGGAAGGCGTGTTCTACTTTTGTCTGTACAAGTCCTACTATTTCGGATAAAAGATGTCATCGAGGCGTACAAATACTATCCATGTTTTGGGTCGCATTTGGTCTGCCACGTTTTGTGAATAAGGGACTATAATTAGTTTGTTCAGGCGATTCTACTTTGGATGTTTAACAATCTATAAAATGATTATCTCATCAACATGCACCGCTGTGATCTCTGTTTTTGGATCGCACTATGTGAGTCATGATTTGTAAGCGAAGTTGGTATCTGGTGTTATTTTTAGCTCTTCAGGTAATTCCATTCTGGATTACAAACCCCTCTTAACATTGATCGTCTCATTAACGTGGAATAAAATTATCACTGTGGTCATGATGAGTCATATAATGCTTTTTGGGAAAAGGGTAGACTCATTAAAATCTCAGTCGACGTTGATATTTCATCTTTCTCAAGAACATCGCATTTTATATTTAAAAGTTTCCAAAAAAGATTATAAAAGCGATCACGTGTCTTTGTGTTGATCCTTCAAAATAAATAAATCTGTTGTTGGTCGACAACCCCTCAAGGAAAATCATTCTAGTGGGGGACATTCTAGTTATCAGACAAAGGAATTTCAAGATTAAGTTTTTGACTGTTGATCTTTGGAACAGTTTAATTTTTGACATAGAGGGTCTTCCTTTCAAACACTTCAAGGAAAAGCTAAAACCTAACGCTATGAAGAATTAGAAGTTGTAAAGGTTCACACTGTCAACGTCAGATATTTTGACCTGTCTGCACGCTGGCATGTGCTTGTGTTCCGACTATGTATTTGTATCCTAAGTTTAAGCCCTACACAAGCTCGAGTCACGGTTCGAATTCGAATGATGATTTTGCTTGAATATAACTTGATCGACAAAAAAATTACGATGTGTGTGCTGAAAGTATCATATGCCTTAAAACTATTCGCTCAGCCTCATTTTTGCACTATTTATGCGGAAGCGATTTAATCACAAGTGTATTTGTTAAAGCAGCTGGTAGTTCCTCTCGCCAACGGACGTATGCTAATATCTTGATTTAAGTGTCAAGTTGGAAAGACGAAAAGGATACCACCTGCAAATTTCCGTAGGTAGGAGACTGATGTAAATCTTTGATTTATTCTGTGGGTTCTCTCCCTGCGTAAAAAAAAGAACAACAACAACAAAAAGAGCAAAACATGGCGATTGTGAAAAATTTTTATACTATACTACACCGCGATTTTCGTGTTGTTGAAAAGGAACGGTTACCTTCCCCCCCCAGTTGTCTTTGTGGTCGACAGTATTTAAGGGAAATTTTTTCTAGAGAAGGAGAAAGTAGGCTTCTTTAAAAACCAGCCACAAACAGAAACTGCCCTACTCGACTTTGTTTGATTTGACAGAGTTACACGACAAGTTATTTGATATTTAAAACTTTCACTGTAAAAACGAGAAAAAAAAAACAAAAAAAACACCGGACACAATAGAGTCCGAGATCGACGAAGAGCATCTAGTTATTCTGTTTATTCCATTGAAGTTTTCAATTTCCGAACCCAACTAAATTGGCTATCGATGCTTTTATAAATACATTATTTTGTTATGTAAAGAGCTCACTTACTATTATGACTCGTTTCTATTGGGCAAGGTGGGCATAAGTGGCACAAGCTGATTTAACAAAGTCACCACAAACTACACCTGAGCCCAAGAAAAACGCTACCGCCTCCTTTTTGTGAATCCCAGGTATTGGGAAAAGAAATATTTTGAGCAGAAAGAAGAGTCAGTCAGGGAAACAGGTAGAAATTACCCCGGTAAAGTTCACAAAGTTTCCCCCTTGCATTCAAGATAAGTGAGTTAACATCATAAACGAATTGAACTGCAACGAGTCTTCGCAGTATTTCCCCGAGCACACAGAACTTAAAGATCTTCGTTCAACTTTTATCGCAAGCTGTATCTTCAACAATTTTTTAACGTACACCACGATTACAGTGAACTTTGTGACAATTTGCACGATACACAAAACTTCGACAATGAAAAAAACTTTAAAAACCCTGCTTTTGAGTTTAGCTTTTTCTGATTTTGGTGTTGGTTTATTTGCTCAACCATTTCAAACGTCACTGGCTGTAACGCTCAACCGCATCATGAATATTTCTGGTTCTGTATTTTCAACAATTTCTTTCCTTTGTGGCTGTAAGTGTGGACAGGTTCTTAGCAGTTCAACTTCATCTCAGATACCAGGAGCTTGTGACTCACAAGCGAGTTGTTGTGGTGGTGATCTTCATTTGGGTGTTTAGAGCATTTGTTTATTTAATGATTTTGTGGGAATCCCGCGTTACTCGGGATTTTCTCATTTCATTCACTGCAGCTTTTGCCTTCATGCTTACATTGGTGGCGTACGTCAAGATATATCTGACTGTCCGATTTATCTTTTATCACTAATTCCAGTCTATCTGAATTCATCTTTGAACCCTGTAATTTATTGCTGGAAGATGAGACCCATCCAACTTGCCATCTTGCACATGCTTCGGAAGATGTCTAGGAACACAAGTTAGCAGTTTTACATATATTACAACCGGTGATTCGAGCGTAGTCCAAGCTGAAAAGTTAACTCGTCTGTGAGACAAGGAATGCTTATAAAGTGTAGTCTCGGTGGGATGAGGAAAAACGACATGTGCTCGAAACTGAGTGATACTGGATGGCGAAGAAAGACTCCTCTTATTTGAATTCGAATGATACGATATGTAATATACACATGTCATTGTTGAAAAATAGACAATGACACGAACTGCGCAGATTTTTCAACTTTTAAAGACAATCAAATATTAGTGTTTTGTATACAAAACGAATCAAAGATAACCCCAACAAATATATTGTAATATGATAATTATTTTGGTCGAACTTTGAAATCAGAACAATAGCTGTAGTAAAACAAAGACATTGGACGGTTTAGACAAGCACCTGAGCCAAATGCAGGTGCTTAGAAATCCCTTGTTAATTTAACCGAATGTAGCAAAATGCTTTGGCAAAATCTTTGAATCGTAGAACTCAGAATTAATGTATAAGGGTCAAATGAAATTGACATGCAACTTTTCCGTGTTAGCCCTTGGATTATCATACAATTTTTTGCTATCCTACTTTCCTGTTTAAGCAGCAGTTTCCACATCTGCCCATAGCTGATATGGAAAACCAATTCGTCCCTCTCGGAATAACAGTTAACCCTTGACTGACATTAGTGTTTAATCATCTTCACTTTTCTAACACCCTTTAAGAAGATAGATGATTAGAATGAGATAATGATCATTATGGAGATACAGCATCCATATAACGGTGGATTTTCAAGGCTGATCAACATAGAGAATAATTCGCAGCATCAAATGTCGACTCACGGATTTTTTTTTTTATATAATCAATGGACTTGTATATCATTCTCTGAAAATGCCAGATTATCTAGTCAGGCGAAAAAAAAATGAGTCAAATGGTTAGCACAAGCTTACCGACAGCGAACAAGGATGGCTAGTGATAACGACTCGTGGATTAAAAACTAAACCAATTCGGCAGTTTTTAAATCGATCCGCAAGATTTTATTTTCAGCTTCGGTATGCAGATTGTCAGCTTATTTTGTAAATTTTGTTTCTCACCTAGTTACCAAACTGATATTTGGCAATCTTCAACACAATGAAAATGTTTTTACACGACTCAAATATTATCAAGCTCCCTTGACCTAGAATCCTTTCTTTAACCAATATCAACATGTGTAATTCAACTATTCCGGCTACAGACAACCAGAAGGCAGTAGAGTTTATTTATCCGCGCTTACCTTTATAGGCACCCAACCTTAGTTTATAGTTATTTCTTTCATCTTCAACAAGGACCTGATCATATTGGGCGTGGGCCTTCGCCTGGTAAAAATCTTCCAGATCCATGCGAAGTTTATAGGCGTTTTTGACTCGTAAGGCGGTGTATTTTATCCAAACCCAACCAAAAATCTCTATTTAAGGGTCCAAATCCCTTTTTCGAGTCATCCCATTCCCAGTAGAAATCCACTAATCCATCCAGCCTGTGTTGGAACATAGTCCATCCTCCACCATCGGTATTGTGATAACAGTACACCTCAAAACCATCGCCACTGTAAGGACGAATTGTATACACATTACTCGTTGTATTTCGTGATCAATAAACTTCTACACAGTTAATCCTTAGAACTAGAGGCAAAAATGTAGAAGAAACATAGAAATAGGCCTTCACCGTACCGGAAGTATTTCGTAACATCTTTTCGCTGCCTCTAAAGAGGTATAATTTCTTGAAAACCTGAAGAACTATGACACTTAATGAGGAGCCGATGACGTCACAATAGTCTGGGGTGTCCCTCGACGAGGTCTCGAACCACTTACTTAGGAGAGTCTAGTCATATCAACCAGGCTATGCATCATTTTTTGTTGAAAAATAATTATAAAATCTGCTTTGCGTCTCTTTTTCGTGTATGATAAACTTATGCAAGATAATAAGCAATGAATATAAAAGCGATCTTCGCAGTGATGATCACTACTTAAGCAGTAGTGAAAATAAGGCCTGAAAAACAAATTCAGGCCTGTAGGGGATTTGAACCCATGACCTTTGCGATACCGGTGCAGTGCTCTACCAACTGAGCTGACCAGGCAGCCAAGCCAAGTCGATTGAGCCCATTTGTTACACGGATCATTCTTTATAGATACCTGACTCTGAGCACAGCAAAAAAAATATATATATATAAGACTCAGAGCTTTTGATGAACATTCCCCGTCACAAACTGCATCAAGTTTCTTTTCCCGATGACGCCCTCCGGCTTGTTTTTCAACTCGGTTGCAGGAATCACAAGCTCACTGAAAGCTTTAGGAGACGGTTCCCCATTGCATATTTGCTGTTCGACACAGCTTTTCTCGCTTTTCTCGTCGTGGGCACAGGGAATAACTTACTTTCAGCTAAAGATAAGAAGAGGCCATGTTGTATTTTAACCAAATAATGGTATTCCTTGCGCTGACTTCAAGTATCCAAGGTTGACCGACTAAAAAAGGCTTAAAAACGAAAATAACTCAAATACATGACTAGCAAAAACTAGAAATCATTGCTTTGATCAGTATATCTTGTATCGTCAACATAGTTACACGAATTCGGCGCTTTTGCAAAGAAGGATCCTCGTGTTAGGTAAACATGTTGGTTCTAAAAATGATGAGCGCCTCGTTTGAAAACAGTTGTGCGCCAGAAACAAGGTCTTCAATCGCCTCGAGGCTCTCCACAGAAAACCGTTACTTTCGTTTGTATTTAACACCAGTAGTAAGATCAAAAAATATATTTGTACCTTGACTTATTACCAGGCGACTTGACTAACATATAGAGAGAGGTGGTTTAATAGAGTCACTGCAATACGGATAAATTTAATTATTTTGAAATTTGCGAACCTTTGGCTCGATGCGCTAAACGAGGGTCAAGTCTGCCCTTGGGTACACCGATGAGATTGATTTTACTAGTACATATTTACACTACCCACTCCCCCAGTGCAGCAAAATTGTCACTCCGATAATTTTCTCGATCAGTTACGAGCTTTTCCGCCTCCCTTCGGCCAAAGTCCCTCAGGACTACCAAGTACTCAGAACTTTTGTTTGATGCTTAATGGAAAAGTTGACCCGGAACAATGGGCCATTTCTTGATACGAGTATCCAAGGTTGACCGACTAAAAAAGTCTTAAATGCGTCACTGTATTTATATAACGTCAATCACGTTCGTTAGTACGGAGTGATCATTCTGGTAATATTTCATCACAAAAGGAAGCCTTATTTCCCTTCCGTGTTCGTGATCATTGCAATCACGTAGCAATACTCGCATTGCCACAGCTGAAAGATGTTTCTACGTCAGCTTAATCAAAGACGTAAAAGGGTTTTCCGGGCTTATCTTTTAAACACTTTCATTATTCTTTTCTTAACGGATATGAAAGAAGAGAAAAAAAAGGAGAAACCAGCAGCTAAAGTTATACGAGGGAATGAAAGCTAAGAGTAACGTGCAATAAAAAATTGGGCGGGATTTTTCCAAAACTTATTCAATACCTGGATACAACCAGTGGAAACGATGACGAGAAAAGAACAAAACCGAAAACTTGATCGTTTGATTATTATCATTACTTTTTTCTCACTTTAAGTACAGTTTGGAATTCCCGTCCTGTCGGTTAGCTGTAGCTTAACTCATGACCCGTATGTAGTCGTTTTTACAGGTCAAACGAGTTCAGTGTAATGCTGTTATCCTTAGTAAGATTATAGAAAGAAAGCTGTTTTCCTAAGTTTATTCCATTAAGTCATTCATAAACTTTTTCCATGAAAACCGTGAGACGATTTGATAATAATAATAATAAAAAAACATTTTAGAAATGTGTTTGATGTGAAGGACCGCTCCGGATATCAACAAACTGCATGGGTTTGGTAACCTGCCAAGCCAACAGTTGTGACAAATCAGCTTATCATGTCTCTGTTTATTGAGCCTGAGATAATCATATGTTAAGAACCAACACTGGTGTCGCTATATATACTTAACAATCCCACACCTGACCTGGCTTGTGCATAAGGAAAGTTCTGTTCTGAAAGATTTATGACCGTTCTTAAAGAAAAGCCCTAACCACAAAATTCCCTTTCCGGTCTGGTAACTTCACTTCATGATCTGCTTGCTCATCATAGGGACAATTCAGTCGTCGTCACAAGAGCATATTGATAAAAAAAATTTTTTTTTTTTTGGTGAAAAAAATGATAGGGTTCAACCGAGTTCTTTTCGGGAGAAAATTCATAAAATGCATAAGAGCGAGGTTATTGATAAAAAAAGTCCAGCTTTTGCAAATTTTTTTAGAAAGATGGTCAGAGAAAATTTTTCTATAGAACTGTAAAAATGGAACTCTTTGGGTTCCTTTAAAACCAACTCCGTTAAGGTTTTTAAAAAACGTTTAAGGACCAAATTACCAAAGAGTTGTAAAGAAACTTTTATTTTTCTTTTAGAACATTCAGATTTTAAAACATCTTTAATTGTAAATAGGATTTTTTAATTGTAATAGGATTATTTTTATAACATTGTCTTTGAAAAGCCCCCTTGGGGAAAGTCAATAAAGTATGTTATGTTATGTTATGTTAAGCCTCCAAGAAACCTACTTTACTGTAAATCTTGAAAGGTAACAGGAAAATCGATTGCTTTTCGCTAGACTTATTACCGAAAGTTGTGGTGGAATATTATATTTTCATCTTAGATACAACGCGACTTAAGTTTGTAATTTTCCATTCTTAGCCTTGCCATTTGTAAATTTATTCTAAAAGGTCAGAGAGTTCTCTAATTTTTGCAGATCATCCTCCCCATCCTTCAAAATTATGGCGGTGACAGCAGTGAAATTTCGGTCCATGTATCAAAAACTGTTTCTTTACTTTTTCGCCACTCTGCAGAGGGACTAATCAGCTGAAGTTTCAAAGAACAGAGCGACGTAAAATTTCTACATTCAATGAGTTTAGTCACAATGTAATTTTACAGATATTAATTGATTGGTTTTGGAACGCTTGATTTTCTCTGAGAATTTTCCTCGGAAATATGCAAGACTTGGGCGTGGAACTTAAATGTAAGTGGCGACATCGAAAAGTAATGCAGTTAATAGCTTCAGGAAAGAGACATCTGTTTCCGTCAGTTTGTGAGAAATTCTTGCGGCTGTGGACCCAACAGGAAAAAATCATGCAAAAGCTAAACAATCGTAATCAATTATTTTCTTAATAAATCCCTTGTCAGAGAAAATAAATGTCAGTTTAAAACCACGAAGAATTATCACCCTAAAAGGGACAATACATTACATTCACTACGTTATGACAACAATGAAACTATGTCGCGACGCGACTCCGTCAGTTTCTCAACAATATGAAAAGGAAATTACTTTATTAATCAGTTTAATCATTCCGTTGATTTATTTCAAAAAGGTCAAGATAATTACCTGGCACACAATCAACAGTAAATGATAGGATTCTTATCTTCTTGTTAAGAAGTTGTAGAGTATTTATAGCGTCAAATAGAAAATAAATCAAATAATCGAGTGATTACTTCGGCACAATTCCTGTAGGACTTGGCGCCATTTGAAAGAGTTTTAACTGACCTTATCTGTTCAAAGTGGATTGATTACAGAAGCCCAGATCATCTTTAGCAGTTGGGCTGAATGGGAGCCAGCCGGAAGAAATTTGTTGAAAGGCGCTTACGACGCATTGGAGCTACAATTCTGATAACCGAGATAACGTTTCTCTTTTTATCGTAAGATGAATTTTTTAAGTGTTCAGACCTTAATCACTTCTCCCCCCTCCCTGCCAGTCAAACTACCCATTTTATAATTTCGTTGACCCACAAAACCGTAAAAGGCATCGCCTGGGTTTTTAGTGAACACCCTTAGATTTAAGTCTGTAATTTATTTATCTCCGCTAACAGAGAATACATTGGGAATCGCTCTAATTTCCTGGTTTCTTCTCGTGTTTGCGTGTGTATTTTAACTATCACGTGTTGTCTTACGTATTTGAATAACTTCTTACACCTTTTACCCTTTTTTCAACAGACCGTCTGCCACTTGCTGACATGTCTATGTCTTGTATGCCACAGAAAAAACGTCCTGTCAGTGTTAGGTTTGATAGGAAAGCCTATCTTACAATAGAAAGTAACACTTGTCATCAATTACTCCATCTCCTGGAGAAAAAAAGGAACTAAATCCTAGAGTCGAGCAGCGATTTGACAATGATGACCTTGCTAAGTTAATGGGGCATTATAAAAACTGTTATATTCTTTGCAAGTTATTTTAGGTATGGCCTCTGAGGAGATGTATTTTTTTATCGCATTTGTCTTATCTCCACGAAATGGCACCGCTCTACGCCAAGTTTGCTATCTGTTTGTTTGAAGGTGAAATCAACAACCGCTGAGTACTCTGCAATATTCAGTGTAGAGCTGAAAATTGGCCACCCTTTCATCTCCATAACATATAGCTCACTAAAAACTTACTCGTGTCTAACTAATCGATTGTTGTTCTACTATCACCATGATAACTATGCGGAATTATGAGAAAATCCTACTTCTGCCTGTAGAAAACTAAAATTTAATCGATGCCTCAATTCATTTAAAATTTATACCCTCGCCATTGCTGGGGTTATTTCCCTCTTGCGTGATGCAATTTATGCTTTTGCATCATCTAAAGTTGGTAAATGTATCTGCTTGATGAAAGAAATATTCCCTCTTTCTAAGGGGTCAAGTGAACGAATGAATGGCCGCACTACAAGACACAATGAAAAAGATGCTCTTAGCGAAAATTTGATTGAGTTTTATCTCTCCTAAATTTAGCTGATACATCTGCCCGAGAGTTCTGACGATCCAGCCAACGTAATTGATATATCACTGAAATAGATATGATTTTCTTGAAATCACGTATCTTCCTAACTGGTTCAAGTATACCGACCACCTTTTACCAAAACTAACTTGGCTGTGGTTTGGCATGCTGTCTCCGCGTCAATGTCGCGTTTAGCTGCCCTTCTAGGGCTGAAGATCTGGTGAGCCCATTATGGTCGAGATATCTCCTCCCCGGACCAAAATAAAGCTTTGGTTTTGCATTGTCATTGTAGCTTTATCAAACTCGACTTAAGTCAAAAGAGATGAGACATTCGCTGGGTTGGATCTCTATACGGGTGCCATGAAGGATTCATTGATGAGGACAAACTACTATGCTTACACTGTCTGTAAGCTGACACTTTTCAGCGAAAGAGTTCTGGTCGTCACAGACTTCAACTATTCCACTTATCTTTGAGGCAAACATTCCAACACTATTTGCGGTCACTGTATGATTGAACAAAAAAGAAAAAAAAAACTGCGACCGATCTTCCATAAATATGAAAGTACATCATTTTTTACTTTGTGAGCTACAGTGGGAAATTCTTCAAGGGTCTTAACACCATCCATCATCCTTTATTTAGGTACAACTTAATCATCTTAACTTGACTATTATCATGTTTACCGTAAAAGACGCCAGCCTGATCTTTTTAACAAATACCCTTGTTTTGTTTGTCGAGAAGTACACCGAATATTTTTCAATGGCTTCTTTCCTTTTCTTCTTAAAACGCGCCGTCTTCTTTACAAAGTGAAAACAACCCCCCTTAAGAAGTAATAATCACATCGTCCTTAGATGTCATTCGGTGTCTGACTGTAAGTCGTTCCCAAATGAATTATAACTTGCATGCAGGAACTGCGTACTATATATTTTCTAACTTCGCTGTCCCAAGTAAACGGTCACTATTTTGCCTTCTTTGATAAAGTACTTCAACTTTGACTTTGTTTGTATGGGATAAGTTTAAAATGATCATCGATTGACCATTTTACCACGTCTTGTACTGAGCAACATTTAGAAATCTGAATCAAAAATATTTATGTCACGATTCTGTATAGGCTACACACGATTCTACTGCGTGATTACTGTTTGTCAAACTGTGTAGAGTGGGTTACTATATTATTGTGGACCATGGATGTCCACAGTGCTGGTGTCTGTCTCTGTCGATGATGTTCCTTGCTATTCATAGATAGTTAGGAGTCTTTCGCTCTAGTTAGGATTTCAGTGGATAGCTTTGTACTAATTCGAATTTGAAGAGAGCTATTTGGTGCGCATTGTTTTTAAATGCTTTCATATCCAAACCTAAAGGTAAGTTGCGGGTAAAAGTGAATTAACAATGTTGTTGGACAATATTTTTATTGCGAAACCAAACGAATAAAGAAATTGCCTTTTGACTGATCCCAGATTTACAATCCGTCAACAACCGCACACCTTTCCCACAATAAGATATTTCCTAAATACATTTTTCAATTAAAATGGGTCACCGTCTGCTAACATGAGTATTACCTTAGGAAGAGAAATGTAAACACGAACAACATCAAATTGTGACGCGAGTGGATGCACGAGCGAGTGTTTAGCAATCACTCAAAGAAACAAAATTTTTATTATGGTGTTAATTGAAGGCATTGCTCTTCTGTCGCGGCGTTCCTGACAACAGCATTCATCCCAGAGAAAAGACGCAGATTAAAAAGGTCAATTAAATGAGCAGAAGCGACAATAACGTAAATGTACAAAATTAGGATGCACAAAATTATTTAATCACTATTTATTGCATACCGTAAGACATGAAGCCAAATGTTAGCTTTGAAATACATGCACGTATGCGAGGAGGTTTCCGATTTGTTGAAATGCAAGATTGCATAATCATGTAAACTTTTGTAGTCGATGGAAATAATAAATCATCTTACAAACAATGACTTACTTCCTTTTCACTGTTCAGCACAAAGCAAAAGCTGTGTTCGAGGAGACGAGGAGGTCATTAAGACGAGTATTACATTTTCTGGGAAAGAGGTATCACTGGAGCCCACTTATCCGCCGCAAGCTTACACTATCGCTTGAGGACCAACGAGCTGGAATTGTGAATGTTAGATTTTAGCGATGAAATATAATAAATCATCGTAGTTTACGATTTTAACTTGATTGTCTCAGCCTCGGATTACCAGCTCTAAGTAAACTGGGTAGCTTCCTAATCAATATCAAATGTTTGCAAAGCAAAATCCAGGCTTAGTGTAGATCTCAATAAAGTCTTGAACTCTTCATGGTTTCCGCCCGAACCCACGAAAAGCGACATGTTTGGAATGTGGTCAGTAATCAGTCAATTACTCGGATGATCCGCATCCTTTTCCCAGGCCGATGGGAATTTACATCACACTTACGTATGAACTAAAGGCACGTTTCGCCCCAGATCTACTTGAAACTAGGCGTTCCAGTTTGTTTATAACGCATACAAACAAACTGAAAGTGCTCGAATGTTCAAAAATGGCCCATCAGTTTATTGTGAATGGCCCAAGTAGCAATTCCGGCACGAAATAGGTGCTCTTACCTCCTAAACTTATTTACTAAGTCACAATTGGACATGATTGTTATTTCTCCTTGCAATCGATGACTTTTCTGTTTGAATTAAGGGTCGTTTACTGAAACAATTAGCAAAGATTATAGGAAAAACATCATGCTTGCTGAAGTTATAATTTTACGAGAAGGGATGTAAAGACATGTTGGAATAGACGACCTGAAGGTTGGAGGATGGACAAAAACTGGGTATAACATTGTAAAATTGTGGCACAGGGCGAAAATGAGTGTTCACTTCTCCACAGCAGGGAAAACCAGTTTGAAAATGGCTAAACATACTGTTCATTTCTTCCCAGCGCAAACTGGCTTCATAATCCGGCGCCATTTGTTTCTTCCACTTTGTTCGCCGATTTTGAAACCATGTTTTGACTTGAGTGTCTGTTAGATGAAGTCCCTTCGCCAAATTGTTTCTTTCTGTAATTGTCAGATATTTCTTGTCGTGGAATTTTTCCTCCAAAGATTTTAATTGGGTACTGGTAAACGCTGTGCGTCGTCTGCGAATCTTGTTGATGTAAAGGCTCTCGCGGCTCGAAGGCACAGAATCATCCACGTAACTTAGGTTTTCCTCCGATGAATTAGTGACATAAACTGTCTCTTCTTCTTTCAAAGTACAACTTTCTTCGTCATCTAAAGCGAAACAATACTCCACGCAATTAGGAAAGATTTTCGACGCGTTTATTTCAACTGAACAATAGTTCTTGTCAATGAAATTAGAAGCAAACTTACTTTCCTCGCCTGTGCTTTCTCTTGATTCATGAAGGATGTGTTGACCTCCTGAGGAGCTTGAATCTTCATTTTTGTGTTCGGAGTGTCCCAAAATGGCATTGATACTGAACGAAGCCATAGACATGTGATGCTCACGAGGAGAAGAATGTTAATGACGATAACTTCCCCTGGAAAGTAATAAAATCAACAACCATTCGTAGCTGTTAAATATTGTGATACTAACATCCGGAGACGATTAATCTCTTTGACAGCCAATTAGATATGTCTGATAACCTTCGTATGTTTCCACTTAAGAGAACAAAGAACCGGTAAATGTTTAGCGCTAACTATAAACAGAGAGATATAAGCGATCAATATGACATATAGATAATTATATCAACAAATATTTGACTGGGAAGATATGAGATTATGTACTGCGTTTGTCTCCAGTTAAATTGAACACCTCAGCCCCGCGGTTGTTCTCTTGAATCCTTGATCGTTTTGAACTTCAAACTGGGTTATTTTTACCCTCCCACTAGAAGTAACAAATAATCAAATTAAAAAAGCATTTTCGCAATGAAGTCAAGGTTCGTATAATTGCGTGAGGAATTATAAACAAATGTTATTAGAGGCCTTATAAGACTTGGAATTGATTCAACAAATGTCAAGCTCATTAAAGCCGACAATTGCCTAATTATCGAATTTCCTGTACTCTGTAGTTCCATTTAGACAAGTTTGAAAATTATGTTTCAATGTTGGTATGGTTGTTTACGGTTTGTGCTCAAGGAAAATGTTGCTTAATAGGTAGAAGAATTTAACCTTTTTAAAGACAACGTTTTTATCCACTTGACATTAGGTGTTAGATCCAAGTTCAAAGCTTTTAGATGATGAATGATTTGAATGTGCAGTGTGAATTCCCCCGCGAAGAGTTAATTTACAGATGTTTTAATAATGATTAGATAACATAATCAACTAACACTTAAACTCGAAGTTTAAATCATTTGTGGTTATTTCGGGATCAAACACGTTGTTTTTTCCCTACAGAATACTTATCTATCTGAATATAACCTCATTTTATTTTCGCAACTTTGCATAACAAATGAAGAATTGATGTCAGATGACAGCTGAGAACAACTAGACTTGAAATAATCCATGGACAATGCAACATAGCAATGACACATACTTGTACAAAACAAATTAGTCCACAAGCTGAAGATTGTATATTGGTTGGAAGAATGGAATTCGTGACCACATGTCGGAGCGCAGAGTAACCGTGAACTGTGTATCGCTTCAAGGGCGACCAAGACACATACACAAGTAAAATTCTTTTCGCGTGCGATGTTTAGATTCGACATCATTGAAAAAGTATTAACTTTCTTACAAAGTAATCCATGCTATGAGTAATCCTGACTTCCTGAGCATTTAGCCTTATTGGATCAGGCGTTGCTATGCTTAAGGCCAACATCCAAGTGTACTATTCATCTGAAAATTTTCTCCTATTTCTGTGGTTTCTTGGCACTAATTCGGAATCGTCGGCCAATGGCACCTTCTTAACCAGGGTAAATGCCTATAAGCACAGGTCATTGGGATAATCCTGTTGTAAGCAGTTTGTCATAACTCTAATCTGGGGCATTTGTTTATAAACGTTTACTGCCTTAAAGTAAGTGGTTTTACTGATCGGTAATTTAGATGAATGAGACCGTTCAGCCCCCAAACATAAATCTGGCTTTGAAGTCAAAGCTTCTGATCTCTTTGCTAACTGGGCACATTCCGGTCCTAGACCCTTGGCTCGAGGGCAATACTGTGTCCGTGGGCGTCTGGTATAAGAGGTTACCGCGTCCACAAACATGAACCATCCATACCATTCCAAAATTATCAGTATTAGTCTCGTGGCTATGTACTTACCCTGCTGTCCATGAAGACCGTACGAGCGAAGCTGAGCCGAGTGTTGTTTTCACAACGACCCTAAACGTTGTTGAAGGAAGGCTGTACAAGTTGATAATATTCTCGGATTTTAAAATAATTACTTTTCTACCCGCTCTAGTGTCAAAACCCGTAACACTTCTGTCCGGTATCAAAGGCTTAGTCCTAAGAAAACTTCAAGATTTTAACGACTTGCCAAGGGAGGATGATAAATTTTGATCTTATTCGGAGAATAATGAATTTTTTTACAAAGTATCGCGTGCATGGGATATAAAAACAGTTCTTAGGCTCCCACCAGAAACTGAACTCTGTACCTTTTTATTTCGTGATCACATACTCGTCCACTGAGTTACAGAGAACTTATTGTTATAGATTTGTATGTTACACATGAGTATTAGTGTTCTTGCTGCTGCAAGGATGAATACAGTCGAAAGCGTTCAGTGCGCTAAAAGATAAACGAAGATACTGATTCTTGAGTAATTTTTTTTTATAAATATCAGGTATAAATAATGATTGACGGATGTGAATGCGCATGCTTATTAGTAAGTTGTGGCTTGGATTAGTTGATATTGTAATCGTGTAAATCATCTTCCTGGTCTGATTGTGATCAAGAATATTTCGTTCAAATTTTTTTCAAATATGCCCTGAGCGATTTGACAAATCACTCTCTAAAAAACTCTTAGCCTTCCTTTATTTACCAACGGCAGCTGCTCTATTAAAGAAGACTCATTGCATTGGGAGCTCGCAGATAAAACAGTCATCTGTGGTCAGCAAAAGGCAATAAAATTTATAAGGACATTCGTGAGCTTTATTTGATCAGATCTTTCACGAGTGCTGGCTTAATCCGGATATTATTCATGTGCTAATCGAAATAATTATTCTTCCTTATTCTTCTAAACGACCATCTGTCTCACTTTGAGGTTCTAAATAATTGGATTTTTTAAAAAGTTTTAATGCACAATTAAAGTCAGAATGAAAAAAAGATCTTTAAAAGACTGCTCTGTTCGAACATCAAATGAGAGCAAAGTGTTAAGGTAATCATGAAATAAACCCGTGTAACGTGTAAATCCATCGGGAATATTCTCATTAACACGTGCAACTTTGAACAATGGATCTTTGCTTTTCCAATAAAACCAACTGCTTGAATTGAAAAAGTTCTCATAAATTTTGTTAGCTTTTGTAATGCAAATGAACTGAATGGGAAAGCGCTAACAAACAGCAATGTTTTGCATAATCATTTTAGGTAAGAATGAGTCATTTCTCAGCTTGAAGCAGATGAGACAAAGATAAATTTATTTGCGCTCTTTTACTGAGAAGTAGGTGACCTGTCAAGTTAATTTTAAATATTCAATTCCTTGGTTTTGAGCCAAGATCAGCTTAGCACAATACATGCTCCAAAAGCCAACTGAAGGGAATAAAAGAAACGCTTAATCCTTGAAAATATGGAAAGTTGGTCAGTGGATATTGTTCTTCTGCCTTTTTACATCCTCATCGTGATAGCTGGGATTTTAGGAAACATTTTGTTTATTACCGTGGTCAGGAGGCACCGATCTATGCATACTACTACTAACTTTCTCCTGGCTAACGTGGCGGTTTCTGACATCATTTCCTTGGTGTTTTGTGTACCGGGAATTATTCTGCGATTTGTGGAGCACCCAAGCGGTAATGTGGGTAGTTTTCTATGTAAGTTTGTGACGATGCATCTGGTTGCAGGGATCACTTTACTCGTTTCAGGACTCACCCTTACTCTTATTTCAATTGAAAGATACAAAGCTTTGCTGCGACCCACGAGTTTGCACTTAAAACTCCACAAACAACGCGTTATAATTGCGATTTCCCTTATTTGGGGATTTTCCATCGCTTTTGTTTTGCCTTTGTTTATAAAGCAGAGATACGAGGAAAAGGTGAAGCAGTGCTTTATGGAGTGGAAAGAGAGTAATTCTCGAATTTATTGGACACTGTTGGCGACACTGGTGGGTGTTGCAGTCATCACTATGACTTTCTGCTATTTTCAAATCATAAAAGCTCTTTACTTCAATAACATACTTCCTCCTAATGAAAGCAACATCGAGCAAGACGACAAAGACAAACAAAAAATCATAACAATTTTGATAACAGTCACGTTTTCTTTCGTCTTATGCTTTATTCCGTTTATAATCGTCTCGGCGGTCAATCTCTCCACTAGAAGCCTGCTGTACAAATTGTCATATTTTCTTGTTTACACCAGCTGCTGTGGGAATCCAGTGGTCTACATATTCCAAAGTGCAAAGTACAGAGCGGGATTAAAGGAACTATTTAAGGGAAGGCCAGCTGTTCGCCGAAGCGAAAGGTCTTTAGAATTGTAACTCTGTTTGTGACGTTGGTCGCTTTGATCGCGTTTAGCGATATGGTATCAAACGAGATAAAAATTACTTTAGGCCACCATAATGTCGTTTTTTCATAAAGAGATTCTTCATGACAAACATTCGTGACTATGCCAACGGATAGCCGCCTGAAGACATCTTCATGTCCGGTCTTATAATAAGAGTATTGGCTGGTTTAAAAAAAAATAATCTTGTTAACTATCGTTGAATCATGGTTACGTGGTTGCATTGCCATTACGTTCGTATATTAACGCAGAAAGGGCATTAATTCGAACCGTTATTTCGTGATGATCAGGTAAGAACACCATCGAGATAGACTTGAACAAATATGGTTGGGTTTATCACTAGCCATATTTAAGGGTACTGAAAATGCACAACACAACTAGTGAAAACAACTTCTTGTTACTATCCGCAAGCTTTTCCTGATCATGATAGATCAGACTTGAAGCCTATGATGCTTGAACCAAAGAAATTCTCCGCCGCGTCCTTATCAATTTTCGGCCTATTTTTTCTTTATCCACCGAAAAACGGATAAAAGTTGACAAAACAAATCCAGGGAAGATAAAACTGGTGACCATAATCATGTTTTAACTGAATACGCCTTTAAAATCAGATAATTCTGCTGACATGATGACTAAAAACACAACATGAATAAAATGATTTGTTGTTATTCCATTCAGTCATGGAATTGGAAGCAGTCTGAAGGTGAATTAGACAGTTCAGTCTTATCAAATCCATTTGTAGATATCAGGAGTCATTAAGTTCGAATAATCGCTAACTTATTCTCAGCTGTTTTCCTCGTGTGTTTTTTTTCTTTTTATTAATGAGGTCAATGACAGGAAGGATAGAAGAGATCCGTAGATATATTTTGGTTCACTCATTCGTGGTGGTAAGGTAACTAGCCTCTTTCCTGCCTAATGTGACTAATGTGTGATAACGTGCCCCCCGGCAGGGTTTATTGCAGTGGATTTGTTAACGGTGACCACTAATAAATTGAATTTCTTCTGAAATCGGAAGATCTGTGGTTCATATCTCAACGGGGTGCTAATTCTTCCTCTCATCCTCACGGAAATTATTTTACTTTACTTTTCATTTTTCAATGTTTCCTTCATCATTGAAAACATCATCTTCAAAATGCTGCAAGATGCAGGAGTCACGTATCCACCCTTTTCGAATTGCCATTTCACATTTTTTTATCATCTTAAAATTATTCTCTAAGTATTTTTTAAAATTTCTTTGGAATTTTACGTCCTCCATGGAATGCAGAGACAAAGCTTATGCAAACTATCTGTGTGTTCCTTTGAGGGCTGCATTTCGTCCGAGAAAGACTGGGAATAAGCCCGAGAGGGGGCAGTATAGTATTAGGCTTCATTATTCTCCATCTTCTTTGTAACCAGTCACTTGTCAGTACTTCTTTTCGCTCGGTGTAACAAATGCTTTCAGTCAGATCTTTATGAAAATAAATATCTTATTACCTTTTCTTTTTGAAGTTTCTCTTTGACGAAATGACAACAGGTTCCGGTTTAGTTGTAAAGCAATATTCCTCACCCAGCTATATTTCAACATACCTTTTTTTGCACTGTAATTATCTCTAGATTTATTGACAAAAGATATAACTAATGCAAATAGGCGTGGAGGTTGCATCTTGCAATGCAGTGGGAGACTGGCGTAAGTTGTATTTTGCTCATGAAAAATGTATTTTCAGTTAATTGTCCTTCATCTAATAATTTTTTCTTTTAGATTTGTTTGACGGAGGTGAAGGGAAGATTTACTTAGCGATCACATAATATTTACCCTTATCTTTACAGAATTTTGATTAGTAACTCTCAGAAACGATAGAGTTTCGTCACTCTGTCGTTGTAAGTGATCGGAACTTAAACATTCTCTCTAACAAGGGGAAATCACTGGGAAGATTGATTGGTGTGACCTTAGTTCCCCTAAATACGGATGCATTTTTTGCGTAGTTTGTTGTTTTTTCGGCTCTGTGAGTGTCCAACATTCCATTAATTACATTTGGAGATTTATTCGATTACCTTTGGTAGTTCAAGGACCTCAAAACGCCATGCAATATTTAAGGAGATGGCCAGGGATGAAGATTATTCAGCTAGGTCAGTTTGTCTGCTAAGAGACTGGCCCTATTGCGCAAATTTCTCACTTGCGCATGATCTACTTCAAACTTAAAAATTTCGTCTTCTCGTCATCACTTAAAATCAGCAGGTATCGCAAAAATGCGATGCACATATAATGCTGTTATGTTTACTCCACATTGTATTTTGTTTTTTTGAGTTCTTTATGGGTCATTTATGAAACATTAGCGTTGTATCATTAAGGAAGCATCGGTCCAAATACTAGCTAGAACATCAGATGCTGATAAGAATTATTATTTAATTATTATATGGTAATATCTACCAGTTCAATACTATAGACAGCTGTTGTAAACGACAGCTGAAATACATTTCAAATAACTTCGTTATACAAAAAATTGCACAGCATTACAAATCTATTTCCAAAGTAGTAGTTTCCACCATGAGTCTGAAACTGTTGTTACTGTTTCCTATGAGGTGTCGCCTTTGCGCTGAATTTTGTACTGACAAGGTGCAGAGCAAGAATGTTCTAAACGAGTGCGGACAATTCGCGAAGAGCTATTTTAGTTCAGAACTATTAATAGCTGCCACAACATTACAGATTATGAGATCTGCCGAAAAATAACACAGTTTGAAAGAAATATAAGAATGAAGAAATTAACCCATAAAGCCGGCAGTTGGATGCGCGGGCATTGTAGTCATGTCACCGTAAACAACATGCAGGTTAGACGACGGATAGAAACTGTGTATCGTGTTTAAGTTTTGAAGCTGTAATGCAGGGTGGAGTAGTGATGGCATTTCTCGTCCACAATAAGAAATACCAGTCTGGAGGTGATTAAAGACACATTTCATTTCCTCCAACCGCATACTCGCCTCAAAGTCAGGCGCCATTTGCTTTTTCCATTTAGTCCGCCTGTTTTGGAACCACGTTTTAATTTGAGTATCGGAAAGACGAAGGCTCTTGGCCAAGTTATTTCTTTCAGTGATTGTTAAATATTTCTTACTGTTAAAAGTATCTTCTAGAGATTGTAACTGGTTGCTTGTAAATGCTGTTCTTCTTCTACGGGTTTTGTTGAGATGAAGTTCTTCACGGATGACTGGTCGATGATATTCATGTGGCTCTTCATCTAAAAAGTTTTCGTTCGCTTCATCTAAGCAGTAGAAAATACCACTCGATTAGACAATATATTTAATCAGAAGATCTTTACGAGCTTCCAAATTGCCCATTTGACATTGTGAAGAGGCAACCCTGACAAATGAAACAAATTATTGTCTCTACAGAAATAAAGACATGAAAGACACAAACCTGTTTCACAGGCGTCTGAAGGTGAGTTCTCAGCCACATGATGTCCTTCGGCATATGTTTTTTTCTCCTGTTTCAGGGACGAGTTTCCCAAAATTGCGTTTATGGTAAAAGAGGCCATGAAGTTGATCTGGTACGAGCCGCTCACTAAGAGAAATTGAAACGCCTACGGGATTGCACAAATTTGTGTAAACCCATAGCTGCTAAATATTATGATACCAGTATCCGGACTATTAATGCTTTGACAGCCAATTAAGATAATATTTGATGACCCGTGGGATGTTTCCACTTGACGAACAAAAGAGCGGTAAATGTTTGAAACTCTATATTAAGGAAAAGGTCAGGGTTTTGTCACTTTGGCAAAACGCTAATTAGATAGAAATTTTTGGCTGGCTTTAAACAGAGCTATGTAAAATAACATCAAGGCGATCATCGACCTAAAAATATCCTCACTGTGAAATTCTTTGCCAACTTTTATTTTACGAGAGCTTGTTGGCTGGCTAGCTTTAGAATTCACAACACCAACCACGTAAGACCTGTTTAGGAACGTGAATGTTTTTGATTTATAAATATAAATTTATCAATGAAGCTTCATATTCATAGGCCAGACAATCCGTCATCACGTGATCTGTGCTTCTTTTCCCTTCCATTCGTTACTAAGCAATTATTGCAGCTTGAGCAAATTGCAAAACCCCTAACTTTGAGAGTGGTTTAATTTGATAAGCTCAATTACAGTAAGAACGGAAAATGATTTTCACCGCACTGGGAATTATCTACCGCACACAGAACTGTTGAAACATTTCAAGCGACCGTCCCCTGCAAAGGGTTAATTTGAAGATATGATTTTACTTTGAAAAAACGCATTGGAACAGCCCAGTGAGGTCATACATTTTGGCAGCTTTTGACGAATTCAATATCAAAATTTGTGTTAACGTTTTGCCAGTCGTAATAAAAAAAAAAAAACCGAAAGAGATGGATCAGAGCGCCAGAGCCCTGATTACTCTCGATATATTATAACGAAACAAATGGCGCTTCAGACAAACCCCCTATAAAATCTGACGTAACCTCATGTACTGTCTTTAGGTGCTCATAATTTTTGACAGAGAAATCCAACGTCGCGTGCCATTCGCCTTGGCTGGTCATTGCATTCTTAACCCCCTCAGTATTCGATTTTATGAATCTTAAAGATCATCCTGATTATCCGCATTTCCTGAAGGTAACTTGAACGCCGCCGATACACGTTGCTATCCTCTTCTCGAGTAGTATATCATTAATTTTTCTTTTCCTTGAAATATGCCGCAATTGGAGGTTGGTTGGTTACACTGATTAGACAAATTTCTGAATGAGCATGTACGTATAATCTCTTAAGCCGTTAAAGAGTCCCTAGATCTAAGGGAATCATCTCGAGTATTTGTTTACACTACTTTGTTACCTCAATCAAGTGGTTTTATCGAGAGGTCATTAAAGCATTTAACGGGTGGAAACGATATCCCTTATTTTGGCAATCATCAAGTGATAGTTTAACAGACAAAATTGTTTCTAAGATATGTGCAAAATGAGGGCGAAGCCTTACCATCGTGGGCGTTGAGGTTTTTCTTTTCAGGCTTTTCCGCGTTTGATTCTTGTGCCCGTTGTTATCAATGCTAAGGATTGTGATCACTTCATTTATATCTATTTCTACACTCTACTACATATGCTGACCGCAACAAATGTTACAATAAAGCAAAGGATCCAGAGAGTTAAGATGTTCAACATATCTAACCTGGTAGGTTTCACGAGAACCTATAATCTGGTATTATTGTAAAGATTTAAACTTGGGTCAGTGAATGATATAATTTTCTTTTTGGGGTCGAATTTATATTGCTTGTTTTTCCAAAGCCTCATTTCATAATCCACAGAAGAATAAACTGTCTATTGTTAAATACTTGTGCTGTTTTGTATCATATATTGCATAATTGTTGATATCTAACCATCATCTTCCAGTTTGTCATGTTAGTAAAATAACCAGGTGTTTTGGGTTTTAAAATGGGAGACTTTTTGCCATGGGACCAGGTTGTATTTAAAATCATAATGGAGCTGCGAGCTTAGACATGATCGATGGTGAAGGATCCTATGTAACTAGAAATGATCAGTCTGTCAAAGCGTGTTACGTTGTGCCGGTGATGTTATCATTTTATTTATTTGGTTTGTTTTCAGCTAAATATTTGTTAAATAATTTGTCCATTAGTTTCTTGTGCGTTTTCTTTGTTATGATGTGGTTCTTTTAATCAATGACTTTCACTCTTCACTCTGCAAGCAACATATTTCCTTAACACAACCCTCAGCATCACGCAACATGGCAGTCTTATTGTGGTTAGCGGCGGCACGACTTAATCTGACATAAGAGTTCAACTGGTTTGAGTTAGCTTCATTTAGTGGCTCTTAACGGCCATTCATTCTTAACAAATCTTAACAGGAAATGACATCCGTTTTTTCATTTGTATACAATCCGTCATTCATTCTCCTCATGCCTTTGTTCGTTTTATTGATGAAATGTTAGAATTATTCATCAGTCGGCGAAAAAAAATGGATTATATCATAATTGAAGTGAACAATTCCTAGAAAAAAGAAGCAAATCTGATGAACTTTACTTTAGTCTATTTTTGTCCAAGGTGCGATGTTAAAATATTGTCTCACCTTCATCTCTTCGGTACTTTCGCAGTTGTGGTGTTATCCGGATCACGCGAGTGTATTTACTGGAATTAGTAATAACTTCCTTCTTCATTTGTTAAAAACGTTATCATTTATAGTTTGCAACTGAACTAAGTTTGCCGAAATAAAGCCGCATATTTCGTGTCTTCCTGCTAATGATTGTCCGTACTCAGCTAAATGTAAAACACCTTCATGGTAGTTTGTCAGTCTGTTCCATTTCCATAATAGATAGAGATTTGAAATACGCTGCTATGTGAGCCTTTTTCAATCTTATTGGAGGAAACATGGTGGGGGATCTAGCTTAAGTAGTGAGCAGTCTTAAGAGAAGCGAAGCACGGAATACGTTATTGCAGAAGGAAAGGAAAAGCATTAGAAATAGTTTGACAGTTGAACTTTCCAGGGCGATGTTGTTCATATTGCTTCTTTCAGCCTTACTATTCACCAAAATCCAGTGTTGCTTTCTATCGCGATTTTGTAGGCCGATTCTATAACCATATTTTGACATGTATCTCGGAAAGGCAGAGGTCTTCCACTCTCTAAGTTCTTTCAGACATGATAATCACTTCTCACTGTGTAAGACACTTACGCCTACTGCTTGCGATGGCTGGCGGTGCGCAGTCTACGGATTTAGCCGTTGTAGGAGATGTTTATTTTGTCTGTATCTGGGCAAAATCTTTGGCTTTGAAGCTTCTCAACTGGGATGTCAGGAACTCTCTCTCCACATAGAGCAACGATTTCGTTTTTTGTGGCCCAACATAGAGTCTAAAAAATTAGAAAAAGGAACAATATTTCATTTCAGGACTTACTGTCCTCTTGAGAGTTACCAGTTACTTAGTTTGGCGAAAACGGAAGAGATTCCTCTCATTTTCAAAATACAAAAATATCTTGAGGACAGCCCGCCTTGATCAAAACAAGAAAGAACGTTGATTGTTAGGCGTTTGAGACAAAAGGGAATTCCACGCCTTGTGAAATTTACTGAAAATTTTAAAATGCCACAGGACGTTGAGCCTTGACATTGGATGGCACAGGCCTGTTTGCTGCAAATCACCACAATCACCACAATCGATGCGATCGATGTTTTGATAACTGTTTAGTCAATATCAACATTAGCCCCCAGTTAGATTATTTGATAGCTAATTAAGATAATGCGCTAATTACTCGCGCTTTGACAGTACTAAAAGCACCGACGTATATCATCTGAAGAATAAAAATTGTTAATTGGATCACGAAGAAAGGGATCAAAGAATGATGATCTTTTCGATAAACTTTTGCTTTCAGCGAGATATAGGAGGTCAGTTCTGCTGATGATAAATCGAATATGACTTTACTGCTGCTTACATACCGAACGTTAGGAACGAAAAAGGTATTTTGGAATTAGATGACACATGTTACCGAGGCAAGGATTTACTGAACAACATACATATTCATTTGTGCTCTGGTAGATAACTAAATGGCCATGTAGAAATCATGAAATATGCAATGTTTTTCTGCGGTGAAGGGAGAAACCAATGACCGAACTGTCAATTAGATCCCATCATTCCATGTGCATTTATCCTTAAAATAACTAAGTTCGGCAAGGCTATGAAATTTCATTTAAAATCGCCGACATATCTAAACAAAGAAGAATGCAATATAGGCATTGCTGCTTCGAGATACACGGTATTGGCGTCTTATATTGGGTCGAGATTGGTGTTAATTGGCCAGGCTATAGGCCAAGCCAAGGGCCACCATGAGCAGTAGGGTTTTTTAGTTCTACCAAGATGGAGGGTGGTTAAACACAAACTAATAATCATGACTTGTAAAATGGACCAAAAATGTTCAGTGACCGCAAGAGACTTAATTTTGGTGGAATCTGATCATTGGAGTTGGATTACTCAGACATACCTTTCTAATAAAAGAGGCTTAGAGAGAACATTCATAGATGGCATATTAAAAGGAGAAACCGCTGTCGCAAGGGATGAAACTGAAAGAAGTACTTGAAATGCTCATGGTCTTCAAAGATCGCTGGCTACGTCATTTACCCTGCGAGCAGTAGCTCCTTCGGCGAGCCAGGCTTAGGCGGTGCTTGCAACCGAGATCACCGCCTCCCCACTCTGTCGTTTTATAGGCATATTCTAACACCTTTAAGATAAGTTAAGAGTTTTCTATCGTCCCAGCGGTTGGAAAATAATTTGACTCGAGGTTCAAATGTGAACGTGACTGATCAAAGGTTGGGTCATGATAATTTCAGCAGGCAGAAACCTACACACCACAATGACTGAAATTTATTGCCTAAAATACTGTGATTGATTGCCTCAATGAGCAAGCGCTTCAATCTATTTCCAATTCCTTGTGACACCATCAAAGGGTAGATATCCCGGATGATAAAACAACCAGCTAGCATGCGTTTGGCAAAATCAGTTTAGATTTCTTCTAGAGATGTGGCAACGAATCCATGTACGAGGGCTACGGTGTATACAGAGAAATTTTAAATCTGATCGATGGAGTAGACGAAACACTTCAGGCCCAGACAAAGACTAAGGTTGATCTTTTTATTTTCAATATCGATTCACAAGCCGTGACATAGATTAAAAATTGTGACGATACAAATACCAAGAGGTGTTTATCTTTTCTTATTTTGTATCAATTCAACTTTATTCAAATGGAGTTGACTAAAACTTAATAATCAATCAGTGAGTAACTCGCAGCTCGAGGGGCTCATTATGGATCAGCCTTTGCACATCAACCCCGACACATTGGGTTGATCTGGATGAGTGACTGAGCATCATTCTTTACGGGGATTTTATGAAATAAGATAAAAAAAAATTAGACAAGCTCTTCCTTCTGAGCTGTCCCTCATCAGATTAGTACATTGCAATCATTTTTGACTGCGACCCGCTGCAAAACGGACGAAACAGTTGCTTCTGTATAAGGGTAAGTTTGTTAAAAGTGTTTACCATCCAAGTAGCCCGAGTACCCCTCATGAGACTGTACTTACAATACAATATAATATTTATTTGCCATATACGACATTTACACATGGAAAAAAAAAAATGAAGAAAATTGATGACAGAAAATAAATGGCGAGAAAACCTGAAAGAAACCACGAGGCTTACTGTACTTACGAAATGGCTTACACCTCAGACCCAGGCCTAAGCCAAAAGTTGAGAAAAAAATTATTGTCAGAGGGCGCTGGTCCTTTGAGAGATGGACATTAGTTTTGCTAAATTATCGTTCTGTCGCCAGTTTCTACTTTTTTAGCTCGTCTTTTTACGACTTCTTCGTTTAGTTTGTTTTTTCGTTCAAAAATTAATATTTAATTTCTCCGTTAAGTGTCAATACAATGCCAAGCACACAACTTCGGTTTTGAGGAAGAACGAAAATATCGGTCAGAGGAAATTGTGTTCTCTAGCATCAAACTCGCAGGAACAACATTGTGAGGATAATTAATTTGGGAGCCTCGGGACTTGAAGAGTTGATGATAAACCATTTCTAACCGTACCTCACTGTGATTTCCCAATGAAGGAAGATTGCTAGGTCTCCATCACCGCCAAAGGGACTGGGGTCGATATATTCCTATCTCACAGGTCGATCCTATGTTTTGAACGCTCAACCAAGATGTTGGACTTTAGAAGTTTTAATTCCGGAGTATCAGTCTACTAGCCAACTGACTCTCCGCTGAAATTTTTCCTCAATAGGCTGATCCTTTTCATTTGTTCAGAACATGGCACAGTTGCGACAACTACTTACATCTTAAATTGTACAAAATGTCACGGTCGGTAATCCCTGAACTAGCAAGGTGTTGAATGTAGAATTATAAGCCCTTCCGAGAAAAATTCACTGATTAATTTAAAGACAACCAGCGGACACATGTAATTCACTTGTATCGTTTTCCTGAACCAAGAGGCCTGAAATTCTCTGAAGAATATTTTTTTCAGAAACGAACCGTGATCACTGAATTAGCTAAATATTTGAATGATTCTGCTTTTCATTGAAAATGTGTGATATTCACAAGACAAAATAGTACGAGTAAGGAGCATAAAACAAAGTTTCTAACGGACAAATATGTTTGTGCGTGATCAAAGTTCTATGAAGCACTCTGTAACTTCTCTGTAGCTTCTCGACAGCTTCCCAAAGCCAGCTTGGGTTCCGTTGGTCAGTTGTTGAGGGTTACATAAAGACCGACCACAAACACAACACAAAAGCACTTTCAAAAATAAGCGTAGCGATTAAAAGATTTATAAACTAGCTTAGCACTTTGATCATTATATGTCAGTTAAATGCTCACGGAAATGTCTGATCTTTAGTTTTTTTCTTTCCGGTGTTAGCGCACAACCTGACGTAGCAGGATGCGCGGCAGTTGTGAAGGCTCTGTAATGAAATACACTTGTGCGTTTTGGCGATTGCAATACAATCGACTAGATATCTGACCATATATCATCAACAAGATGTGTTTCACTGTGTGTATTTGTTACTTTCTCCTCAAAATTCTACCATCTTAAACCCAATAGGATCAACTTGGATATACGTTCGCTTCAGTATTCAACATTTTGAAATTCAAAAGGCTGGTCCAGTTCATCTTGATGGTGTAAATAATTTGTTATCCTCGACTCGTTGTATCCAGACACCACAAAGTTCCTGCGCCATTTTAACAGACTTGATCTAGACAATGATATGAAAATTTTTTTTGTCGAGACAATGAGATTCACCTTTTCTTCAGACAAAAGAAGTTTCACTTGAATTCTTACGAAAAGACGCCTTGCCAAATCTGTCAAACTTTCCTAGTAATCTTTGCCGGAGAGCACGAGACAGACGATCTACATTCAGTTGGCGGAAGCAGTGGGAATTTATGGTAATTGAAAACATATTAGTAAAATTGCTGTGTAAGAGCGCATAAGGCAACTTGAATGGGCTCGCGCTGGTTGACTTAGCAGGCGGCTTCAGTAACCAGAGCTCGATCAAAGGGTGCAGGAATTCACTTCCTCTGAGATAAAGGGGATTGCTGTTTTACCGACTTTTCGTGTCTAAAAGTAGAATTCACTAATCCTTTGGATAAACGTCAGCCGCTTCGTAGCAAGAGAAAACTAAAATTTCTATGACCTTTTGTTAATTTCTAGTTCCTTTACCCAAAATGGAAAAACAGAAAAATACCAGGAAAAAGGATGATCTTGTTTCAAAATTGGATTTTGACCTCTGTTTTAAGGGAAATTTTTACGGTTGAGTGTGGATAGGTAGGCCATTGTAACTAACCGTTAGCCCTGGCAGTTCTTTAAGCCGCTTAACATCTTAATATTTAAATAATATGTATCATTCATAATGTACTTTGTGAAATCTTACCATCAATACCTTTTTATTTAGGGGTGTGTTTTTGACATTATGATTCTTTAAATAGTTTCAACATTTGCTGAGAATTTGTTCTTTACCAAAAGGTGACTTTATTTGAAGCATTGAGAGATTAAATGTCCAAACATTAGTTCGTTTTACAAAGAAAAGGATGAAACAAGGCAGGTGGTACTCCGATCAAATTTGGGTGATTGACAAAACATATGCTTGGTGAACTAACAAAAAGTTTGTAATACTACTATCACTCCGCTCCACTCCCTTCACTGTGGGAAAGAAGGCTTGTAAGTTGGATGTTGCTTCACCGAATTTCACGAATCATAATAAAGTTTTTTTTTTTCCAGGAGATCAAGGAAGGAAAAATGTTATGTCTACAAATTCTGTGCTTTGTCACTTTAAAGGAGTCGTCCAGTTTTTCTATGAAGCAACAATTAAGAGGCTTTTCTTAACTGCCGACGTTTTATTGATGAATGGAAAAATACGACAATTTCTCGATAGGAGTCATTTAGGTATTTCCGCCAATAAATTAACAGCACATTTTAGTTTCAATGTAGATTAAAGTTTCAGCACTTAGAGCCATTTGTCAGAGGAACCAAGTTGGTCATACCACAAGAAAACATAGTAACCAGATACGGTTATCTCAGGATAAACACCGCTTACCCTCAAAACAAACCATCATATTGAAATTTTTAATCGATGGCTAATTCTGAATCAAAAGGCAACACTCCTTTCGCGAACTCATCGTTTATTAAAACATGATGATTTTGGAAATTTCTTTATGGAAGGTCATTTTAACTGCTCTTTATATGATCGTTTGTTATAGCGTTGTGGTGCTATTAAAGCATGTGGCTAATGTGTGCCCTCCTCGTGAAAGATGGGCCCTGGGGCTAACCAAATGGTTGGATTTGTTTGTGTTTGGATAATATCCATCTTCACCGGAATGTTCTATCAAGAGGGTCTGTTAGAGAGGTAATGATGTATTCAACACATTTTATGTATAGAGATGCACTTTTTCAATCCTTCAAATTAACTTGATTTAACCCTTTAGAAATTCTGGCCGATTTGACAATCTTTTCGCTTCAGGATATAATTGAGCATAAATACGGTGAATGCTCCGCACAGCAAGACACTTTCCGTCGCATTAGATCACATATATTTTAAATTTGTTACAACGTGTGTTCAATTATTCGACCCACTGAGCCAAAGCTACTGGTCTTTTTTCTAAGTTGCTTCCCAGTTAAGTTGTCATAATAGATAATCTTCAATACCGCGGCGTGAGAAGCACGAGGTAAGACGGTCAAACGACTTATCTTAAATTTTCTGTTACCCCTCAGGAAATGATTTTTTTTAGTAGTTATCTTGAATACTTTCATTCCATCTGATATCAATTTTTTTAAATAACGAACGCGTTAGTCGAACAGTACGCATCGAGAGTTTTATGGTAGATTTAATCGGACTGAGCACGTTATCAGTTGAACCGATCTTGTTTTTGTGTCAGCGTCAAATGGTGGTTTAACTGTTTGTAGATTATGGTAAGATAAATTCAACCAATCGACTCAGAGAAAGCATAACTCAGAACTACGATAGTCTCATTGATGGGTCATATTTATGTTATTAGATTTGAACGTTTGTTGAACTTTATTCAATAACAAAATATCCCGGGTGAAAGAAAAGTTTGGTTACAAAGCAGCGACGACGGTGAAAGATAGAAGCTACCTTTAAACTCTACTTTGCAAATCACTTTGTTCACTTCATGCTTGAGATCAGAGAACTATCGTTTGTCGATTTCATTACATTGGATAATGAAAATATTTGTAGGCAACATTCAAGATGATGGAGCCAGTCAATTCAGCAAATTTTACCATCGCTGCTTTGTTGGGCTCCTCAAGATCGCAGCAAGAACTTATCAGGGACACAGCGCCCTTTCATGATCAGAGACTTCGTGGGCCTGAGAGAAACAGGCTTGGGCTTAATACAACGATGGAGAGTGACGAGGAAGATGAGCAAGAATCTCGAAATCCAGGTGACTACTTCTTGAATATAAATGAAAATTATTGTGGGAGAAAAGTGTCAATAATTCATTCATCTGAATTGATAATATGCCGGCTAATTTCATCCGTTCTGATTATTTTGAGTGCTTTTGACCGAGACATTCGATTTATATTTATCTAAATCTTACTCTTGGCTGACAGCTTCAACTTTCTTGTTTCTCAAATAGACAATCGAATTGTGGCATCAAAAGAAGAAGACAGCCGTGAGTCTAAAGCTACAAGGAAGTCTGTAAAAACCAGGAGAAAAAGAACAGCGTTCACAAGTTTTCAGTTGAAATGTCTCGAGGAAAAATTCATGATGAACAAATATCTCACCATTGCAGAGAGGGATATGTTAGCAAAGTCTCTTCAGCTCAGTAACAAACAAGTTAAAACTTGGTTTCAAAATCGTCGAACCAAGTGGAAAAGAGAAAATGTTGGAGAAGCAATCCACTTGGCTTATGAAATACAAAGGAGTAGTATTGGACCTTACCACCCCCCATGGGTCCCTATTTGTCATTGTCCGCCTCCTCCTCCAATCTACAGAATGAACACAATGTATTCATGTACGCCCCCAACGTTTATTCCACCACATGGAGCTCAATAGTTTAGGGCAATGCCTATTCTAGGTTTGCTTTCCTTTTTTACGGTTTGTGACACAAAGTACCGTGATACGATGTATTGAAACACTGTAGGAGGACATACGTTGCAGTGATTATGTAATTCGAAGTTGAATCTTGCCGCATTATTCCAAAACGGACAATGGCGGTAAATTACCTGATAGGATGTTAGTAATTTTCCTTCATGAATAGTATATCATTTTACCGTACAAAATTACAAGTCTGCGATTTTGAGCAAAGAACCAAATGTACAAAAGGTATATAGGTGTTAATAAAAGGTTTCCTCGTACAGTTTTGGTTTGAGTTGACACTTATTACTGAACTGGTATGATAACTATTTTTTACGAGCTAAGATTTCAGTTAATAGTCAAAAACATCGTCGGCAATAACTGACTTTGTCTTTCTTTCGAGAATAGCTGATTGTAACGTATTATTTCTTTGGCACATCACTACGTTATATGTCCTACGACAGTTTTAAATACCGCATTTGAGGCGATCATTTTGAAATACCTCATCATATTGTCCATCCCAGAAGGAAATACGTAGAGTGATGTTACTTTCAGACTTAGACATTTCTTTATGAGGTTAATCATTAATGCCTTTTGAATCTAGATCGGGATTCGGAAGCAACATTTCACTAGCTAGCTTTACTTTTATGTCTACATTAAGTAGGCACATCAAAGTTTGTTCATCTCTAAATATTCAATCGGCCTAAACTTCTCAAGTTTGTCATATGCAAGTGTTACAATTCTTCATCATTATCCATCGTACTTCCGTCTTCGTTAGTGCTCTCTCTTTGTTTGTTTTCTCTATTATCCCATGTCTTTAAAGGAAATATCACTGCTCAGTCATTTAAATTCTTTCACGAGTGAATTGCAATTACAAAAGAAGTTGTAATTACCTCAACATAAACAGGAGGATATTTCCCCAATCTTCAAACCCAGCATTTTAAAGTGTGAGGTTTTGCAGCGATAAAAAGATGAGGTTGTCCTTTTTTCCTTAGCTGCCGAATGTGACATTAAGTTAAGGAGTTTTCCAATAAAACGTGTTTAGAATTAGCCACGGTCGACTCTGTGACTGTAATACAAGTTATCTAATAGGTCTAATGGGAGGTCGCCAAAAATTAGTGAGCGAAGGTGTTTGAATATCTCAACATTAACCACTTAAGCCTCGAACACGCATCGCATAGTAAGACATAATTCAACTTTATCGATCAAAGTTTTATTTGTACAAAGTCTGCAATATCCCATTCAATTAGATCTCTTAGTTTATGCCCCTGTGTTACCGTTCTTGGTACCAAAAATGTTCAGTAACCAAGCAAACGAAGTAGTACGAACTTGCTCCTAAGAAAGCTTTTTTTTCCCTCAACGTTATTCTATTGCCTACACTTTTTTATCACTCACGATCTCACGCATTGATCAATTTTGCTTCAGCGATGCGATACGTATTTGAGGAATCTAAACTACAAGAATTTTCATGCCTTAGAATACGTCTGGTTTGATGACCTCAATCAAAGAATGTTAATCATGAGCTCTAACAGATAACACCTCTCTAAGATCTACTTACTGTGAGACAATTCGCACATCGGAGTATTCGATCGGAACAACTCTACATTTCATGGTTTCTTTTCGGCGGAACTCTACGCACTAAACAAACAGTCCTCCATGCGTGAACATTACGCAGGCGTAAGTCTGTGAAGGATTACACCTGTTTAATATCTTTCATTTCCACCTTTAAAAGCTTTAATCACCTCTTAGTAAAATCACAATCTCAAGAGTTATAAATGATTATAAACAAACACAAGATCAGACTGAGAAAGGACAAATCCACTCATGAGATCGAAATCTAAAAGGCTTTCGAAACCCCGCGCTTGTAAACATCTAATTCATTTAAGGATCTCCGGACCAACCGGTATGAAAATGCGGATTATCCTTAAAATTTGTAGCAAGCTTATGCTATGAGTTACGTATGTCTTTCGCCCGATTTGGTTGATGGCACGCGACGTAAATTGTTCTTATATGAAAAGCGAGAAAAGTGAACTTGTAGTGGTCTGAGGTTAATAGTCTGTATGGGATGGTACACAGATAGATAAGTTGCCTATCCTAAATAACATGTTTTATTTCGAAGGGAGTAGATTGTTTTGATTAGAAACAACAACTATTAATCTTCTTATTGAGCTAAATTTAAACATTTTGGCGATCGTGATGAAAGCTCCCCAATTAAACTCTTAGCGGGGGAGGGCTGGTCTTCAAATACGTATCTTTCATCAAGTGCACAATAAGGGGGCTTATTCTGTGAACTCTTTTTCCGCCGTTCGTCACACGGTACACAAAGATCGTCGCATAAATTCTAACTGATTAAGAAATAAAGGAAATGTTTGCGTTTGATATTCTTTGGGAATGAACACGAACGGAGAGTAAAGCTTATGACAGGCTTGTAAGAAAGGGTAAACCTTGACCGTTTTTGTCTGATGACGAATAATTTATCTGGTGCGCTCATTACATTTCCCTTTGAGCACTTACGCTTGATAAATTGCAATTTGCACACCAGAAGAATAGAAAAAGAAAATCCGTTGTTTTTCCTGTATTTATAAAACCCAGGAAAACGTCACACATGCAACTTGATATTAGAGAGATTACACAATTGTCTGGCGATGTTTGGCCGACATTTACAGAACTAATAGTGCCAATTTCCTCGCAATGAACCATACCATCACGCAACAATGAAACATTTAACAAACTCCTCCCCAAAATCTACACTAGATAAATGTCAAAAATAAAGGTACATAATCAGATTTTGTATGGAGTTTTGGCAATGATTTCTCCTTCTAGAATATTTGAAACCGGACACAATTTTTAAACAATGGTCAACTCAGTGAAGTATGTACTTGCGGTAGTGTGTAATGGCTGTGTTAGCCGGCGAAGCATTTGATGATCTCATTATACTACAGTCATCTCAGGTGACAACCGCTTATATGTCTGTTTACGGTAAGTCCCAATCATTTACCGACCCTTTGTTGTGTAAAGTGGAAACAAGTTAAGGTTAGCAGACTATATTTAATTGGCTGTCAAAAAGATTAGCATTGTCCGGATGTTGGTATCATAATATTTAGCGGATAGAAATAGTTGCTGATTTCAATTTAGTCAACTTGTTCCAGGGCGTACTTCAGGTTCCTTATGTTAAAACGTCATGGCATCATTCAGTATAAATGCCATCCTTGGACATTCAACGCAAAAACAACAAGAAACAAACGATGTTAATCTGCGCCACACGAATTGTGTTGATGAAAGTTCCAGTCAACAACAGGACCAAAAAGGTGAGCGAATTGAAGGGAAAATCATCTTGCTATCAAACCATAAGTATGATGCAAAAGCTTTACCTTCGCCATAAGTATAAAGTTCCATACTATGATGAGAATATGATGAAGATGATGTCTACACATATTTCTCCTTAGAACATTGCCCATCAAAGTTAGTACTTTACAGTGATGAAATCGACGACGGCGCTGAGTTCCCCAGACAAGAGGACCTCTTGAACAAGATACGGCGAAGGCGAACAGCTTTCACAAGCAGCCAGTTAAAATCTTTGGAGCAAAAGTTTCGAGATAAGAAATACTTAACGATCACAGAGAGAAACAACTTGGCTAAAAGTCTTCGTCTCACGGATACTCAAGTCAAAACATGGTTTCAGAACCGACGGACTAAATGGAAAAAGCAAATGGCGCCTGAGTTTGAGGCAAACTTACGGTGGGAAGAAGCGAACGCTATGTTTTATCCGATACAAACTGCAGTGTTTCCTTATTACGAACAATTTGCACTCCCAGTGCCACCGATACCCTACAAGTATAACATTGTACCGAGTTTCTGTCCCTCATCTAACCTGCAACTAGTTCAGACAAATATTCATTCATTTGTGTCGGCCCACGGCTCGGTCTAATAGGATCACTCTCTACCGTAAAGAAGTTACATCATTTGTACTATTCACTACTTACTTACCAGTTATAAGCAAGTTTAAATATCTTACCAGCGTAGTCATTTTATTGTGGTATTAGCCACTTGTAGTGAACAACGCGCTTGAAATCTGTCTTAATAAGTGGCTTTAAGAAGAAAAATCCTCTAGATGACTCGTCATATTTGACAGTGATTTTATCGTCTCCCCCACTAGACCAAACAACGCCAAAATGAACATTTCTTCATAAATTGGTTCTTAAAACAGTTGAAAACCTTGGTGGTAAATTCATTGTCAAGTAATTTGCATTGTAGAATATCTGGCTCAAACGATCCGGAATCAATATTGGGTTTGTTCTCTGCCAAAGAGGAAAAACGAAATCAAAGGAAGCCGCCACAGATAATGGAGCTCAGTAAGGTGTACAATGTAGCATCACCTGACGCTCTATTCAACTAAAATTAAGCCGAGAGTCTAATAATTCATTCAAAATTAGCTGTTAAAACACAGCTTTTTCATGAGCTGATTTGGAAGGCGTGCTTTACCACTCCTCTTGCAAATTTGAAGCAATCGATCAGTAAGAATTCCTTATGAAAATTACTTTTCACTCTTTAAACAGCTTGTAAATAACTTTTAGTCACTGTAAACGCTTATTCCAAAAATATTGCAAGACTTTGTACAAAACGCCCTCAACGATGTTACAGTGACTCGTATTTCACTCATTAACCGTAAATCTCAAAAAATTTACATTTGAAATAAATAGTTTGTGTTGAATTATATTGTGCTTTTTGTGAACTGATTAATATATCCTTTAGAATACAGATCCTGTTAGAGCAATTCCCCTACCTTAGATTTTGAACGCTATGATGATTTTGTGACGAAAAGTTCGCTGAAGTCAAACAAAGCGGAGGAAACAAAACTCGACCAAAGCGGAACCTTTTTTCCCACCCGTACCGATGATAAAATATGCAAGGCAGGAAAAGAGACGGTTCTAGACCAGTTTATGGAGAAGGAATTCAGTCTCTTTTGTTCAATGATTCTCAGAGTTCAAATGATTTCAATTTTAAGATGCCTTAAAAACGCACTAATGTCGGCCAAGAAGCACACAACGCTAGAGAACATGCCTGCTGTTTGCCACCGACGTTGACTGATTTGAGGTGAAACTGCGCTCGCAACACGCAACAATCGTGACGCAATATGTTCCTATCTGGCGGCTGAATGAAAGATACAACGAACCTACGCGCATTTAATGTTAACTGATGTTAACTGAAAGGAACTTTACAAAGATTTCTACCTTCTTGAATTTGAAGGATCACTGCCATTTATATATGTCCACACAAACTAATAGTGTATCGAATGTATCAAGAGTGGTTTCTCTCTCCTTGCGCTATAATTAAGGTGTTGTGTTTTTTTATTCCATATTACATCCAATAGGAAATAAGAGGCTCAACATTGACAGAACCACTTTAATGAAGTCTGTTTCCTTGAGACTCGGAAAAGAGAAATCTAACGCAATGGAATAAATGGCCCAGTTCATTTTAAACCCAAAATCAATTGTTAAAGCAATATGGAAAGAAGACGATTTTTATTGTTTTAATAGCAATCACAGAGGCAATCTTCATTTTTCACAAGGCTTACTTTTTCGCGATTTTCGCTGAGAATGTCATAATACAAATATGAAATGCCTTACTTAACAGCGCAAATAAGTATTTTTAAATATCTGTTAGCTCTATGACACGATTTTCTTTCTCGTCTTGTACTATTTGCGCGGATTTGGGTCAATGGTTTGTACGAGGAGTTTTCCAGAGTTCACTATCGCCATCCCACCCCTCTCTGCCTGCTGGTTATACAGTACTGTATTAAGAAACATAATATTGGGCAGGAATTACTTATTTCACCAATTATCATGGGGGCCTCCCACTAATCTGTTGAAATTCCACAGACTTTGAAACTTGCCAAACAAATTAACGAGGAATGTGTCCGTAGATTACACGCATTTGTTAACAAACATAACCTAGTAAAACGGCTGAGACAGTGTCAAGTATAATTCTTTCTTGGTCAGCATTTCACCATAATTCTCGCTGATTTAACTGGCTTGAACCTCTAAACTTTCAGGAGAAGACTTGCATGTTCCTTTCGGTTTGGTGCGCTCTTATACATCTGGCTGATTAAGCTTGATGAAGAGCTAAATGCCATTTCCAGAGTGACATAGAACTCAAGTCATGTTCTCATTGAAACAAAATTCGAAATTAGCTGTTTTTCCTTAAAAGGAATTTTCTCAAATCATTCTAATTGCAATGAGTAATCCATCTGTCTAATACTTATCGTTTTTACCTGGTAAGAATTTAATTCTATTAGAAGGCCTCTCATCAAGACACCCACTTACCTAAAAATGACGCCGTGATAGGAAACAACACTTTCGAGCGGTGCCGGATGTTAGCAATGTTTTTTATCCGTTCAAACCTTTCTTTTTCAAGGTAACAATGAACTAGAAATCGTACAAATCACTTCAACAGCTATAAACTGTAAATGTGTTCTCAGACTATGAAGTGGATTCCCCTTCTAAACAATTGGTTCCACTCTAAAGATTGCGTTACGTCAGTCCACCTTGAGGCACCGTATGAGGCATTATTTATCCACTCGCCGTCCATGTGCTCAACTGAAGTGGAAAATCTTTCTGTTCTAATCTTTGGGAGCTATTATTTTGTCTAGCAAGATCGCTAGCAGTCGATCATCTTCTCACACCAAGAATGATTTCTTTGGATTGTTTAGGTAAGCACTTCATAAGAAGGTACCACAAATATTGGACCAATTTGTGTCACTTAATATGCTAATTATTTCTGTCGTAGTTGAATTTCCAAACAACATGAAATTCTAGTTGAGCTAATTAAGCTTTGTGGGAGAGTTAAGAAGATAAAGCAGAGATGAAACTACCTTCCGTAAATTATGTTAAAATGAGTAAACAAATAAAGTGCCTGAAGATAAGTAGGTCACCAAAGCAAAGAATGAGTGTTCACAGGCACGAAGTGCACGCTCCAAAATGGGGAAGGGTGGGGGCTCATTAAATCCTAAGCCCGGAAAAAGAATTTGATTTTTTTAAGAAACTAAAAACTCGTTATCCTTGTCAACTTCCTTTAACGTTGACTCAGAGAAATGGTAAGTTTATCTATAAACAGTGGATACCGAATTTGACTTAAGTATCATTCCAAAAATTACTCCATAACATACTTAATTTAGAGTGGAATTAGAGTGTCGCAGTAATTTCAGATCTTACCTGGAATCGTTCCTCATAAATCTTGAGTATCAGATAGCATGTCTGAAAAAGCAATTCAAGGCGTGTGCTTTGTAGAAGACATCCCCTTATTAGCTTGTTTTAAGTCTTACAATGCAGGGCTTCTTGCACGTAATGTTTTACTTTTGAGCTCTTAGTCTAATCAATTGGATGATAATGATAATAACAATGGCAATAATGATGTCTATAAAAAGTGCTTTCGTCACGGACATGGTTTTAAAAACAGCCCCGTTAGAGAATAACAATGTAATAAACGAAGAAAACATGGAGTGACACATATAAAAAGGCTCGCATTACAGCCATAAAAATAATGGAACAGAGGTATCATAAGATAACGTAGAGAAAAGAAAAGATGTGTTCAAAACTTCAAAATATCGTAGTAAGAGTTCCTCTTACTTCTTGAATAATAAGATCAAAATTAAGATCAGAACTAAGATTATTAAAAATAATCTGCTGCATGGTGTTAGTGTCGTTCCTCCCCTCCAAATTTAGTTTTGGAGGCAGAAGGGTACAAGCTGTCTGTTTAGCGGTATTGTAGTTGTGGATGGCAGCACTTAGTTAAAAATTGACATTGGAAGTAACGATTTCATTTATTAAATAAGCACTTGGAGAAAAAACAAATCGGTGCTTGTGTCGTCTGTGATTTAAACGTTTCCCCTATAATGTTTTAAGAGCTTATATAGAGAAGGAGTATCTTCGTTTTACGAGGATGATTATCGCTGCTTAGCTTTTCAGGACTTACGGATCGTTCCTTAGTTTTGTATGGCCTTCGGATTTGTCATCCAAATGATTGGTAACACAATGGGAGAGTGAGGAAGTGAGTGAGTGTTAAGCGGGCATATACAACGGTTAAAGAGATCTGATTCTCCCAAGGAGTCCGAATCCTCAGTTTACTTTTTTGTGATGTTTTTGACATGATCACCCAGTACAGGTCTTCACTTAGTTTCGACCCTGAACATTTAAAGTAGTTACCCTCTCGAGAAGAGGTTCGCTGATTTGAACACGATGTTCATTTTCAAGTAAATAAACTTTAATCTGTCACAGTTGAGGGAAAGAAGATTTGATTGCAACCAATGCGAAGCACTTTAAAGATGTTCATTCGAATGGTCTCGACTGTCTACGCTCTCTCGGCACATCATTACATCGCCGTAAAGAATGATCTCGCAATATTTAAGGCATTGAAGTAGGTAAAGAAGAATTCGGAAAATAGTAAAGGCCGAGGTATAATGCTTTGAAGTACTCCAACTGTGAGAGGTTTAGGAAATGAGGTACAATTTGTATTTCTGGTAATCTGTTCGCGATTTAGGAGGTACAGCTTTAACTAATCGATGGAACTTTTATCCCAACCTAAAATGAAGTATTTTGAGGAAGAGTTGATGGTCAAAAACACTAGAAGCCTAGCAGGTCGAGGAGAATAACACCTGAGGTGACGCCATCATCCATATTATCCAAGACTTCATCCGTGAGAGCAGCAAGGGCCACCTCAGTGGAAAGGCTTGGGCACATAAAAGCCAAAATGTTCGGGATTTCGCAAATTCTTCTCTATGAGGTGGGTACAAAGATTCCCTAGACCCAGCTTTGTCTGATTTGAATGGTTGATATCGTAACAGGTCTGAAGTTATTGAGGTCGGTTCGGTCGGTCGCTATTTTTCATTCTTGATTTCATGTTTACAAGGGACACCAGCTTCGCTGGTGAGATACACAAGGGAATGATCCCTCAATGTCAGATGAAACACGCCATTCTTTAGTACACGATGGTTGTTTTTCACCAAAGATGAGATTTACCCTGCTCTTTATATTAGCATATTCGGGGTTAAAATCCCCAGTAAGTCAAGTACGGTATCACCTGAAAGCTTTGATAGAACAGCATTATAATTGTCAATTAAGTTATGCAGCTTATAAGTGGGAGCTTTGTTGTTGTTTTAAAAAGTTGCCTGGCTCTTTAAGTTGGGTGATTTCGACCCCATAATTTTCAACCGAGACCGAACTGAAATACAAGACCGGAATAAAAAACCCGTTCAATGAGCCGTTCCACCGTGCCTCTCCGAACGATCTTGTCTGACAATGGAATATCCTGGAATATGTAACTCATTATTGAGGCATGAAGCCTTGTCTTCGAGATCGTAAGATGTGGAAAAGTTGATTCTCAACTAACGAGCGAACGACATTTAACTTTGGAGGAAGGTTTCTGAAATTTAGTTAGCCAATTATCATGAGGCGAGTTTTGAGCTGGTGTTGTGCAAGATTAGAAGGCGCCGTTGGCGGGGACATTCAGATCAGTGTTCGAGTTCGGTTTCGATGGAAAGTCACTTTTATGACGAGCTAGAATCTTGATCGCTTCAATGTTCTCTGAGACAAATAAGTATCAGACCCGTAAACAGCAAATGAATATTGTAGGTTATTATCGAGCGTAAGACACAAATTGCTGAACGACAGCGAGCCACGACCGACCGCCATCTTGAGTTGACATCAAACAAACAAATAAAGTATTTTGTCTCATTTCATTGCCATCGTTTTCTTGGATAGTATACCCCCCTTCACCAACTTCTTTTAGGTTTCAGCTGCTATTTGTTACAAAGAATTTTAAAGTAGCAGCGAGTTTTTCTTTAAAGGATATGTCCAGTGCGATTACTTTGTTCCATTTCCGTTAAAATTCCAAAACACAGACATTAGAGTATCAAAGGTGACTGCTGCTGTTATAAATAACTAACCCAGGTATTGGGAAACATTTATGGGTCGTGAGATGAGAGTAGCTCCTTATTCTTAGGCATACCGTTAAGATCTCTTTGCAACTATGCAATTTGTCATCGTTTCAGAACATTTTCAATACAAAAATTACCCTTTGGTCTAGGTTAGGAGAATCTTTGAGATCATGATCCTAAACCAAGACATGCAGCTTTGGTAATAAAATGCTCTGTCTTGTGTCTCTACAAACTCTGTGACATGGTGCATACTTTATATTGTAACTAAGTAACAAAACTGTAAGTTTATTTCATGCTGGAAATTATGCATGAAACTCTTTTTCATAGCTACTGAGTGCCTCTTTAAAGATGGTAAAAGGCAAGTTGTTAAAATGTAGTTGAACAAATTAAGTATTATCACTTTCTTTTCAAAACGATATTTTCTCGTACTACTCTGACTGAAATGCACTGCTCACTGATCAGGTGTCATCATGATGTGTAAAGATTCCAAACTCTTTGTAATGCGATAGTTTTCTTTACCAATGATAGATGTAAAAATAAAATCATTGAAATGATCATGAGCACATGCATGATTTTCATGTCTTGAGCCTTTTACTACTGTTTTCCTTTTCCTTTGGTTCATTTTTCGTTTTTCACTCACCGAAAGAGTGACTTGTATCACCAACTTAGACAGGAATGTAATGACGCTATAGTAAATTATTTGCTCAAAGTCTATATTCCTTTTGAGTTAATTGTATTAGCAATAAAGTTTGCGACCAATTGTTAAAGGAATTTTATAAACAGCATAATGTTGTAAATTTGATAATGATCGTAACTTTGGGCCGGGAATTTTTGTCGAATGGTTCTAAATGATGTGTTGACGACGGCGATTTGCTGCCATTTAATGTCAGGTGTATGTTACAAGCATGATTGCACATTTGATATACGGCAGAGACTGGAAGATTAGAGTGCTGCTCGTAACTTTCATATTCGAGGTAAAACCAGAAAAAGGACGAGAAGCTAAAAGTTAAGCTTTAGAATGGTGATTAAAAATAGGTCAGAACTTATATCTTTAACAGTTGATGCAGTTTCGTCTCTGGAAACAGACGCCGCCTTTACTTGGTTATGCGTGTGCCCAAATTTAGAATCCATTTTTTTATTTGCTTTTGGGGAGACGGCGATTTATTTAAAATTGGATTAAATTAGTTGAGTGATAAAAACAACTATCTTTGTTGTCTTATGCTTCTTCGTCCTTTTTTTGCATTTGTTCTTTTGTGTATTGTTTTATATCTTTCCTCTACTTTGCCGTGTTTTTTATTCAGAAGAAAACAATCCAAATACACAAACTAACAGATAAGCGTTCGTTTTCCATTCCTTTCGAACATTAGTTGAAACATCAATAGTTGTAGGATTAACATTTAGCATTGGCATAATCCTTTTGAATTCTATAATACTTCAGCAAGACGTCCCAGTTATCCTCGTGGGCTGAAAGAAGCTTAAGTCTGATCGAGTATAAAATAAAATCTGCTTTAAACTTAAGAGGGAGTAATTTTTTTGGGACATGCTCCGGAGCTCTTTAAGAACAATTGAAAAAATAATATGTGATGTTGTATTGGCATAGTTCAATTATCCACTCCATTAGAATACGAACATTTTAAAGGATTATTTAGAATTAAAAGCGGGACTGTAATATTTCCGTAACACTTGCCTTTGATATATGCTTGCATATTTGTACAGTAAAATGTCAATGGCTTTATTCAGTGTTTCAACCCCAAAGTTTCCAAAATGCCGCTTTCCTTTGACTCGCCCGATGTACTTATTTGGGAATCAGGCTGCTCGTACCCACATTTTTCACCGAAAAGGAAATTTTTCTATTGACAATACATCTTTAGGCGGGATTTGCCATGGCTTTCACCAGAAGGGAAACTTGTGAGACATCTCTGCGTAGACGATCTATAGATTATGATCTGATACCAGTTCTCGAGTGAATAAATTAAATTCGTGAATCAGCAGGAGTGATTTAATGAAAAGAAAGCTGATCTGCGTTAACATGATTTGGAGAGCAGCTGTCCGAGTTCAGGCGAGACCTACCACGATCTTGTTTATTTGCTTCGGCTGTCGTTGCTGAGGTTTTTAGCTGAGTTTTAGTTATCGCCGATCGATAAGGACCTCTCGTCCCTGAATTTATGGTCTAGAGAATTAAGTTGTCATACAGTGGACGATGTTCACAGATACCTCCTTTGATGCTCGAGACAAGAATCTCCTGCGAGAGGAAAAGCCGCCTTTGTGCCATTTTCACTGCTGTTTTCTTCTTCGCTAATTTCCGAATTTTCTTTTATGACCTTGATGAGAGCACAAGAATTGCAGATTGACCGTTTTGTGACCTAACTATGTCAGGTATTGAAGATGTTTCGAAACATGTATTTTGAAACTACAAAAATCTTACCAACGCTTATGTTGTTTGTTTGGCCATCAAATCTGACGAGATTGCGTCAACTTCTTTTTACAGGTTGACAATCAATGCCGTTGTTTGTTAAGAATTGTGTCAGTTCTAATGGATGACATAGCTGCTATAATCGTAGCCACTGGTATCCTCAAGAATATACCTCTGTTGATATATCAGGTTAAAAAAAAAACAACAACTTAAACAAATATTAGCTTTTTAGGTGATAAATTATTGTGAGTGTTTAGGTTCTCAAAACCAATTTTGACAGCTAATTAGTGTGATACTAAATGCCATAGCTCTCTAAAAGTGTCTGTAACAGTAAAAATTGTCAATTTTCTCGGCCAACGGCTAAATAGTTCGGCCGTTTTACGGCTTATGGTTATCCCCATTTAGACCCTCCTCCACGTGGCACAAACTGACATTCTAGGGAGAATATACTTTAAAAGTAATTGAAAGAACCTGACCGCGGAGTTAACCAGACTCAAGTCTCAGCAGCATCAGCTTATTCACCTCAAACAAGAATTAAGATCATGAATCTCCCTATAGAACTTGCAAACAGTTCTAAATCACGCACACCGTGCAATTTACTAGAATTAGGACTTTCGTTTTGAAAAGGTCATGGACTAAAAATACGATTAAGGATCAAGATTTTTGTTCTCGGTCACCTTCTGGAAGCAATAAAATACACAGCTAGAGGGAAATAACATCGAAATCAGTCTGATGTAGTTGTCAGTCAGCACTTCTCTTCATCAATTTAAGGGTGTGTCTCGTACAAAGATACAATCCCTTGGGCATTAAAAGACATCTATCGCTTGAACTTCTGACTTATTTGCATGATGAGGGCTTCTATATTTCCTCAATAGATTTTTAGAGCATTTAAGAAGTATTCAGCCATTTCGTATCTCTGATCAGACTTACAACATTTACTCGTTGGTTTGAGAGCAATACATCCATCGCTATTAAATGAATTTTGATATTTTCATTTTCTTTCAAAATAAAATGAATGCACTTCCTCTTTCCTCTAGTACCACCACCAAAGTCGTGTTTATCATCTGTCCTTTCTTTTTTAGGTAGTGCTTGTAGAATTTTCAATTTTGGAGGAAATTCACTTTCTTAAATCTTGGATTTACGAGCTCCTTTTTGCAGTATTGAAAACAATAATGTCTTGTCACCGACATAAACTTCAGATAAAGAAAGATATTTTGCGTCTTGTCACGAGAGTGGAACAAAGATAAAAAATTTTGAGTCCCCATGAGGAATAGAACCTCAGACCTTCCGATTCCGCGCTCCGATGCTCTACCACTTCAGATCTTGATCAGTTCTTATTGGATGTTTGCACAACCTGATAAAAAGACATTTGTGGCAATCAGGATCTACTCAAACGTTTCAAAGCAAAGGCCTGGTACCCGGAGGAATAGATTGTGAGCCACGCCCACATTGCTTGTACGCATTTCTGCCCAATAAAACCATGCAATGAGTGAGGGGAAAAATGAGCAAAGAAAAAAAAGAATTCACCGCTTTGCTTGCTCCTTACTTGCGCTGCGTTTTCGTCTTTAAAGTTAACAGCGATTTTTATCATTGTCACCGGCGTAATGAAATATTTCAGGAGGTGCTGAAGTTTCGCATTTAATCATTACTTATTTACTACTCGAGTTCAAATTGTTGTTGATTATATATTCTGCTTGTACTTCAACTTGCTCTCTAGTTGATGAATTTTTTTCTTCGATTTGAAGAGTTCACGGCTACTTTTAAAGAAAAATAAGTCAGCGGACCCTTATGTAGAATCATTTCTTGTTCAAGTTCAGTTGAACACACGAGACACTTATTTTAGGCATTATCGAAAACGATGAAGTATTTCCGTGTTGTAAGCAATCTTTTTATTCTCGTGTTAACAATAAGTGTTGTTTGGGGAAAACACAAAGGAAGGCGATCAAAGGATCATTTGCGTCATAAACACATGCGACTCTTGACTCATGCAAAATTCTTCAGACATCCTGACAATTACAGCACCCTGGCTCATTCTAACTACAGACACGAAAGAGGTAAGTTGATCGGTGACGCTATCGATTTTCATTTCCTTTTCGCCTCGTCAGAGATGAGACCTCATATGCATATGACTCAGATTTTTGTTTATGCAAGAGAAAAATCTGAAAGTTTGGCACGGCCTCTGGGGTAATACAACTGCGTGTTATGGACACCTTCCTTAGAAGTTGAAATATTTTAGTAAAAGTAAAATCATATCACACCATGGTGAACTTAATTTTATCAACGATAATATTCTAAACATGAAAAAAAGAAATGAAATAGAGTTAAGTTACAAATCATTTTGTCGTGAATAAAGAGAGTTTGTGCTAGCTATGCTTGTTGAACACGAGAGGATCAAGATAAGGCAGTTAAAACCTCGTATACTCCTTATTGCGATGCTGACCTTTCTCAGGGTATTTCTAGGTCGCTTCCAGTCCTGTGGACCCAGGAAGATCTAGAACCAGCGATCAGTTTGTTTCGTGAATGGGCTCATGCACCGCGAGTAACCCATGTGGTGCCCACTCAAACTTCATTGAAAAGTCCGTGCGACAAAATAAGATCACTAAGTATTATTTCACTGGAAATTAAAAACATTTGAATTAGTGTCAGTTATTGAGCAACTGTTCACCTACTCCTCCCCAGCTTGTTATCAGTTGATTTTTGTTTGGTCAGGGGAAGGGTGCGCAGTTTTGGCCAGAAACTGACATTAGTCCAAATATTTAACTGGAAATACAACTTGAAAGGAATTCCTTTCAAAACGAGGGGTATATGGTACCCAGCCTCCTCGTGAAACTCTCCTCTAATGACAGAGCCATTTACCTGATGTGATTTTTCGTTACCATTTTGAGGTCATCATCATCCACCAGGTTTAAAATGCCGTCGAATGAAATTCATTGTGAATCGAAATGTAAAGTTAAAAAAGAAGACTACAGAGGCATTGAAGAGAAGGATGACAAACCAGCGCACAAAAAGAATGTTACACAGGTTCACCACAAGCAAAAGGTTTCATCTGTAAGTTTACAATTTTTTTCTGGTGACATATATCTTTGTTGCTTTTTCTCTGCCCTTTACACTTAGCCGAACTCAGTCTAACAATCGATTAGGTGCGCCTACGGGCATTTCCATCCAAAAGCTGATAATTCCTGTATCAGCCCATGTGATTTCGACTGAGTAATCCTCAATTTCTTTTGTAACAGCATGAAACTGCTTTACGGCTCATTCATTATAATATACTGATATACTAATACCAAAAGAGTGCTCATCCGCGTTTTTTTAGTCCAAGAAAAGCCAAGCTGTTTGAGGATAGACAAGGGAACTTAATAACTTACATTGAGGATTGTATTTCGTCTGGTAAGCAAACAGATTTCATCTTAAATCGTTTTCAAACTTTTCATTTTCCATGCATTTGTGTACATTCTCTCATTTTGAAGAAGCTATTGATATGAATTCATTTAAATACCCCTTATTAGGATGTTACTTTTCTTAGCCATTCACTTAAAGAGCTTTTTATTCTTTCGAGAAAATGCAGAGAAGAAGGACTTTTTCGGGAGTCAGAGAGAATTGTACATAGGTGGGTCATGTTTAAAGCATATTTCTCACCAGTTTGGTGCATCGTTACCTCAGCACTAACCTGACAAGCCTGTTTTATGACTTTTCGTTCGCATGTAGTCTTTTAAATTCTAAGAACGTTTTTCCTCTGTCTGTCATGACCTACAGTCAAATCTACATTGATCATTCAATTTTCAGATACAAGAAACACATGAACCGTAAAAAGCGTTTAGAAAAAAAGCACTTAGAGATTTAAGGGATAAAGCGAATGAAGGATGTTAGTTTAGGACTGGCTGACGTCTGACTGTTGTTTGTTTTCTCTTATCAGAGCCTGCATTTTACCAAAAGAAAACTCAACATATCCGTCGTCCATCTTCATCTCATTTAACGCATCCTCTATCAGAAGACAATGATAGTAAGTTTGTCTGTACAAGTGGTTGCCCCAGTGAAAGTGTGAAAATAACTTAAAATTACGTCTTGAGGGTAAAAACGGGAATAAATTTATAAGGCTCAAATAAAGTACTTCCGGCCAGGCAATGTTAACACGTTAAACGCATCCCACGCCGTATCTCAGCCGGCCAAAATAATTGATTCTTGATATGCTATTTCAAATCCGAAATAAAATTCCATTCCTCTCATACTCAGGGAAGAGCTTCAAATCCTTAATGTTAATCAAAACACTAAGCTGAGCTACCAGAAAATGAACCCAACGTTAAATACCGATAGCCATGGTACTTAAGGGACTCGAAGGTGTGTAAAAATTTCACGCTTTCAGACCCGAATATAAATTAAGTGTTTTTCAAATTTCTGCCCAAAAGGGGTTTAACTACCTGCTCTCAGCTGCCATACCATGATAGCTATAGAGCCCATCGTAGAGAGTCCAACCTCCGCACCCGCGCCCCCCTTCCTTTTACCGAGTCTTGGTACCTTTGTAACCGGCATTTTATCTTTCAATATTTTAGTTACAACCTTGCAATCAAGTGAGGATGAAGTCAGTAATGAGGAAATTCTTCCAGCCTCTGAAGGTATTAAGGAGCTGCATGAACTCATAAATGATTCGCCCTTATCGTGCGAAATGTTTTTTAAACCCTCGAAGAATTTTGAGGTAGCAGACTAAATTAGTAATTAACAATCTCTTAATTAACTTTATTAACAGACTCTTTGCTTCAAACAGTGTCTGACTCCTCAAAAATTCTAAAAGACGGTGAACAAAATATGAAAGAAGGTAGGATCAAATATTATTTGCGTTGAAAGCATCCTGAGCCAGTTTTATGCTTTTATATCATCATAATTTATCACTACTCGAGCCACCTTGAGCTCGTGATGTTTAAAATATTGTACTTCCTTAAAATTTTGTTCTCATCATGTTGTTTTATCATAAAATCTTGTTTTACAAGGAACTGCTGAATTATTCAATGGCCAACACGAAACAGAAGTTCCCTCTAACTTCGGTGAGTTAATTTCTTGAGCAACGTTCACTTTTCGATTTTTGTAAGATCGTCAGTCCGTTACCTTAGTTTTCCTTAACATTAACCGCCGAATACTACTGATTTTAATTTTAAATTTAAAGACGTCCTTTAACCTCTTTTCAAACATGTTTTTCTCCCTTTTCTGACGTTACCGGTTTAGGGACTGCATTTCAAGTTACCACAGTGGACAGTCCTGTTCCCAAAAGACCTGAGGAGGGAAGTGGTAGGTTACATGACATTTAGTAAATTGTACGTTAAAAGAAACGTTCGAAATTTAAGTAATCACGCCGGCAACTCGAGTCATTATCTGGTCGCAAGAGCCATTACCTACCAGGCAAAGAAGTCAAAGAATCACTAAGATACTTCTACTTTAGAGGGCTTTTGCAATAGCCTTCCTTATTACTAAGGATACATCTGTCAAAATAAGGATTCTAAACGAATCCTAGATGTTGTAATGGGAAATCTCTGCCCGTAGTGGATTGATCAAGCGTGTCGCTATTATTTTGTCTTCTAATAAATGAACATTGCGGAGTTTTAGAGTACTTCTTTTCACCAAAATATGAATAGCTTAGATTTAAACCTAGCCAGTGAACAGCAGACTTCTTCTAAATATTGTTCATCTCTTCCTCAATTTTTTCAGAGCTTCAAAGTTATTTCTCGTCAGCTGGTTTGACGAGCATTGCTCGTATAAATAGCGACGGTAAGAATACACATTTAAAAGACCGCTTCATTTCAAGTCGATAAAAAACAAAGGTTACATAAAAGGGCATCACTTGGTTTTTGTTGTTATCGCAATCTCTGCTGTTTTTTACGTCTTTATACCTAATAATCTCCTTTTTTCGAACAGCCAGTTCATGAAACTTTGCTAACTGAATGCCTAATTTCCTTAAAATCTAACAACTGTTTACAACTTGCCAAAATGCTGCTCCTGTCATATTTATGTTGTTTATCATCTAAACTTCTCACAAATTCATCACAACTTAAGATTTATATTAAAAGAAAAAAATAATTCCTTTGTTTTTGTTAACATGAAGTGTTATGTTTAGTAAAAATACCAAAGAAAAATGACGTTTAGTAGTAAGAATACTTATGTTAAATATTTTGGTATCTCTGTAATATTTCAGTTGTGACGCCAATTTCCCAACAACCTCTGAATCTAGATCGGCAATATGATGATCAGCTTCCTCTGCGCATGCCGAACGCAGGTAATCTTCTTACTGTTTCCCAAATGCAGTTTTGAAGATGGTGGAAAGGGAGGAGTGGATGGGGGGATTCATTCATATGTTGGCTTTCATGTCTTAGAATTAATCACTTTTCGATTTTTTTCTTACCTAAGGACACCTAAACTATTCGTTAGCTCTGAAACTCATTCCACAATCAGCAATGTACAAAACTCTAACTGCTAAACAGAACAAAAATACCATATTGTACGTCTTTGTCTTTTGAATTCCTCTGCTTAATCGTTTATTGTTAATACTGATGTTATATCGCTGAGCAGTGACATATCTTTCACTCAGGGTTTGTCAACGGTCCACCCCAAGAGACACAAGCAGGGTTTGTCAGTAATCCCTCTGGTGAGGCTCAAGCTTTCACTCAAAGTAAGGTGGCTGTTCCTTGCACCATGATCGCTATGTTTCTAAAGGCTGGCCATTGGGACCGATGGTCGATGGCTAATTTTTTCGGAGAAGAAAACCTTTTGTCTTAAAACATAAACCGTAGAGAACTAGAAACAAAGTTGATTGTTACACGACTCAATTAACATTATCAAGAGTCACTCACTTATATACAACCATCACGAAAGATTAATGAAACCGAATTTTGCTTCGAACTTTGCTTCCTTACTCTTTAGAGGATTATGAGAACCCCCTCAGAGATGCGGGTAAGTACAAAGCTAGCGTCTTACCTTTTAAAGTTTTTGGCAGTCTGTCTTTATTAAACTGAATGGAAAAACATCTTCACAACATTAGAACTTCACCGCAAATCTAGGTGGGTAAAGTTAAGGTAATTAATTAACTGCAAAAAATTATCAAGTTATAGTTTCATAATTTTGGATGAAGAAGTCGATAAAACTATCACTTCAATACATATTTATTGAGCTTGTCTGAAGAAAATTCATCATCTGATATTGAAGACCCCAAGCGATATAAACTGTGTGTTCTGTCTTATTTAGAGAAAACCCCCACCAAATTCATCCAGAATAACGGAGGATATCCAGGTAAAATGCTTAATGATAACAAATGTAATTGTTTTGACAAAGAATTAGTTTTGAAATATTTTAGCGTAGGTCAGCTAGTAAAAACCATTTTGTTTATTTTGGTCGAAAGATAGCTAGCGGCTGTTCCGATTTTGTTTCTGTTTTCAGTGCACACCTTCTCAGAAGCCTTTGATAAACTGCATAACGCAGAAATACAGGAATTAGCGGGATTCACTGACGAAAGTATGAACACTGCTTAGTTACAACCTTTGTCACTTTTTTAATCGGTGATTGCCTCAACCAGCTTAATTTTACTAAAGACTGATAAAACATCTAAATCCTTCTCGTCAGCATCATCTCCATTTTTCTATCATCATCATCCTTCAGGTCCAACGATCAATTTTATCGACCCAATAGCGCATTTTGTTATCTTTTTTGGCTGATTTTATTTATTTACAGGCGTAGTTCCCCAGTCACTGAGAGAAGCAATGAACGTTGAAAGCGCCGAGGCAAATTATGAGAAAACCTACGAGACTTTATATGGTTTGTACTTTTATCGATTTTTGATCAAATCTCTCTGAAATAAACATATTTAGAGTTGATGTTTAATTCTCTTTAACAGGTAAAGGTAAATCCATCAGTCCGCAGAAAGGAGCTGCATATTTGCCAGTAAAGGATAGCAGTCAGAAATAAATCAATCACTTGTATTTGCATTTGCTTGCCATCACCTGCGAGAGGGTTTAGCGACGGAGCAGATAAGCTCTATTTGCTGGAAAAGGTTCGATTCGGGATGGTAGACATTAATTCTTCATTCTGGAAAACATACTATCTATACAATAAAACTGACTCAATAAACGTAATTTTAAAGTTCTGAAGATGGCCCGATTTCTCAAATTTTGAACCTTGTGCGATCTTCCTTAAATCAATTTCGCAAGTTATGAAATCAATAAAGTAATTTATGAACGAGAATGCTGTGTGAGCCAAGTGCACTAAATGAAAAAAAAATAGAAGACAATAAGGGTAATTTTTTCATAAAGGTTTTCTTTCCCATTTTCAGCGCATTCTATTTTGAAGATAAAGGGTCGATTCTTCGTGGGGTAACTAAAATTTTTACTTCGTCACCGGCTCGAATTACATCGAACAACTACTTTCTTGAACGTGTTAAATGTTTCATCGTGAGACTAAAGCTTTAGTTCAACTGGTCATGCTGTGTGGTGTAAGCAAAACATGGTTGTGATACGATGTTTGTAGATCTTGAAAACAGATGTGTGATACATTCTCGCCGATGAGGATGTAATTGGAGAAAAAACGGGGCCTAAGAAATTTATACCGCTTTGTAGGTATTTTGTAATTACAGTGTAATCGTTCGTGTGGCGTCATCATTTATTTTTCAGCTTGGATTTCAGTGATGTTTTAATGTCGATTTTCTTTATCAACTTCGCTCGGAATGGCCTGCAAGTCCACAGAAGTCAAATAGAAAGTTCGTTTGTCAACTTGGTCGGTACCAAGTGAGCATTTTCTCTTAATTAGATCACATGAAAGGGCAGTCAGTGAGTTGACTATCTAAATAGGGTGAGGTTCATATTCGCGCACAAGAGAGACACCTCTCTCGTCGCGTACTAGGTGTTTATAAGGCAAAAAACTAGTAAAATCAACAACTCAAAAGTTAAGGTTCTCGATCAAAGCGTTCAATTTCTTTGTTTTATAAAATTTCCATTAAAATCTAAAAGGGAGGACAAAAAACCTTGAAACGCATAATTTAGATTCCCTTATTTTACCTTTATTTTCTTTCATAACAAAAATATTTGCTGTCTACTGCATTTAAAAACCAGCGCAATTCCTTTACATTTTGTGATTACTAAAAATGTGATCAAACATTTATTTAGACCGTCGCATCATGTCAAAAATTGTAAGTAAATTCTCTTATGTCTCTGTTTTAATCTGCCGAGGACAAACTGTACACAGTCCTTGTTATATTAGTCACACTAAGGAGTTCAGTTACCAAAATGAATGACACTTGAAGATTACACGATTCCAGTACATGTCCCGCAGTATGTCTATGATCACGTGTTTAATGTGCCTCATCTTCCAGCAGTAAATGAAAAGGTTCAAAGATGAATTGAGATACACGATAGTCACTGAGAAAAGGTAAAAGTGCTCGAGCCGTAGATTCGCATAACTAAAAACACGAGATATAAGTAGTATACACCATCTGTAGATTTAATAAGGAAAGAAAAATTTGTCGCCTCACGACACTGGACTTCTGCTTGTACTTGCGTGGACTGAATCTGATTCTTGTGCCTTCGGACGGTTAAATATATCCGTATTTGCATCACAAATGTGAGAATGAATATGATAGCTGAAGGAAAAGAAATAATAAGATCCCGACTACTCTCTTTAAAGAGACAAATACACTATACACCCATATGGAGATCACTACAACGACAACTCGCTTGTGAGTCACAAGCTCCTGGTATCTGAGATGAAATGAACAGCTAAGAACTGTCTACACTTACAGCTAAAACACTGAGGAACGAAGCAGTTGAAAATAAACAACCTGAAATGTTACATGCTAGGTATGCGTTGCAGCTTGGATACTAGTTTTAACCAATTGACCAGAGGGAAAGTATAAATTGCCTGAGCAAATAAACCAAGCCCAAAGTCAGAAACAGCAAGACTTAGCAGCAACGTTTTCAAAGTCTTCGGCCAAAATGACGTTTTCGCATCACGCATATCGTCACAATGTTCAACATGATAACGGTAAACTAAGAAATTTTTTGAGGACACAGTTGACAACGAAAGTTTTTCGAAGATCTCTAAAGTCAGAATGAGAGGGGACATGCGGCAGAACTTCTGCATAAAACGAACCGTTCATGATCATGACCAACGCAAGATGCTTTACGATCCTTTGTCATGCTAATGTACTGGTTTTCCGCATAGGTACCCTAGTTTTTATAAAAACTCTCCTTTCCATATGTTCCTGGAGTTTTTGTTCAGAAGCTGTGAGATCTTGCTGTCACCACCTGGGTGAACAAAGACGACTCGCGGAAGCCGGTTTTGAGCTCTTCGTTTTTCAACCAATTGCAAAAGGTAATATAATATTTCTCAGGCAAGAGACAGATAACGGCTTTTGTATAGGTAAATCAATTGAAACTGAATACTCGCTGTTTCATAGTACCTTATTTCTGATTATGAAGGGAATAAATGGCAAGTGGACCATTTTTTGTCGTCTTCTGCTGCTGAAACTCTCAATTACGTGATATATAATTTGCTAGCAATGACAAAGAAAATAATATCATCTCTCAGTATGTAATGATATGCGAGATCTCAGTTGTTATGCAAAATTTCATTTATTTTCCTAACATATTTAACTAATAGCTACTCCTGTGTAAACTATAGCGCTTGAAATTAACGAATTAATATGTGAATAAATCATTTATTTTCATTTAGTTTCATGTTCAAAACCATTTCCATTTCCACACAGACAAGTTCATCCTTGTTAGGTCTCAAGTATTTATTCGATCTGTTAAGAACAGGCTGTATGCAGCTCTCAATTATCAACACGGACGGCATTTGAAGACCGACTGTAAAGTACGCGAGATGGATGATTTCTTTTCCGAGTCATATTTCGCAGTATGTCCATGATAGCGTGTCTAACGTGTCTCATCTTCCAACAGTAAATGACAGGGTTCAAAGATGAATTAATATAAATGAGAGTCTGTGACCAAAGATAAAAGTGTTTTAAAGCGATGCTCGAGCCATATATTCTAACAAGAACCAGGCAAATGAAAAAAGGCATATAGCAACCTAAAAAAACGAGATATACGTAGAAAACACCAACTGTGGATTTAGTGAGGGCAGAAAAATATGCTATTTCATCAGACTGAGCTTCTTCTAGTACTCGGACGGACTGCATCTGATTCTTATGCCGTCGGACAGTTAAATATATCCTGATGTACACCACGCAAGTAATAATGAAGCCAATAGCTAAATTAACGGAACTGAGAAGAACCTGAGCAATGGAGGATCTCGATAATATGATGAAAGAAACAAATACACTATACACCCATATGGAGATCACCACAATAACAACACGCTTGTGAGTCACAAGCTCCTGGTATCTGAGATGAAGATGAACAGCTAAGAACCTGTCTACGCTTACAGCCACAACACCAAGGAACGAAGCGGTAGTTAATAAATAACCTGAAATAGTCCTCACATGGTAAGCAACGCAACTTGGATCGTCTAATTTTAACCACTTGCTCAGAAAGAAAGTGTAAAATGGCTGAACAAATAAACCAACTCCAGCGTCAGAAACAGTAAGACTTAGCAACAATGTTTTCAAAGTCGTTGGCAAAGTTAACGTTTTTCGCATTGCGTACATTGTAACAATGTTTAACATGATGGCGGTATAACTAAGGAAAATATTGAAGACACAGTTAACAATGACAGATGTCCGAAGCCTCCTCAAGTCTGAATGAGAGGGGATATATAGCAAAAAGTCTGCACAAAACGATCCGTTCATCATGATTTACGCTAACAAGGTGCTTTACGACTTAAGGCCAGTAAATTCAGCTTACTGCATCGGTCAGTTCCATCTCCTTACTAACCTGGTTGTTTTTAGAAACAAAAAGTTCTTCACAAGCACTCACTTTTTTAGATAGCCTCAAGATTATCCAATCTTTAAACTATCTGTGGCCACCTGGCCGAATGAGAATCTGATGACTCATCAAGTGTTGATGAGGGCTTGAACACTAGTTCTTCATACATCACCTTTCTGAGGATAGGTTATGAGATATTTCTTATCAAAAGGTAGAGGAAGTTTCTTTTTTTAATAAGAATACATTGAAACTAAGTAATAGCAATTTCATAGCATCTCCTGTATCATTATCCGGAGAATGAATTATAAATAATCTATTTTCAGCCACCTTATGCCGTAGAAACTCTAAATTATGAGCACTCAAATCTTACTTGAGAGTCACAAGCTCCTGGTATCTGAGATGAAGATCAGCAGGTTCAGCTGCTGTTCGTGGTGAAGCCAGGAGATCAGCTTGTCCCGAACTTAATGCCCAACTGGCTCAATAAAACTTGAGCGACATAAAAGTCATTGATATAAATCAGTCGGCTTGCTTGTGGACGTTTCGTGCGTGATGATAGAAAAATTTACATAGCTTGTAATTGAGATGTGAATAAAAGGGTGTATTGTATTTTGAAAGCGGACAGCATTGCTTCCCTGTCGTTTTATGTTGTGACAGAATCTTCAAAGAGCAAAGTCGCCCATGAAAGATACCGCAAGATAAAGATGCCTGAAAAATTAATGTGAGACTATCTACTAAAGGAATTAAAAATGAAATTTTTACACACTGAGCCACTCATTTTTTTCATAGTTTCTTAATGGGTGCAGAAATACAAGATCTATCTGAAAAAGGTAGAGAGAATTACGCATTCCCTGGCTGAACAAATAAACCAACTCAGACATCGGACATCTGTATCTTTGTCCATCTGCCGCCATTTAGCGAAATAACGAAATAAAGATGACTCCATGGCCAATTTTCTCTTTACTAAAGTGATAGTTTTCACAAAAGTTTTTCTATTTTGAGCCATGTTGTAGAAATTTTTTTGAGTCCAGCCCGAAATAACGAAATAAAGATGACTCATGGAAGTTTTGAGCCATGTTTTTTTGAGAGCCTACGAGTCCTCTTCAATATATTTTAACCGCCTGTGAAATGGTTGCGTAATATTTCTCAGGCAAGAAACAAATGGAGTTTTTGTTTTGGTAAACTGACGAATTAATTTAAATTGAAAACTGGCAGTTCCATTGCACCTTCTTCCTTTTTGTTCAGAGAGCAAATGACAAACGGATTATTCTTGTCGCCATCTTTTCACCAGAACTGTTAGAATATAATAGCATCGCTCAGGTTGTGAAGACTAGCGGTAGCTGATGAGCTATTATGCAAAAATTTCAGTTTTTTAATGAAGCCCAAAAGTACATATCATATCACCCGTCAAGCTATTTTTGGTTTATACCGTATTTTCCTAACAAACCCAGCTAATTGCTGCTCTTGCGCAAAACTAAAGCATTGAGATTAACATATTTAGATATGGCTGAATACTTCCTTACTCTCTTTTGTTCATGTGGCTATTTCCGAGTCGTTGAGCTTCAGAGCAAACTGCAAACTAATTCATAACGAATAAAGGGGTAAGCTTCTAAGGAAAATGTGGTGCTGCGTCGGTGGAGGAGTATAACAAGATAATTTGATTCTATCAACTGAGTTGATAATGTATATCGGCCAACGTAAAGAGTTTCAAAGCTAACGCCGGTTTCGAGTGTTTGCCCTTCGTTTTTTGCTCTGACGAAGGGCTAACGCTCGAAACTTCCACTTTGAAACTCTTTACGGTGGCTAGTTTACATTATCAACTCAGTTAATAGTCCAGGTTATCTTGTAATTCATAACGAGTCGAGGAAACGGATCACGAAAATGTGTCTCCGTATAAATTTCAACTTCAATTTCAACGCCATGCACGTACACAAACTCTCACTCACGTCGGGTGAAGTTTTCGTCCACGGTCCGTTTGAATAATCTCGTTTTGGCCTAAAGCTGAATTTCCTAATTACACAGGAGCAATTAGACCCATTGATGTCCCCTTCGTGAGGAAAACCACCTCGCTCTCACTGTATTGGGGGGTTAACTCGTCGATTTAGATCGATGTTGCAAGGTAGACAAGGGGATATCTTGTTTCCTTGCGGAGTTTTCGAGAAAAATAATGGTAAAACCAAAATTGGGGGCATAAAGTCCGAAAACGAACCTCTATAGGAAGGAAAAACCACACTGGATGCTAAACCGAGAGGACGATTTCGTTTCGTTTATGCGTGATATTTCATTGTACCTACTGACAAGTATAATATCTACTTACAAAAAGCATTTATAACATAGCTAGTAAATTTGTCTAATCAAATTCAATTGGGTGAGCGTGCTTCGTATTCCTATTGTGCACGCTCATGACGTCACAAAACAAATCCTTCGAGAAAAAATATTTTCCATCGGCTTGAAAATATTATAAAACAATTGGTTCATACACCAGCTGTGCGTTCACTGAGATATGAAGCACTTGGGAAGCTTGGAGGGCACTCAAGAACCTAGAACCTTACGCATCTTTCGTGTTCTCCAAACTTCCCCCGTGCTTCATGTCTCGATGAACGCACGCTGACGTATGAACCAATTGTTAATTAGTCTTCCAGCAGATGTCTAGGGCGATCTGGATGCGAAACTTCTCTTAATTTAGTTTGCCGCACGTTGTTAAAAATTTGAGTATTTCACTTTAATCGAGTATTTTATCGGATTTTCGCTAATTTCATCACATGCTCCATCCGTGTGGATGTGATCAGGAATAACAAGGTGGGTTGAGGTCATATAAGATAACTGCGACCTCCTTGCTCTCAAATTGAAATTCATACCGTAGAGTTATTCAGCAAGGAAATACGGGGCCATACATCACTCCGTCAATTACCGTCCACTGGCGACTTGACAGCTATGAGATCTCGAGAGATTTGGTGTTTTTGACTGCGGAAGACTTCCTGTTGGATTTGATCCCGATGATTTATGGGAAGAGAAAGGTACTGAGTTGTTTCCCGTTTTCTATTGGAGGGAGTGGGGGAGAATTGAAATTATTTTGTCTAGAATCTTCTTACAGTAGGTTCAAACTGAACCAGTCGTCAAAATTTAGAGGAGCAGGTGAAGATAAGTTTAGACAAAAGCAAAACTCCAAGCGATTCGGGTGAAGATTTAGGTAAAGATAATTTTTTGTCATTATCAGCTAATTTTATGTCATTTGATCACTTCTCTTCCATCCCAAAACCATTCCTTTGCCTAGAGGGGTGATGATATTAAGTCGAAAAACAAAGAGGCCAAGATACTATTGCAAAACTGATTCTTCGTGATGTTTCGGCACTGAATATTCAAATCTCAAAATCGCTGATTAAACATGCCACAGACGGAGTAAAAGTGCCTGAAAGTTTAATGTCAGATTATCTGCAGAAGAAGTTTCAAGACAATTCCACTGAAAGCCGCTTCGAATTACAGAATGTGAACTACAATTTAACGAATACTAGAATATATACAGGTATGAGAATGGTATGTGTCAATCAGCTTTTGGAAATCAAACAGTTACATAGCACGGGGTGCTCTACAAGTGAAGTATAACGGCTAACCATCTGGAACATGGTGTATATCAAAGACTTGTGGAAATTTTTGATATTTTTTTTAACATGTCTTTCAACACGCTGTATAGCTTATTGCACAGGTAAACTGTAAGGGTCAATGATGATATAATTTTTTTTCAGGTGAAGGAAAGAAAAAGGGAATAAGTAAGGAGGAAGTGATTTGTTTCTCTTCATTTCATGTGACAGAAATAAAATGTTTTATTCAGAATCTTCCTCCGAAATTTTTTTCATGCTTTCTTTGAGTCTTGTAATCGTCATCCCGTAAACTCCTGAATCAAGATATGAAAATTAATTCTCCTCACTAATATCTTAAATTCCAGTGTCGATTAGTTTTGGGAAACTGGCGTATTATCAATACAAACATTCCCTACTTAACTAGTTTTGTTGTTCTCATCGCCTGTCTGTCTGGCATTGTCTCAGAAAAAAGTGAAGAGAAGTTTCATCGTTTCATAGGGAAATCAGAGAGCCTGTTGACTGTCAAGGGATGATAAAAATCAACTCAAAGTTTAGCTTCTCGATCAAAGTGGACATCAAAGCATTCAATTTCTTACCCTTATCTTTCCTAGTGTAATTCATTTGTAATTTGTTTCATTCAAAATTTGATCACGCAGCAGTTATTTTGGTCAGCGCATTATATCACTAAATATAGTTACATTGTTGTCCCTCTCTATTAACTCTGTTGAGAACAAACTCCACAAAGTCCGTGCCAGTCACATAGAGGGGTTTAGTTTTCAACTTGGACGACGCTTGTAGATTGAATGTGAATTAAGCGAGGTAGCCGATTTCTTCTCTGAGAAATGTTCCGCAGCATCCCCATGATAGCATGTCGAATGTGTCTCATCTTCTAGAAGTAAATTACAGGGTTCAAAGATGAATTTAGGAGCATGAGAGTCAAAGAGAAAAGAAAAGACTTTTTCAAAAGGACACTCGAGCCGTAGATTCCAACGAAAGCCGTACAAATGAAAAAAGGCAAATAACAAATTAAAAAGACTAGATATGCGTAGAACATACTGAGTGTGGATTTAACGAGGACAACAAACTTTTTCATATCGTTAGACTGAGCTACCTCTTGTACTTGTAAGGAATAAATCTGATTCTTGTGCCGTCGGATAGTTAGATATATCCTGATGTACACCACAAATGTGATAATAAAGCCAAAAGCTACACTGACTGAAACAATAAAATCCCGAGTGCCGCGCGATTTCCACAATATCGATGAAGAAACAAATGCGCTACACATCCAATTCAGTGGAAATCACCACAATAACAACACGCTTGTGAGTCACAAGCTCCTGGTATCTAAGATGAAAATAAACAGCCAGGAACCTGTCTACACTTACAGCCACAACACCACTGAACGAAGCAGCTGAAAAGAAACAACCTGCCATAAACCATATTCGGTAAAGGTTAAAGATCGTTCATTTGTAACCACTTCACCAGAAAGAATGGTTGGTTTACCAAACCAACACCAACATCAGACACAACAAGACTTAACAGCAGCGTTTTCAAAGTTGCTTCCATTGTCAAGATCTTTTTTATCGCGTACATTGTCACAATGTTCAGCGTGATAGTAAGGTAAGTTAGAAAATTATTGAAGATAGAGTTTGCAATGAAGGTCGAATGAAGATCTTTAGGTTCGACGTAAGGTGGAATACGCTGCCAAGACTCGTTACAATACAGTCTGTCTATGATATCAACTCCGATTGAGTTATCCTGAAAAAAAAGATTAACATGAGATCTTAGGTTAGAAAAAAAAGGCTGTACTACGATGATTTCTTCATCTCAACTTTACACTCTGCTCAAAATTTTACCTTTTTTTTAATGCACAAGTGAAGATCTTTAGCGAAGCAAAGCAGTGAAGTTTTTTAACAAAGTTTTGGCGGCCGGACTTTGTGATGACGTTAGCAGCTCAGCTTGTCAGACATAACGCCTATCAGACTTAAAAAAGCAACAGAACGTAGTGGTTGGCAATAATCAGCTTACATAACAGAACAACAATGCATGTGGTTTACCTCACAAAATTAATAAGTTTACAATATGTATTAATAGCAATATTCTGATAGATGGCAAGGAGAGCTCCAAAAGCCATGGGGGTTACACGAGAGAAGCCTCCTTACTTAAAAAAAAAAGAAGAAAAGACGTGTTTATGTAAGCGATACGCGCTCATTTGGGACATTTCTTCTGCCAACCCACCATTCTTAATAGTCATTACATCTGTAGATTTAGTAAAAAACCTCGTAGAAGTCTTTATAAAAGGTTATTTGGGTTAAGGTAATTTGAAAACCTGAGACAACGAAGTCAGAATGTACGTTAGACAAAATAATTTTTAGACAGAGGCGGGCGTGATGTTCAGTTGAATTTTAAAATTGCTGATAGACAATAAAAGATGCTGCAGAATTAGAAGCCCTGAAGTTAACGTCTTATTATCTTTGTAAAGAGATTTTCGGTAAATTTCAAACTAAACTCGCTTTTTAAATATATATTTTTCGTCATTTTTATTTCATCTACGGTTACAATTATAAAATCCGAATCAACCCGTAAAATGAACATGAAAAGTCTATTTTTTGTCTCGCGTCCTAGCGAATGGAGATGATCCCAAAAAATTCATACTTAAAATTAAGATCTCAAATTTTCGTTTTGTCACAAGCGCGAAGCATCTGTTGACGTGTGCAGACTAATTACTTAAAAAAGTGATTAAACCCAGCTCTGTTGTCGTTCTGTTATTATAACTGCTTTTCTTATGAAAATTGGATATCAGTGTGTAATAATCGCACCCACGCCTTATTTTCAATCGTCAAATTTACATTTTTACTCGGGAAAGACAATTTATTTTGAGAACACACGCGAGGATCGCATTAATAGATAACCCTTTCACTTCCAGGGCAGGATCTGAAAATGAGAATCTAACCTCATTTCAAGAATATTTCAACTCGAACAATAGAACACAAGACTTACCGACAAAGTTTTTACAATGTTTAGTATTTACAAGATAAAGTTTTTTGCATCTGGTACACTGTCACAACGTTTCTGGTGTTGGTATGATAAGGAAATTATTAAAGACACAGGTGACAATGAAGGTTACTCGAAATAACTTTAAGTCAGAATGAGATTGAAATTTGTAGATTAGCCCATACCATGCAGGTGAATGGTGCTTTTCGCGCGTGCTGATTGGCTGTTTCGGAAGTGATCAGTACTCGCCTCCCAACAGCCTAAGAGACAAAATCGCCACTCGATTCCCGAAATTTGAGAAAATCTGTATCAAGTAGTTTCCCAGACCGTCCCCATTAGCATTAGCATTAGCATAACAAGAACTTATAATAGCAATTGCCATGCCACGTCCACTACTTCAAACTTCAATCTTTTGGTTGACACATGTCTGAAACTGGTTTCACAACAAAGAAGGAAAGTTGGTTTTTGAGCGTTTTGAACATAGTCAGATGTTGTATGGATTTTATGGCGGCAGCAAAATTTGTTATTTCACCTGCCTGAGCTTCGTCTTGCACTTGCATGGGCTGAAAGTGTTTCTTGAGTCGTCGAACAGATAAATATATATTGATGTGCACCACTGAGAAAGTAGGATAAGGAGGATAAATGACAGGTGAACTATTCTTAGTGGCTTTCTTCTGTAGAAAATTATACGTATTAACATCTACCAGCAGCGACCATACGATAAAAATTTCCATCGCTCCGAGTCGACCGATGGTGAGAACCCAGGTGTTGGAAAATCGATGATATTCAAAGTTACATAGCGTATTGTCTGTAAAATAATTAAAATCAAGAATTTTTTATGTTCACAACGTATTATGATCACCCTGATGGCTTTTTTCAGTTTTATTCATTTCCTAACACAGCTAATTGTCATTCTGTAGAAAACGAAAGCAGTCATGATGAACATAATGTTTTCATTTGCCATTGCAAGCCTGGCCTCTCGTTGTAGACAGGCGTCAGACAAGCTGCGGACAATGTATAACGAGTCGAGAAAAATCAATGCATTACTGCCGCCATCCTCATACAGCTCAGTTTTAATCAGTCTTTTTCTCGACTTCGCTGCCTCGTACCCAGACTCCAATGATGTAGGGGACTAAGTGATAGGGTTTCAATTGGGTTAACCAATAGCCGTAAAACGGCCAAAGAGACAGGTAAGGCGTTGGGCGAGGAAATTGGCAGTAAAATGATTTCTGGTAACAGCCATAAAATGTTGTTAACCGATTTTAAATTTCCAAAATTTTAACCTGACCGTAAAGCTATCCCCACATTGTGACCTTCAGGTAACGTGTCTCGTTTGTTTCTCCTCGACACGGTTCCGTGCACTTCACGTTAATTGCTCCCAATTTGTCCCTCAAAGTACTCACGAAAAGGTCGAGAACAGAGTCTCTTTTAACCGTTTATGATTTAACGTTTTGATCTTTGAGATGTTTACACCGCAACTTTCAAACTGCTTCCTTCTTAATGGCTCTTGAGAGATATGCACAGCAACTTTCAAACTGCTTCCCCCTTGATGACTCTCGAGATATATACACCGCAACTTTTAAACTGCTTTCTTCTAAATGACTCTTGAGAGATATGCACCGCAACTTTCAAACTGCTTCCCCCTTGACGACTCTCGAGATATATACACCGCAACTTTTAAAATGCTTTCCTCTAAATGACTCTTGAGAGATATGCACCACAACTTTCAAACTGCTTTCTTCTAAATGACTCTTGAGATGTGTACACCGCAACTTTCAAACTGCTTTCTAGTAAATGACTCTTGAGAGATATGCACCACAACTTTCACACTGCTTCCTTCTTAATGACTCTGGAGATATATAAAACTTTCTTCTGAATGATACTTGAGAGATTTGCACCGCAACTTTCAAAATGGTTCCTTCTAAATGACTCGTGAGATATATGCACCGCAACCTTCACACTGCTTCCCTCAAAATGACTCTGAAGAGAGATGCACCGCAACTTTCAAACTGCTTCCTTCTAAATGACTCTTGAGATATATGCACCTTAACTTTCAAACTGCTTCCTTCTCGAGATTTATCCACCGCAACTTTCGAACTGCTTCCTTCTAAGTGACTCGTGAGATATATGCACCTTAACTTTAAAACTGCTTCCTTCTAAATGACTCTTGAGATATATGCACCTTAACTTTCAAACTGCTTCCTACTAAATGACTCGAGAGATATATGCACCTTAACTTTCAAACTACTTCCTTCTTAATGACTCTTGAGATGTATGCACCTCAGTTTGAAAGTTACGGTGCTTTCTTCTCAATGACTCTTGAGATGTATACACTGCAACTTTCAAACTGCTTCCTTCTTAATGACTCTTGAGAGATATGCACCGCAACTTTCAAGCTGCTTCCTTCCAAATGGCTCTTGAGAGATGTGCACCACAACTTTCAAACTGCTTCCCCCTTAATGACTCTCGAGATTTATACAATGCAACTTTCAAACTGCTTTCTTCTAAATGACTCTAGAGAGATATGCACCGCAACTTTCAAACTGCTTCCTTCTAAATGACTCTTGAGGGAAATGCACCGAAATTTTCAAACTGCTTTCTTCTCAATGATTCTTGAGAAATATGCACCGCAACTTTTAAACTGCTTCCTTCTTAATGACTCTCGATATATATATATACTGCAACTTTCGAACTGCTTCCTTTTAAATGACTCTTAAGAAATATGCACTGCAACTTTCACACTGCTTTCTTCTTGGTGACTCTTGAGAGATATGCACTAGAACTTTCACGCTGCTTCCTTCTCAATGACTCTTAAGGTATATACACCGCAACTTTCAAACTGCTTCCTTCTAAATGACTCTTAAGGTATACACACTGAAAATTTCAAACTGCTTCCTTCTAAATGACTCTTGAGATATAAACACCGTAACTTTCACACTGCTTCCTTGTAAATGACTCTTGGGAGATATGCACCGCAACTTTCAAACTACTTCCTTCTTAATGATTCTTAAGATATATACACTGCAACTGTCAAACTGCTTCCTTCTAAATGACTCTTGAGATATATACACTGCAACTTTCAAACTGCTTTCTTTTAAATGACTCTTGAGATATATACACCGAAACTTTCAAACTGCTTCCTTCTAAATGACTCTCGAGATATATACACCGCAACTTTCAAACTGCTTCCTTCTAAATGACTCTTAAGATATATGCACCACAACTTTCACACTGCTTCCTTCTAATGAATCTTGAGAGATATGCACCGCAACTTTCAAACTGCTTCCCCCT